TCCCCAACGTACCCAACAGACTCCGGGGAGGGGTCTCATCTCCCGTTGCTTTTCTGTCTTCCTTCCTGCCTTTCCTTCTCGTCCCTCGTCCCTCGCGCTCCCTCACTACATCCCTTCAAATCATCCCCACTGCCCCCCCGGGGGCTGCTGCTCGGCCCTGACGCCCTCACAGCTTGCTAATGGCCAGGTCCATGACCTCGACCAGGAAGTCCGCATCCTGGCGGCTGAAGCACATTGGCGGCTTGATGCGAAACACGTTGCCGTGCAGGCCCCCCTTGCCCATCAGCACACCGAGGTCCTTCATGAACTCCATCACGGTCGCTGTCTCGGCCTTGGCGGGCTCCTGCGGGGGGCGGTATGGGGTTGAGAGCGCGACAAAGCGACGGACCCTGGCACGACCCGGACGCGATTTGGAATCAAATCAAATCAAATACACTCTCCGAAACCACAACCGGCCACAGCGAAAAGCGATTGTTTACGAGCAAAGCGATTAACTGCTATAAGGGAATAAAGTCCCTTTGTCAGGATGTCCATCTCAGCCTAGCTGCCCCCTGCTGCCGCTGCCTCAACGGGACCCCTCCAACCTCTACCCCCCCTGCTGCCGCTGACCTTGGTCTTCCGGTCCTTGACCAGCTCCACCCCCAGCATCAGCCCGGCGCCACGCACGTCTCCGATGATGTCATGTTTCGCCGCCAGCGCCCTCAGTCGCCCCAGCAGGTGCTCCCCCACCTGCCCGCAGTGCTCCTGACGCCGCTCCTGATCCACCACACGCAGTACAGCCCGACCGCCCGCGGAACAAACCGGGTTGCCGCCGTACCTTCACGAAACACACCACAGGGGTGTCGCAGGCGGAGCGTGGGGGGGGGTGAAACGGGGGAAAACGGGGGGAAGGTGGAAATCAGAAGGTGGAACAAGAAGCAAAATTAATCCACTGCCAAGGGGCCGGTCGGGGGTAGATGGCGAGGAAGCGCATACCGCGTTGCGGTGCGCTGTCCTACACAGCCCGACAGCGCTCGGGCAGCGGCCTGCCCCAGGCCCGTCACTTCCTGAAGAGAAAGAACGAACAAGTAATTCCCCCGTACCTCGCGAGGTACATACATACATACATACATACATACATACATACATACATACATACATACATACATACATACATACATACATACAAAGGCACGTACTCCCCCGCCCCTCCCTCCAGCTCTTCTCTCTCCCCGTGTTCCCAGGCGGTTGGTGCCGCTGCTGCTGCTACCCACCATCCCCCTCCACCGCCGCTGCTGCGCCCTCGCCCTCCCTCCCGCCACTTCCCCCCCCCTCCCCTTTCCCCCCCTTACGTGTTGAAGTGCAGCCTGCTGGCCATGGACGCGGCTATCTCCGGCGTGGTGACCACCGCCGCCAGGGGCAGTCCGTTGCCGATACCCTTGGCCAGCGTGACGATGTCCGGCACCACCCCCTGCCGCTGGAAGCCCCAGTAGTGGCCGCCGGTACGACCAAAGCCCGTCTGAACCTCGTCCGCGATGCACACACCGCCGGCGGCTCGGATCATCTGCGGGCGCGGCGGCATGCGTGTACGCGTGAATGTATGTGTATGCGTGTATGTGTAGGCGGGGGGGTTCGAGGTCGGGTCTCATGCGTGCTGTAATGGCGGACGGTGTGCCTGTGAGTGAAAAGGCCGCGCAGGGGCGTTACACCCCCCCTGGTATACCCCCGGAAAGAAACACCATGACAAACACCGCACCACACACACACACACCCCGATACGGTACGCAGATCTCCCACTTGACCTTCTCTCCACCCACCCCCCAATCCACCATCCACTTCCCTTCCACCGCACCGCACACTTCCGCCTCTCCGGTCTTTGGCGTTTCGCAACCAAGACGGCGGCAGTTGTGTCTTTGACTTCTGCGCACCTGTCCCCTTCCCTACCCTGCACCCTTCCATCGGGCCCCCTAATCCCCACCTTGTACACCTCAGGCAAGTAGCCAGTGGCCAGTGGTACGGCACCCCCGACACCCTGAATGGTCTCAGCTACGAAACCCGCCACTCGGCCAGGAGTAGCGGAGGAAATAAGATCTGCCACGTCAGCAGCGTAGCGCGGGCCGTCGTCGCCGTACGGCCCTCGGTACGGATCCGGGTTCAATGCGTGGTGGTAGCCAAAGCCCTGTGAAAGGGTGACGCGCGGTGAGGGTGTTGGTGAGCACGAGGGGTGTTGGTGAGCACGAGGGGTGTTGGTGAGCACGAGGGGTGTTGGTGAGCACGAGGGGTATTGGTGAGCACGAGGGGTATTGGTGAGCACGAGGGGTGTTGGTGAGCACGAGGGGTGTTGGTGAGCACGAGGGGTGTTGGTGAGCACGAGGGGTATTGGTGAGCACGAGGGGTATTGGTGAGCACGAGGGGTGTTGGTGAGCACGAGGGGTGTTGGTGAGCACGAGGGGTGTTGGTGAGCACGAGGGGTATTGGTGAGCACGAGGGGTATTGGTGAGCACGAGGGGTGTTGGTGAGCACGAGGGGTATTGGTGAGCACGAGGGGTGTTGGTGAGCACGAGGGGTGTTGGTGAGCACGAGGGGTATTGGTGAGCACGAGGGGTATTGGTGAGCACGCCACGAAAGCTGCTGATGCACAACTTGCCCTAGACTGCCGGCACTGGCCCACGCTCCTTCCCGCGCTCTTTCCACCCCTTTCTTCCCCCCTCCCTGCCGCAGTTGCGGCTGGCGGTGATGACATGCGTTCGTCTGACCGCCTCCTCCTGGCCCCCCCTCCTTTCCTCCCCCCCACCCCGCCGTTGAACGATTTCGGCAGTCAGCATCTACTTACCTGCCAAAGCACGTCCCGGCGGAAATCCCCTCTAAATTGGCTTTCTAAGGGGTATTTCCCCACTTCCCCGTTCCCCCCCCGGCAGGCACGCAGATCCCATGACACCCCCCCGGCCCCACCACCTGCGGCATGGGTTGCTTCCAGGTGTGCTGTCCGCAGGTGCCCATGGTGCCGATGCTCATTCCGTGGTAGGCGTTACGCAGACAGATCATGTCCCAGTTGCCCGTGTACAGGCGAGCCAGCATGATGGCCATGTCGTTGGCCTCACTGCCCGAGTTCACAAAGTAAACCACCTAGGGGGCGGGCCAGGGGGGGGCCAAAGGGGGGAAATGATGGTGATATGCAAGGAGGAGGGAGAACGGGAGCGAGGGGGCCAGGGGGGCGAGAGCAGGCGGCCCCAGGAGGCAGCGAGTATGGAGGATAGCAGCTGGTCGTGGAGAGCAAGCTAAGCGTAACCACATGGATATGGGCCGGTGGGGGGTTAAGGGAAAGGGAAGGCGGAAACTGTTGTGTTTTGAGGGGAAGGTGCCTGAAGGGGTGGTGTCTCACCTTCAGGTTGCCTGGCATCCGGTCCGCGAGCTCTTTGGCGTATTCGGCAATTTGGTTGTTCAGGTAGATGGTGGTGGTGTGCTGCAGAAGCTGATTCTGATGGTTGATGGCTTCCGTCACGGCTGGGTGGCAGTGCCCAACGCTCACCGTTACGATGCCAGCAAAGGCCTGGGCGAGGTAATAGGTTGACAATTTCGGGTAATTGCAAGCATGCCGTAATAAAAGAGCAAATTTTGAAGGGGAACAACGGATTGGCCATGGTGAGGATGCACCCCATCAAGTACAGTTTCACCAAGAAGCGGTAACATGACATGGTCTTACGTCCAAGTAGCGTCGTCCACGCTCATCGTAGAGGTACTGCATCTTGCCTTCGACAATCATGACAGGCTTCTTAAAGTGTAGGAAGAGCGCTGCAGTCAGTTGGTGCGACGTCATCCGGAGTCAGCGCGATCCACTAGGGTTTACGTCCCACTGCAGACGATCGTGGCATTACGCGAGCTTACAAGGACTCAAATACTGCTTTCGTAACGCAAGCACCTCCTCAGCAGACGGGCCTGTGTATGGTGCTGGGGTGTGCGCGAAATCAGGCAACCGAGGCGTTGTTGCCGAGTCGACAGCCGGCATCGATGACATAAGAGCACGACAGCCATTTACAACTTGGCTTAACACGCTGCGGCCTAACAATCCACTTCCACCAGTCACTCCAAGGGCTTCCCTAATAACACGGGCCATTATGGTATTAACGTCGTAAAGTAGTAAAGCAGCAAGAGGTGCGTAGGAGCATCCAGCAACTTTACAGGTGAGCACAGGGATGCTGAAGGCGTAATGCAACATTAACTTTAATGTTCCGTACATATTCCGAAATCAGGCGCTGCACTCCTGAAAGCAACCTGAGTCAAGGCCAGAGCTAAAAGGTCCCAAAAACAATTCCTCAATCCGTTTCAATAAGCAGATCTATTACTCCTTGCAGCGACTCATCCTAAGGATTCAGGCATGCCATGTCACAAGCAAGCAAGCCATGCAATAATGAACAGAAATCATTCTAAGGAAATTATAGATCTTAGAAAAATAATATCATATTTTGCGTTTACCGAAACCTAGTTCCGTGCAAACTACAGACGGACAGGAACCACCAGCCAAGACATTTGCCAGGCACCTTTAGCCGCAGCAGCCGACCGCTTAGCCCCAGCTGTGGAGCCCCATCTGCGCTTCCAGCCTCAGTAGTTCTTCGCACGTATCCACCATATCCTGAATTCCCAACGTCGCCCACTGCTGCCGCCAGTCCGCCTCCCAGTCCGCCACCCCATCTCCGCCTCGTAACGCCACACGCCCCGCAACGCCTTGCCCGCCCGGCCCCGCACCCCCCACCGCCCTCCCTTCCCCTCCCTGTCGCTGCTCTGCACCTCCACCGCCGCCCGAGATGCCTCTCTGCTCCCGCAGCCTCGCTGCCTGCTGCCTGCGCCGAGCCCTTGCTGCGGACGCCGCTGAGGTGGTGGGTCCTAGCGCCGCCAGCTCGGCGGGGTCGCAGACACAGGCCGGCAGATCCGGATTATTCACCAGGGCAGCTGCCAGGGCGTTGGATGCGGCCAGGACGGCCCCCTGGACCAGAGCCAGTCGAAAGCGGCTCTCCAGCGGCCTCAGAGCGGCTCTGCATTAGTTGCGTTGCGTTTTGTTGTGTTGTATGGAGGGGCCGGAGAGCGAGGGGGGGGTAGTAATGAACGAAGCGAAAGGTGGGGGAGCTGGGCGGGATGGAAGGACAACATGCGGAAAATGGCGCTGGGAAAGAACAAGGCGAGGGAGGCCATAGCGCCGGCCCCACACACCAATCCTGTATCCCGGCCTGTCCTGGCTGGCGATGTCCATCATCCACGCCCCCCGCGGATACTAGCCCCCTCTACTTGAACCCAAGAAGGCCCAAGAGTCCCCTGGTCAGTCAGCGCAGCCCGACAGCGGCCCACCACCAGAGATCCGTGTCAAGGAAACCCCGGTCTCCACCTCCCCACCTGGGTACCCCTGCTCCCCGCACGTCCAGGAAGTGCAGCTGGGGTGTCTCCAGCAGCAGAGCCACACCGCCTCCCGTGACACGGGTACCTGCCAGGTGCCACCGCTGGATGGATAACCTGGGGGGGAAGAAGGGGGGAAGAAGGGGGGAAGAAGGGGGGAAGAAGGGGGGAAGAAGGGGGGAAGAAGGGGGGAAGACGAACCAAGAACGATTGAAGCTGCTGGGAAGACGGGGGAAGAGAATGGAAACAATGAAATGCGCCGGGGAGCTAAACGGAGCCAAAATGCAGAAAACAGAGAGGCGGGGGGGAGAGGGAGAGTGGGGAGCAACTGCCGGGAGAGGGGTGAAGGGAGGAATCATCACCACGGGGGGTATCATGATCCAACTAAGCAAAGAATCTACTAAGGTGACATCCAAACACACCACCACCACCTCCAACTACTACTACTACTGCTACCGGCGTCAACTGATCAATTCTGGAGGAACTTCCCCACAACTCATTACCGGCATTTGTGAGGACGGGAGGAGACAGGGGGAGAGGGAGAGGGGGTTGCTTATAGATCATGCGAGAGAGGAAAGGGGAAAAGGGGCCCCAAGAGGTCCCCCCCGGGGTGCTGCCACGGCCACTGCCACTACCTAGGCCTTACGGCCTGCACGGTGCCGTACCGTACAGGGCAGGCGCGCCTCTTATCTTTTGCCAGCGGGCCGCTGTACCGAGAGCCATTCCTACCCATGGCAACATGTCACGTGAGTACACTCTCCACTCGTATCGGCTTCTCATCCGATGGAACCGTGCTCGGGTTGCTGAAGTCCCGAGCGCCGCCACTATCCCCCTCTCCCCCCCCTGTCCCCCTTGTCGCATCACACGTCGCTTCAGATTGCACACACCTGGCCGTATCCGGCCCTATCCGGCCCTATCCGGCCTACATTCTAAGGTCGACATGTACCACTGCTACCGTCACAGACCACCACCACCACCACCACCACTATCACCGCTGCACGCACTCGGGCCACGCGGCAGCCTCAGCCGGCGGCGGGGTCCCGTGGCTCCGAGACCAGGCCCTCGCTCGGGCGCCGTACGTTAGCGCCGCCAGTGTGGCGTCCCCCACCGCCGTGTAGTTTAGATTGAGCACCTGCGGAGCGTATGCGTATGTATGTATGTATGTATGTATGTATGTATGTATGTATGTATGTATGTATGTATGTATGTATGTATGTATGTATGTATGTATGTATGTATGTGGCACAAGCTCCCCACCAAACTACACAGCCAGCCCACCAGGGCAAAGGGCTCCCGGAAGGAAGGCTGCGCACTGCCCACTGCCTCTGCCTAAGCCCACCCATCCACTGCCATACCTGCAGCCTGCCCAATGCCGCCAGCACCCCCGCACAGGAGTCGTCCAGCCGCTCCGCGCTGCTCAGGTCCAGCACCCGCAGCCACGGCGCCAAACCCAGGAGCCCCGGGCCCAGGGCGCCCGGCGGCAGCTGCCGACATCCCCTTAGCGCCAGGCAGGTCAGCTGGAGGGGCCCGTCCTCATGAACCTGGGCCGGCGGCCAGGGGCTTGCGTCTCCTCCTGGGGCCACGGTGCCGGCGGCGGCTGCAGCGGCGGCGGCGGGTTCCACCACGGCGCCGTTACCTGGCGGGCACTGCCGAGCTGATGGATGCGTGGGAACAGGCAGCGGCGGCGGCAGGGCGGCTGGAGGCAATGGCGGTGACGTCGGTGGTGACGTCGGTGGTGGTACCTTCAAGAAGGTGAGGTCCGTCATCCAGGCGGCCCCGTACAGCTCCAGATGTCGCAGCTGTGAAGCGACCAGGTGCAGCTGGGACAGGGCGCGGCAGGTGCGGGGCTGAAGAACGGACAGACGAAGCTGCCGGACCTGCCTGCGTGCGGGTGTGGGTGTGGGTGTGGGTGAGGTTATGGGTGCGCGCTGGGGTGAGGGCAGCTCGCAAGCGTAGGTTAAGAAAACAGGTAGGAAAGGCCGGGGCCCGCGAGGTACAGGAATAAGGGGTTGAGACCTGTAGCGCCGTGTTGAAGATTTTGAAATCGGCCTCAGACCCGACGCCGCCACACACACACACACACACACACACACACACACGCGCGCGCGCATGTGCCGAGCCGTCAACCCGCCTCGAACCTCCGCTCCGCACTGCCCACTGTTCCCAACGCTGCTTCCCAGCCCTGCAGGTGGCTGAGGCGGCGCACCCCTCCCCCCCTCAAGTCTCACCACTCCTCCGCGAAGGCCTGGAGCACAAGCAGGTGGCGCAGCAGGGCGGCATGGTCCTTTGGAACGACCTGGAGCCTGAGGTGCGGGCCCAAACCGAGTCTTGGAGACTGAGCATGTGTGTATGTGTATGTGTATGTGTAAGCGGAACCAGCGCTTACGGCATGAGACTTGTACTTGTGTAACGGAGCATGGTTGGTGAGCCACAGCACGAGGCGCAGGAAGCCATGACGATGTAACGGCAAATGATGCTATGGTATATTGTCAGCGAGGAGAACGGAAGGGAAGCATGCTTTAAGGAATTGCGTTAAGGAAACGTGCTGTATGCGTTTGTAAGGTTTGTCGACATGGGAGCTGCATGGCGGCACCGTACCGAACATCCTCCCGGGGACCACAGGATAGGATGGGGGCGCGATCCGGACTGCTTGCCTTGCCCTGTAGAGCTCATAGATCCTGGACAACAGCTCCGGCTCGGTTATGTCAGCTGGAAAATGAGCTGCGCGTGGCAGATTGCGGAAAGGTGGACAGCTTTGCGTGGTTCACGCACCGGAGGTGTGGTGTGCGCGACCGTATGCATACATTACTTAGGAGATTTTGATGGCTTCTTGTGTACTGGGAAATGGCGTGTGAAAAATATAGCTAGCGAGTGCTTGCCAGGTCTGGATACTGTAAAGCGGGGGAGCAATCGGGTTTGCCAGGTCCCTGAGCCTGAGAATGGGAAATCGGCATTACCTGGAATTACGCCACGCAGCAGTTCTTCAGCTAAAACACGACAGCAGAGATCGACGAGTGCGTACAGAGTCATTCGGAACGTCGTTCAGTTGTTGAACTGTTGAAGTTTGTTGCAACCAAAAGCTGCTGGAAAGGTACATCTTCAAATTCACGCCTCTAGCCGAAAACGTGTTAGGTTACTTCTTATTATTTAGGATTACCCCAAGCCCTAGAATGCGCAAGATGCGCTTTGCCTGACTCAGCCGCGCCGCCTGTCGTCAAGGAGCTGGACCGGTGCAGGTCGTGGACTAATAAGAGTAAATCACATAGGTTTCACATCTCTAGGTTAGGCTAAGCAGGAATGGCGCTTCCGGCGCCCGTGGCCATTGTGGGCTTGAGCTGCTTTGTTATCCTCTTGGTGGAGGTTCTGACCGTACTGTTTGTATCTAATTCATCGGGTTTCAAGCGTATCGTCGCAGATATTGATCGCACCAGCAAGGTAAATCATACACTCTGATCTCTTCCAGGGCACGTTGGCTAGCTAGAGATTGGGGGAACTGGAGCTATCATATAGCGGTGGAGGGAAGTGGGGCGCCTGGCAGCTGTACCCTTTGTGTGCGAAACACCCCTCATACCCTGCGTCCCTTGGGACTTAGAGCCTGTGCTGTGCTACCGTCCAGGCTCCTGCTTTGAATCCACTTCTGTAATCCACCTATAATCTCGTTGGCACTGTGCATACGCCTGCAGGAGCTTGAGCGCCTAGCCTCCGCTGGGGCTGCATCAACGACATCTGCACAGAAGAAACGCGAGCGCGCGCTAGAGGTACAGCTCACGTACATGAGCCGTGACTTCTTCTACTACCGCATGAAGCAGTACGCTATCATGAGCGTGTCGCTGGCAACCATGTTCTACGTCCTGCGTACCTGGTACATGGGCAAGTCGGTCGCGAAGCTGCCTTTCGCTCCCATGTTCCCCTTCTCCCGGCTAGCACACCAGTGGCTGGAGAAGCCGGGGGCCAATGACTGCAGGTAGTACCGTTATCGCTGCTGTGAGGATTTCGGGGAGCCGTTTGCTGCGGTACTGGGCTAGCATGGGGTTGGAGCTATGAACCGGCCGCTGTACGGGTAGGGGTGTACGATTTGCAACTTGTTCTTGTGCAACTGGGTCTAGCTCGCCGCAGGTTACTTAACTCAAGGAAGTCTTTCTCGCTCTGTGCGTTCCCGCCTGGTCCCTACAGTTTCATGTTCCTTTACGTCATCTGCAACATCGGAATTAAGCCCAACATCGCCAAGCTCATGGGCACGCAGCTTCCAGCAAACGTGCAGAAAGCGACGGACATGCAGAGCATGACGTCACGCTTCGCAAAACTGACGACCGGGAGGGGAGTTTAGACGGTCACGTGGTTAGGTTTTGTGCGTACGCTAGGGGCACCGGTGCATTCAGGCTGGGGCTTTCAGGCGGGAGAGGGAGAGGGTAATTGCTAGGTGCTGGCTTGTTTGTGCGAATGGTGGCTTTTTACCCTTCTGCCTTAATAGGATGGTTGTCCGGGTACAGAGAATTGCTTAAGCGCCAAGTGAGCACTGGCTGCGTCAAGGTGTTTTGGGTTTGCTTAATGTTCGTCGGAGACTGTTTGAAAACTGACTGCCCAGTTCCGTCCCCAGTTCCTTTTCCCCCCGAAGAAGGCACGGGTGCTGTCCGCCTCGATTGACACTGAACAGCCATTACGAAGGCCCAGGACAGGGTTTTTCCAGCCATCCCCAGAGGAAAAAAATCACCTTATTAAGGGGCGATGCGATACCCAGGTGCATTTCGTAGGGTTCCTGCAAGCTGTTGGAAATGGCCAATTGGAAAACGAGATGCGACATGCCGGCGTGGTTGCATAGCTGGGCGTGCTTTCTGCAATGCTCTTTGTTAAAATATGGACTGGCATCTAGACCATCCGGAAAACCAATGATGTACGGGTCACCGTACAATATACGTTTCCCAATTTAGACATGGCAGCGAACTTATCCAACGTCTTTCAGTGCAGACAATGTAATTGCCCACAGAAATACAGCAAAGCAGGCAAAGCCGTTTCTGTCAAGCGTAAAGAACATTCTAGGGCGGCGTTAGGGCGGCTGAGCCATGAGCGGCGACCGTAAGCGAAAATTAGAGTTAACAGAGGAAGACTCAGGACGCAAGAGGCCTGGGCCACCTGGTGACGTTCCAGCCGTCAACCCCTTCACAGGGCGCCCTTACAGCCAGCGGTATTATGATATCCTGGCAAAGCGGCACGGCCTGCCTGTTTGGCAGGCCAAAGATGAGTTTGTCGATATGATTAATAATCACCAAACGACGGTTCTCGTGGGCGAGACGGGCAGCGGCAAGACTACTCAGATTCCGCAGTTCATTGCTGAGGCTGGCTATACCGCAAACCGCAAGATGGTGGCATGCACCCAGCCAAGAAGGGTGGCCGCGATGTCCGTTGCTCGTCGTGTAGCTGAAGAAATGGATGTTGTCCTCGGCGAGGAGGTCGGGTACTCCATCCGTTTCGAGGAGTGCTCCGGGCCGAAGACGTGCGTGAAGTTCCTTACCGACGGTATGCTCTTGCGAGAGGCTATGACGGATCCGTTGCTGGAGCGCTACTCGGTCATCATCCTGGATGAGGCACACGAGCGCACGCTGGCGACGGACGTGTTGTTCGGCCTGCTTAAAGAGGTTCGTTGCGTGCAGCCTGGGGTACGTTGTCACCTTATTGTGAAGGCTTGCGTGGATCTCGAGGCGAGTTGCCAGGGGTGGAGGTTAGCTTATCGTGTGCTCGGGGTCGTCGAGGGTGGGGCAATACCTCCGACCAGCATGCATGCATGTCTCGCGTGCCACGACTTGGCTTGGCTCGTTAGTCTCTGTCGCCCATGAACTGACGAGAAGGATTGTAGAAGCAATGGAATGGGTAAAAGTCCGCTTACTACCAGACGCTCTTCGACCTCGGCCGTGCACCGTTAAGAAAACACCCGCTGCGTGCGTTTCTGGCTTCAACCCACTCACACACGACAGATTCTTAAGCAGCGAAAGGACCTGAAGCTAGTGGTTATGAGTGCTACCCTCGAAGCTGAGAAGTTCCAAGGCTACTTCCTGGACGCACCCCTCATGAAGGTGCCAGGTCGCCTACATCCCGTGGAGATTTTCTACACGCAGGTGAGCAAGAGGGTTTGTGGCTGGGCCGGATAACATTCAGCTTGTTAAGCTGGATAGACGGCTTCATTTTCAGCACTTCCTGTCTCGCACTGTCCTGTTCTCACTCCCCACCACAACCTGTGAGAACTGTTCCTGTCACCACCACCTTGCCACCTCTGCGTTCAGGAGCCTGAGCGCGATTACCTGGAGGCCGCCATCCGCACGGTGGTTCAGATTCACGTGTGTGAGCCTCCGGGCGATGTGCTGCTCTTCCTGACGGGTGAAGAGGAGATCGAGGACGCGTGCAGGAAGGTTACCAAGGAGCTGACCGGAATGGGCGATAAGGTCGGACCCGTGAAGGTGCTGCCGCTGTACTCGACGCTGCCCCCGCAGCAGCAACAACGTATCTTCGAGCCGGTGGGTTGCCATGCACAAAGATGTTTGGCGAGAGGATGGCGCCGGCAGGAGGAGGGGCGGGGTAAAGACGTCATAGCTTCGGGCCAGCGCGATTAGACCTTGCACACACCCTGTTGCACAGACTGACGGCTGCTATTCTTGGACACTGCATGGACGGCGGCGCATCACATGGCACTCGTGCACCAGTAGGTGTTACGGCTTTCAGCTGCAGCAGTGCGGGCCACGACACAATGACCAAATGGGGTGCAGAAATCTCTGCATGACTTGTTTTGAAAACGTTCTTCGCTTCTGTTTCGTTGCGTGCGACAGGCACCGCCACCCGCGCGCGAGGGAGGTCCGGCTGGGCGCAAGATAGTCATCTCAACCAACATCGCCGAGACGTCTCTAACCATTGACGGTATTGTTTATGTGATTGATCCGGGTTTCGCCAAGCAAAAGGTCTACAACCCCCGCATTCGCGTCGAGTCGCTGCTCGTGTCGCCTATCTCGCGGGTGAGATTGGAACCTGATACAGGGCTTTCCTTAGGGTGGTGACCGCTGCCAGGGCTTTTTGTTATAGGTTATGTTACCCAAGATAGGTTGGCTTTATGTAAGGTGTATGCTTCGGGTAGGCTCGTGCTGCGTTTGGTATATGTGCAATAGCTTTGGCCCAGAACCAACCCTGCAGTCTCACAGTCTGATATGCTGTGCCTTTGCAGGCTTCGGCCCACCAGCGAGCAGGTCGTGCCGGCCGAACGCAACCGGGCAAGTGCTTCCGGCTCTACACGGAGGCCTCCTTCAAGAAGGACCTACAGGAGCAGACGTACCCGGAGATTCTGCGTTCCAACCTAGGCAGCGTTGTATTGCAACTCAAGAAGCTGGGCATCGACGATCTGGTACGGCCCTTTAGTCGTGTGTGGTGGTTTAGATGGATACCACGATCGGATATAATTGCTTGGGGCAGTTTCGGGGCTTGCGGTAATATCTACTTCTACATGCCGCCACGCCCTAGCTACAGCTACGCGTGGATGGTGGACTTTACGGTCACTTGTCATGTTTTGCCCTCGTTCTCTCCTTCAGGTCGCCCTAGGCAAATTGCTGCGGCATTGTGCATATATGAGCCTGCATTAGGTAGTACAGTGACTAGACGGATTCGTTGCTGTGAGGATATCTTCATTCCTCGTCCTGATTTACCTTGATGATCAGTATGACAAGCATATATCTGAGCAACGTTGCCGAGATCTTTGTAATTTGCAATGGGGTTCCCGCGTTCTGCGCGGAGATTACTGCTGCGGTCGTGGGCGATGGCATTTGCATTTCCACTGTGTCTCATCGTTTCGCCGCTGTGTTGCTGTGAGGATATCTACATTCCTCGTCCTGACATAGGCTGATGATCGTTTTGACAAGCATATATCTGAGCAACATGGCCGAGACTACAGTCTTTCAGAGTTGGCATTCAGGCGTTGTGCACGGCAAGCATGGGTCGGTTTGCCGGGGTTGGCATGTACCCCTCCACTATTGCCTCAGCCTCGGGGACTTTCATTGCTGTGATGAAAATTTCATTCCTCGTCCTGAGTTCATGATGTAAAAATTTGAAGACAAGCTTATGTTTGAGCAATGAAATCTTGAGGCGGTGCAATGGCTGGAATTACTGGACTTGCTGGTGCATTAGGTTCAACCCTATCTCCATGTCGCAGGTGCACTTCGACTTCATGGACCCGCCCGCACCCGAGACTCTCATGCGCGCACTGGAGCTCCTCAACTACCTGGGCGCCATGGACGACGACGGCAACCTGACGCCCGTGAGTTGGAGCTATGCCTATAGCACTGGAACCGGAACCGTCGGCAGGTGGCCTAGCCATCGGAAGCGCCCCCCTTTGGGGCGCCTTTGTCGTGCGCTTGGCCATGTCACTCTTCTTTTGAGGCTCCATATGGGGCTGTTGCTGCTCGTTGGTTGGACTCCGGCTTTGTGCGGGTTTGCACGGCAGGAGCTTCAGTTTTTGACTAAGCTGCAAAACGGTTTGTTGGTCGGGAGTGTTGGAGCTTTTCTGTTGGTTGCGTGTTCTGTTAAGGAGATCATGTTTGGTTGTGAGGGGCTTTCCATAGATCCAGACACTAAATGCGTGCTTGCCCATTATGGGGCAGTATTTTTTTCGGCCCTGACTTGTTGTTACCATGCGAAGATGAAAGGCAACGAGATCTGTGTTGATCCTATTCAGCTAGCTTCTTTTCCTTGGATTGTTGGGGCACATTTACATTTGTCTGTTTGCCCGTGGCGCAGGGCTCAGCGCCTCGCGTAGGCTTCAGTCCCGTCCGGGCCTCGCTTGCCCTGCCGTGCAGGCTCCCTTTCTCAGCTGTTCATGCCGCATCTTGCTCTTTTCTCTTGCGCAAAGCGGGCTGTCGATGTGTCCCTCATCTTGCACAATGTTGTCTTCCGCGCTGCTGGCATGTACCCTCTGTTTGGCGCCCCGGCTTATTGCTCTGGACCCGCGGGGTTCACCTTTACCGCCGCTAATGTCTTAACCTCGCTGAGCCCCGTCCCGTGAATGCATCTCGTATTTGCTGCTTTGGATGGTCCTGTCGGGCCATTCATTTCCTGCTCGCCTTACTGTGGCGGGCAAATACAACAGATCGGCAGCATCATGTCGGAGTTTCCGCTCGACCCCCAGCTGGCCAAGATGCTTGTCGCATCGCCCGAGTTCAGGTGCTATAGGCGGCGCGCCGGGCCAGGGAGGGTGATTAGAGTGGGTGACAGAGGGTTCGACACCTCAGCATGCGGCCTAAACGTATGCCCACGGCGGTAGTCTTTTTAGGCGGGGCCGCTGTGGCGCAGAGTTTGTGTACGATATCGCTGAGTGGTGTATGTTGTTATCCTCTTCGCCTCTCGCCTGCCTTGGCCACAACTCACCTGTGCTGCCCTCCCTCGTTACTGTTTCGATGGGACACCTCATACCTGCACTGCACACGCGAAACTGCACGCATATTCACGCCCACAATGCAATTGCACGCACGCGCACGTATGCACGCGTCTCCGCGTCTTGCACTCGCACTGCACGCCATCCGCTGCGTTATCGTCGCGCGGTCGTCCACGCGTGGAATGGCGCGGCGCTGCTGGTATCCTTGGCGCCTCTTGCGACTGGACTTGGACGACGGCCTCCAGGTGTTCAAATGAAATTTTGTCGATCGCGGCCATGCTTTCGTCACCAAACGTGTTCCTGCGACCGCGCGAAGCGGCCAAGGCTGCTGATGAGGCCAAGGCGCGTTTCACCCACGTTGACGGTGAGTGAAAGGGTCGTTGGGGCTACTTGCATGTACCTCTGGTTCGCTCAAAGTGATATGCGCAGGGCTGAACTGGGCCAGCTGCAACCGCTGGTTGCAGCCAGTCAATGGGCCATATACGCGTTATTTTGTTTGCAGCGTCACGGCAGACTGGGTTCCTTTCAACACGATGCTTGGCTTGGTTCCGTGCTTTCCCCAGGTGACCACCTCACCATGCTCAATGTTTACCACGCCTGGAAGAGCCACAACGAGGACCCGAACTGGTGCTATGAACATTTTCTCAACTACCGCTCGTTGAAGTCTGCGGACAGCGTTCGCACCCAGTTGGTAGGTGGGAAGCGAGCTAGATGTAGATGCATCCCCGTCACCTGGTTCATCGATGACCGCTGTCCGGATGTCGTTGATAATTCGGTTTCCTGACGTATTACCGTAACTGACCTAAATTTCTGTGCATCTCCGTTGCAGGTGCGTATTTGCACACGCATGAACCTGCGGTTGTTGAGCACTCCCTACGAGGACAAGAACTACTACCTCAACATACGGAAGGCTGTTACCGCTGGCTACTTTATGCAGGTATGTCCACGGGAGCTGCATGCAACGGCACTATGGAAGGGGGGTTTGAGGCTCTGGTACTACGGTGCCGTCATGGCCATTCCGCGAAGCTGCTCGAGTGCTCTAATCAACTGCTAAGCGATACTGCATGGCATGGCTATGCTCACGTGTGGGGTCTGTTTGTCGCAATGTGCGCTTATGGCACGATGCTTTTTGGACTGCAGGTGGCGCACCTGGCCCGCCAGGGCCAGTATCTGACGGTGAAGGACAACCAGGTGGTACACCTGCATCCTTCCACATGCCTTGACCACAAACCCGAATGGTAAGTGCAAACAGAAGCGTATGTGCTTAGGGTGTTTTTTGCGAGGCCTGGTGGCGGCAAAAGGGCTCGACTCTTATGAATTTGCACATTTGGGCGAAAGCTGATGAAGTGCTCGCCGTCATCCGTGTGTTGCAGGGTTTTGTACCAGGAGTTCGTGTTGACGACCAAGAATTACATCCGTACGTGCCTCGACATTAAGGGGGAGTGGCTGGTGGACATCGCCCCTCACTATTTCGACCTGGAGAACTTCCCTAAGGGGGATTGCCAGCGCGCGTTGGATCGGTTGTATGCCAAGAAGGAAAAAGACAAGTCCGAACGCTTTTAACGCGCCCGTTAAGTATGCTAAAAAGGATGGCTGAGCGGAGAGAAGGATGCGAAAGGAGAAATGATGCGTGGGCTTTAAGCATGGGGCACGTTGCTGGGCAGCGGGTAGTGGACAACCTTGGCATCGCATGCTGTTGTTTACAAATTGCATGCTCGTAGAGCATACGTCATGGCCATGCGTATTTGGTGGGGCGTGTTTGCATGAGTATAGAGCAGGCAGGTAAGTACTGGCAGGGAAGCGGTGTGTGAGTGACGCGGCTGGATGGTGCCCGGCGAGGGGACTGCTCTGCTGGGTTGCGCGAGGTGGTTTATCATTTTCTGCAGCGCGTTTACATGAACGCGAGTGATGTCGGGCGAGCGCCAAGTGCTAGCGGGACCATTGGATATTGCTTGTGTATTGTTCTTTAGGTACTTGGTAACAAGGTATGCTTTACACTTGCCTTAACACCTCTGGGTTAAGAATCACATCTACAGTATTGTGGACGTTGGTCCGTATACATGACTGCCGCCTCGGCAGTTTCCCCAAACAAACAATGTCCATCTGGTGGCACTGACTTAAAGTTTTGACACGTACTTAGTCGACGTGGCAACCTTGCATTGAACGCACTCTCTGGACGTTCATAAATGTACGACATGAGCAAACAATGGTCATGAACAAATGCAAGCCTGTTTTGCCGCGATAAATTCACTGTAAATTCACGTACATGTTCACAGGTACCAGCTTAACCTTGCTATATCACGCAGCCTGCAGTACATTATACATCCTGCTGCCTTTTTCAACCTTCACAAGTCGGGTACATGTACAACTCCCAGCCGGAAAAGCCTTATAGCTCCACTTTCTCCTTGTGTGCGTCCGGCTTTTCGATCAGATGCGGGATATAATCATGGGGGATTTTACCCACAAATGCAGAAGCTGCCTCTGGGTGGCCCGCCTGCAGTACAACAGTGGCGTGGCAGTGAGCTTAGGGTTTTCCGAGCTGGACGCAAAGGAAACACATACGTACGGCTCTAGACCGCTCACCTTGTGCATCTCCCGCCATTCTAAATAGCGCTTGACTTCAGGGTGCGCCTTCAGTCCCTCCTGCGTTATGCGACAAGGCCACGAGAGAACATGGGAAACACGTCGACCCGGTAAACATATGTATACTCAAATGCCGTACAAAGAGGAGGCATCACTCGTGTGATAATGATATGGATTTAAAAGGAAAGCGGCATGCGTTCGTCCTAAATGCTCCACAGTTAGGCGGTGCTGCAGTACTGCTAATTGGAAGCAGAATGTTGTGTTGCACCAATTACGAATACCTAGCGGCCTATTAATCTACGACTTCTCGTTGCGCATAAAAGTTGCCCCTGGAAATCGTCTTCGGCCATGAGCCGCTTGTCAACACAAGGTCTCGTCAAAGCTTCTACCCAGTGTCTCACTAACCTTATGCTTTTGCTTATGAAGAATGTGCCGAGGATCATGGTCCTTCATAACCTCGTTTATCTGTTCTTCGCTTAGTCCAGCAGTCTGCGACAGAGCCAACGACCATGTACATGTCAGGAAGGACAGTCGCACGAGGACACGCGAATTGCGCAATAAATGACCTTAAGTCCACGCCTCCTGCTATAGATGGAGGCCTCTGTTTGAAGCAAAAGAGCAAGTAAAAACAGAGCAGCCAGTAAGGCACGGGGCGCTGACTTGCATGTGGCCATTCTACGCGTATCTATTGCTTGTTACCGGAACTTTCAAATTAATTTGTTTTAAAAGGTAGAGCGTTTTACAAGAACTGCATGGAAACAAGGGAGGGGCAGTGACATGTTAACCTTGCCATGTTAACCATTTACACATATGCCGTACCAAAAGTTTAGTTCACGTAACGGTAAGCGAAAAGAAGTTACGACGAAACGCACACATTAAGTGTAAGATTAATCTATACGGGCCTCTGTTGTGTGTTCATTATAGGACGCACAATTAAAAAGAGTTCCATTCATTTCTTAACCGGCTGGTTTCTGGATTCGCCCTTCTCAGACGTTTAACTCAAAGATCTTGAAAAGAGGTACATCTAGCTACCTGCCCGTGCTCCTTCATTCCGTGCTACAAGCATGGTCAGAGTCAGCACGGGTGGGCTCTTAACGCTGGCCGGCTTGGTAGGCTTAGTGCACACAACTATTGCGGTGATCCAATGTGCGCGAGGCTTGGACAGCTGTGCTCCAAATTTGCCGCCGTCATTAGCCAACAGCCAGCGTAACTTTAACTGCAGACCGGCAATTGCTGAAGCTTTCTCAGGAGGAGTTTGAGGCGCTGCCGGTAACCATTGTGTTGGAACTCTGCTTTTCCACCGCCGTGGCGGTTCTGGGTACGTGCTGCCGGGGGTTGAGTCATTGGGTGTTGCTCGTATGCCGAGGCTGACTGCAACGAATGGGTGTAGGCGCGTACCTCCTGGCAGGGCCCATCAAGGTAATTGTCATGCCGGCGAAGGGCAGGTGCGAATTCGTTAGAATGGAGGCTCGAGCGAGCGGAGCAACGGTGCTTGGCGATGGGGTAGTAGGCTTCAACCCTCGTTTCCCTGCCTGCAGGAGCATGGATATTGGGTCATTGCGGACTGACTCCATTTCATTCAATATGAGGAGCAGGGCGATGCCGCTCGACATACCTCCGCTGCAGCCCCAATGGGCTAAATGAGCATGCATGAAAGAGCATCATGGGGCAGTCATAATCGTGGGCCAGGGCTGTTGGAAGCAGCTGTTTTTTTTGCGAGCCTCAAAATCAAATGCTGTCCGGTCAGTAACTTGATCAGTAACAAAATTAGGGCAAGCCGTTGTCACCGGACTTGGCAGAATCTGAAAGGGGGCCAACAGGTGTTGGAAGCCTGCGAACGTCTCACATGCTGGTCCCTCGGGCTTTGCCTGCGCTTAGAGTGGGCACGCGTGACAAAATTGCCGCTGGACCTCGTGCCGTTCTGATGTCGTGAACTGTGTCGCAGGCGTCCCGTTGTGATGGCCGATGATTCACGGTACAATGCCGTGCTAGGTTGGTGTGTTGCCGACGGGATGGCATTGTGCCTGAGCGGCTCAGGGTCATGCCTCATGAGTCTCGACAAGGATGACGCCCGACGAGTCGAAAAGCGCTGGCGTTGCGGGTGTTGCTGTAACAACATGCTTAGGTCGTACCCATCCTAGGTTTTCGGCTTGCCAAGCTGTGCTTGCCGGGGGTAGGTCCCAAGGACGGAAAGGCCTTGCTATATTGTTACAAATTCTTGCTGCCTTTTCCATGTCCCAGCGCTGATGGCCCGCCCAGGTCACTGCATATGTGGTGTTCACATTAATGTGGTGTTTGCGGGTTAACCCTGACATGTAGGACGCCATCAATCATCGGTTGTGCGCGGCTTCAGCGCCGTGAGATGGGCCTTCGGTGCCGCCCACTGGGCCGCGAGTAAAGGGGTGGGGTTCCGCATTACTGCGCGGCAGACAATGCAGCAAATTTTGATGGATGGAAGTCATCGCTGATGTGGTGTCGGCCTATTTGTCAGCATGGCGGCAGCTGTACGAGACATTATTCCTTGAGAACCAGGGTTTCCTACAGAACATCATACTGCCGAACGCCATAGAGAGGCCTGAAGGCCGAACGGCGAGATGCGATACTGTGAGGTGCAGCAGGGGATTCCAGACGGATTAGCTTAGGATACTTATGGGGTACTTTGGCGATAGTCGGGAGCTTCAGAAGGACCATGCTGTCGCAGCAAAGAACAGAACAAAGCCGTTCGGGGTAAGAGCTTTCGGCACAGCTTGAAATCTTAAGCTGCACAACGGCGGCGCGGCTTTTGGCAGCTGAACACTACAAAAGGTCTGAAGCTTTGCTGCCGCAGCCTTGTTGGTTAGGCGCACGGTGCATCTTTTGGGAGCGAGAAGCTCTTAAACATCAAGCCCATTCCTTCGTCTTCCTTGACACCTTGGCTCTATGATGGGCCTAACGGGCTTCTTAATAAAAAGCTGAGCACGCAGAAGCGCTGCCGAGCGTGCGCGTTGTACGCTCTGTCCCAGGGTGTCCTGCTCTGTCCTCCGCACGCCCCTGCTTGTATATGTCGCGTGTACGTTTGTATTTCAATCAATGGGAGTCCCCTTTAAGGAATGCTTGCTCGTTTAGGGATAAGCGAGTTGTAAATATTAATTCCAATACAGCCGTCCATTGCCAGCCTTCCATTGCCGGGGCCCCGCAACTTCGACCAGAGCGCAGATGCTTTTCCTACGATGCCTGCCTTACCGTAAGGAACATGGTTAGGAGTCAGCGAGACTCCTTGAAGTACGGATGGAGCCGTACCAGCGCTTCACGCGCATCACGGAACTCATCCAACCTGATTTCTTCTGTCGCCCTTGTAAGCATCCATAGAATCCATTCTGCTAGGTGCTAGAAAATGGCTCTACCTTTTGCTGTGGTCTTGCCGGGCCTCGGCGAGGTGAAGTCGTTCGATGAACTTGGCAAGAAATACCAAGATTGGCTAGCAGGCCAGGATGTGGCAGTGCAGGTTCTATTGACAGGCCTGCAATCAGCGGTACAGGGTGGCGTCCTCGGTTATATGTTCGGAAGCATTAGTTCCTTCGATCCGAACCAAAACGGCGCAGCCAAGCCTTCTAACCCAGCTCTTGAAAGCGTGGTCAAGGCTGGTCCATGGGGCTCAGCTCGCAACCTGGCCGCCTTGACTGGCGTGCAGGCCGCCGCCAGTCTGGCGATCAAGAAGGCTCGGAATGGCAAGGAAGATGTCTACAGTGCGTAAGTCCATAAAAATTGTGCATTTTTATTTAGCGGGCATGCGTGCATTGGATCTTCATTAATGGATTTTGGCTTTTGGACCGTAGGATGGGCGCCTCCTTCTTGTCGGGCGTGGCCTACTCGGTTGTTAGTGGGTCACCCAACCCAATTCAAAGTGCTGTGACCACCGGCGCTGCGTTTGCCTTGTTCAACGGACTTATCTATCAGGTGGATATACAAGGGGACTAAAGACACGGGGTCGGTATGTTTCCAGGGAGTCCCCCAGCGTCCTTCTCTTGCCTACCCGCTGTGGCATTTGTTTACATTATATCTTCCCCAGGATGGGATGCACCTACGGATTTGCATAGCATTATTTCCATCTATTCACTGATGCATGGTTTTGTATTCGATTATGGCCCTTTTCATTGGTGGATGGGTACGAATGCCACATGTCGCAGCGTTTCATTCTTCCGCACGCCATGCTGGCACCCGTTTTTTTACTTGTGGGGGAACCTGTCACCAGTAAACGTTTATGACACTTCCTATATTGCCTCCACATTCTAGTTTGGTCAAGCATTCAAGCCCGAATTCGCGGATACAGACTACGACCGGGGAAAGTACATGCTGAAGACCCTTGGCCTGACGGTGAGAATTGTGCGAGGCCCTGCGAGCCATTGATGTTCATAGCATTAACGGGCTGTCACTTTGTTTGATCACTACCAGCCTTGGAGTGATAGCAGGTACATGCAGCAAGGCAATTTGCCACATGCTGATGTCTTTGGCCTTTTGATGCCCGCAGAAATACGCTGACAACCTCAAGAAGGGCCTCCTAACGGACAACACGATCATGTTGTGGAACGACAGGTCAGACCGGGCCGTGTCTAGGAGCTGCACTAGAGAAGGATGCATGAGCACGACTTTCGTTGGCCTTACGGTGGACGAGCTGTGATGGTTTGTCTCGTTCGGTGTATTGGCGAATAACCAACAAAGCCATGCCGACAATCCTTACATATCACCACTCACAATCTGAGCTCGCTGTCAACCGCATAGTGCTTCAACCGTGTCCATTTGATTGATTTGCACTCCCTAATGCAAATTCCCCTTCGCCTGGGGAAGCATCTTCTCGGCACTTTGCAATAATGAAGGAAGCGCAATGATGGTTTGTCTCGTTCGGTGTATTGGCGATAACCAACAAAGCCATGCCGACAATCCTTACATATCACCACTCACAATCTGAGTCGCGACCTTGCTTCAATGAGTTTTGAACACCGGCCGCTCGGCCCCGGGTCCCATTCTCCTTGCCATGTGCGGATAACCTTTTGCCCTGCCCTTGCATGCTGCACGCAGTGCGCTGGCGGAGTGCCGCATCCCACCAGGACCACGGCTACTTATCCTCCACCACCTCGACACGTACCGCAACCCCAGCAATGTGCTGAAACCGGCTCTGCCCCTGCCGCCGCTCCCACCACAGCCCGTGGCCACAGCATCTGCCATAGCGGGACGATAATCGCCCGGGACAGCCTCTCAAGGGAAGGCGCTATGAAATAGGACAGGGGGGCGGCGTGTGCTGGGCAATAGCGTGTGCCCCATACGCATGAGTGCGGACTGATTCGAACGGATATACTGACTGGCGCGAGATTACGGACGAAGGGTGCCCATGATGTCGTGTAGCGGGAGTAGGACTAGTGACTATAGCGCTATCACTTGTATCTCCGCCACACCGCCGAGATATTGGCGGTTGCGTGGGCGGTATGCTCAAACTGAATTTGGGGACGTCTGTGGCATACTAATTTTCTGCATGGCGGCATTCTAAAGGCTTTGCTCTTATAGCCTTGGGCAGGCGGGCAGAGTATAGGATTTGTGCACGTGCGGTTAGGGCGTCAAGGTATTGGTTGGGTTCAGGCTTACGGTAGGGATGGCGCTCTACCAGGAGCGCGTACATGTGACTTAAGCTAGGATTAATGCAAGAGATTCAGGGCATTGTACCTAGATGAACAGATGATGTGGGTGAGTATAGACGCAGGATGCCATGGTTTGTCTGCACCTTGCAAGCAGTTCTTCGTTGTGTTGAACCTGATGCCCTGGCACGATTGATGACGGGCTCCATGGCGGTATGGTTGTTTGCTAGCTATGCAGGATTCTGCTTTCCCACAGCAGGTGCAAAACGCAGCGCTGTCGCTCTAGCCTTGTACCCAAGCAACGGAGCGCACTCGCTACATGCGCTCGAGTAGCCAATAAGGTCGACGCGAGGAAAAACCTTGGGGAGTGAACAAAAAATACCTGTCGGAATTACCCGCCAGCCTTTACATCAGGCCGATACGTTTCCACACGCCGACCACTTCAGGCGGTACACCCTTGGAGTTGTAAGCCTGCTGCAAGATCGTTAGTCATCAGAAAACCACAGAGCTCCGAACGCACAGCACATAGAAGCAACGCCTCGTGTAGTATAAGGTTCAGAGCATTACATGTCGCCTCTACACTCAACAACAGGTAGGGGCCCACCTAGCACAGCGCACGCATCCTGCTATTGGGAGATGACAACAACCAGCCATGTTTATACATCATGCCACTCAGGCCCCTGGATTGTATTGCTTTAATCAGGTCCCGTGGATTATCGGTCGCCCACGTAACACTAGGTGATGCTCGTTAAGTGGTCGACAGTCCTATGCGACTGCATGGCTAACGCACGACGGCACGGATCCACACCTGATCACCTTAGGATCAACATTGAACGTGCGTACGAATGAAGCATATCGCCAAACAAGGACATTATCCTTACGGGCAAATCCCTGTAAGTCCTGCCCGATACCGCAAAACATAGCTCCTCCGCAACTGTCAGAGCAGCTCTCTGATTGGCAACGTCACGCCCCTGAAGATCCCAACATACCACGTACACAATAGTGCATTGACGGGTGTTGGAGTCTACTCAATCCCCCACCGCCGCTTATGTTCGTGTTGGTACACTTAAGGTCCTGTTCAGCACCTCACCAAGTGCTGACGGTATTGGCGTCATGCTTCGTGTGTGTGCAGGAGCAGCAGCAGGGGCCCCAAGGCATGATCTACCAGTCAACGGTCCAGACAGCCATTTTCGAGGTCCGCCAGGCAAAGGCTAGCTCAGCGACACAAAACCAAAACCAGAAATCAGGCACCCAGTCTCGCCGTCCTCACATGGGTTGGCCCACTCCAGGTGCAGGCCCCGCTGCAGCAACCGCCAAGCACACACCAACACACGGTCAGCGGCCCCATTTGCAAACCCGCTATGATTCCTGGCAAGTATTTATTATATTGCTGCTCCCTGCACACCGCAAAACACAGTCACGCGTACCGTAACCCACAACATTCATCACACAAATTGCACGCACGGACACACTGAAGTATCTTGCTCTATATGCCCTCATAGCTCTTCACAACCGCGTGGCGACGAACGAGTCCTTCCATGCGTACCGCTCCAACATCCGCTTCACAAACCGTTCTCCGCCTGCGCTGTACATGAGCTGTTCTGCTGTGACCGTGGGCTCGCCGGCAGTGGCGGCCGCAGCCGTCGGACCCCCAGCACGACCCACACCGCTCGGCGGCGTGGCACCGCGGCTGCCGGCAGAAGGCGCCGGCGGCTTCGGTGGATTGCGGCTCTCCCATACGGCCCGGACCACCGCCGCCACTTCCTCGTGGCTGAAGGGTGAGCGGTGCAGCTCGATGCCGGCCTCGGCACCCAGCGGGTAAGCTATCCGCAACACCTGCTCCGCGTTGGCGCGGGCGTTGGAGGAAATGTTCGCGGTGACGACGCTGAAAGCCTTCTTAATGCCCGCAAATGCGTCCCGATCAGCGCACAGGTACAGGAGGCATGCACGATAGTCCAGGCGGGGAGTGCCGTCCGCGGAGGGCGACGAGAAGAGCGCCCACAGGACCTGCTTGAGCGCACCAGGGCTGTGTAGAGGAGCAGGGCAATGGGGCGGGCGAGGGGCGAGGGGTTAGGGTAGAAGCTACCACCGGAACCAGCCAGAGATAAAAGGGACACACGGCAGTGTTATAGTGACGCCGGCAAGCTGTCGAAGCTGTAGCTGTGGCGAAGAGGGTGAAAGAGGCTCAGGGGAGGGGCTTAGTTCCAATGTTGCATGTGGGTCACACAACATGGTGTCCTGTGTCAGAAAACTACGGCCCAACCCCTGCGCTGGGCGACGCCGCAAAGCCAAATGCCGCTTCCTTAAACTGGGCCGGGTTGCCTGGAAGGTAGAGTGTGCGTAGTTGGAATTTCGCTGCGCAGCCTTACATCAAAACGCATTGACTGCACCTACCACATAGACCATATCCACAGGACAAGCCTGCGTCGCAACGCGTGCAATGTGTCCCCACAGACTGACCTGTCGTACTGCCCGTCGTCGACAGGTGGAGTGCTGGGCGGCGGTATGGCGGAGGGATCGGGCCAGCTCTCCCCGTCGCCCCGCGTGTGGCCGCCACTTCCTCCGTTTCCACTGGCCCCAGTTCCTTTGCCGCCGCTGCTGCTGAGCTGCTGTGCCTCTGCTAGCTCGCTGCGTTCCCGGTGGCTCTCCGATGCCGGTTCGCCGGCCGCGGAGGCTGGAGCCGCTGAGCTGGGGGCGGCGCCTGGCTGGGCTGCACGGTACTGGAACCACAGCTCCGCGGCCGACCACTCCTCCTGGCTCAGCAGCCCATCCTTATCCTTATCCACCTCAGCACAGATCTATGGGCAGATATTTAGGCGGGGTAAAACCCATTCTTAGATGCTGGCAAAAGCTTACGGTACCTGATTGCGGAGGTATAAGCCAAGTGAAAGATGTAATCCTCACTAGCAGGTGACCGCTGCTGACAGGCCGCCACCACACGGATTGCGTCACATCGGGCATTGTCTCAGCCATGACTAGCGGAGGCGCAACCTCTCGTCCCCTTCGTTCAAAGATAGAATGAGCAACTTCCGGAGCTAACTACTGTATGCTTCCCCACCGCGTTGCCGAGGGCTTCTAACGCTGCTCCGATTCCCGCCCTGCTGCGTCCCACGTCCCAACCCGGGTCCCGAACTCACGTCCACTTGATCCGCGATCTCGGCACAGTCCGCCCGGGCAATGAGGGGAAAGGCTGCCACAACCAGATGAGCCACCACTTCCCGCCAATCCAAATACGTGCTGTACAACGGGTCGTACAGCCGCAGCGCGCCTAGCATGCTGGACACGGAGGCGCTGCGCCACGGCTCCGGCAGTGCGCCCTCTGCCGCCAGCCGACAGAGCATCTCCGCGGCGTCCTGCAGCCGCATAAAGCCGCTGGGTGCCGCAGATAGGAACGCCGCCGTCACGGCGCCCAACTGCTTGGTGGACAGCAGGCCGCCTGGCGGCTGCGCCTCTCGGGGCTCGGGGCGCGGCAGCGGCGGCGGCGCGTCGACCAGAAGACCGCCCTCGTCCAGTAGCAAGTACTCGTCCTGTAGCCGCAGATCGTGCTGGAGCTGCTCGCCCCCGGCCGCGGCGGCCTTCGACACCTGTGCCGGGCAGCAGAAGGGTAACGGGTTATCCCATTATCATCCAACACCCAATGCGGCTCATATCGGGAAAAAAAAGCTGATTACATCGAAAAATAGCTTGAGCAAGTAATGCACCAGTGGTCCTAATCCTCACCCTTCCTCCCCACTCACCTTCTCCAGCGCCGCCACCGCCGCGCACTCCGCACGGTACCTCGCCCGGATCCACTCTCCCAGCTTGACGGCAGTGCCCGTGGCCAGGTTGTATATCTCGTCCATCTGCCCCATGCATCGCTCCGCCATCAGCCCTAGCCGCGCCTCCAGAATCGCCACCTCGCGACCGCAGCCGGTCAGCAGCTCCTGCGTCATGGCCTCCACGACACGTGGGTCGGTCGCTGCGTCGTCCTCGTCGGCGCCCTTGCCCTTGCCCTTGCTTGCCACCTTGGCGCCTGCGTCCCGCTTGGCCTTCTTGGGGTCATCCGGGGCGGGCTCCCAGGACGCGTACGTGGTCTTGGCCAGAGCGATTATCAGCTTGCAGGCCAGAGCCAGCGGCGGCGCGCGCTGCTCTAGCTGCGCTATCCATGGCGGCATCGCCACCGCTGTCTTGGACTTGGGGTCGATCTTATCCTTGAGCTCCAGCGGAACACCGCCGGATAGCAGATCCGGGGCTGACACGTCGGCCAGCATCGGCGGCTCGCGCGGCGCAAACAGTGGTGCCCATTTGGCGTTTGCGTAGCTGCGCAGGAAGTTGAGGGAGGCCGCAAAGCGGTCGGCCTCTACCTGCGCCAGTGCTACGAACTGCTGTGCCAACAGGCTGCAGTGGTCCGCCACGAACGAGTCAGCGGCCACGGCAGCACGCTGCGCTTCCGCCTCCTCCATCTTGCGATCGCACAGCGCCCACAACTGGTCTCGGAGCTCCTCACAGCGCAGCATAAGCTCGCCACGCGTCTCCCGGGTGCCGCGCAAATCAGCCTCCACAGCGTTGAAGGCCGTGAGGAAACGTGCCACAAGAGCGGGCTTCTCATCTGGGCGCTGGAGCAGGTCCCGGAAGTTCTGGCGCAGCGCGTCAAAATGCCGCTGAGCCGCGGCATGCTGCTCCGCCAGGCTGGTGAAGCCCAACGATAGACCGTCCAGGTAGCACTGCTCCACCGTCTGCCACTCTGAGAGCAGACTGCCGGCCAGCGGCCGCGGCAGCACGGGCGGTTGCGGTGCAGCAACCTCTGCTGCAGCGGTGGCTTCGGCGCCGTCAGCACCCACAGCGGTAGCCGCGGCCGCGCCTTCGGTGGCGGCAACGGTGGTAGCGCCGCTGGGCACAGTCGTTGGCCGGGAGACGGCCGCTGCACTGGACTCCGACGGAAGCTCCGTGGCGGCAGCCAGGCGCTCTGCCTCGGCCGCCGCCACTGCCGCGGCCTCCTTAGCCGCCAGGGCCTTGCTGGCCGCCTCCTGAGCACCACGCGCAGCCTTTTCCGCCTCCGTCGCCGCAGCGGCTGCTTCCGACTCAGCATGCGCCGATACCTCCGCATCCCCCAAGGACTTGTGCGCGCGCTCTACCGCCTCCGCTGCCGCAGCGGCAGATGTAGCGGCGCGCTCTGCGTGTGAATTGGCGTCAGTGACTGCGCCTCGCGCCACCTTTAGCTGCTCCGCGCACTTGGCCGCCGCCTGCGCCTTGAGTACCTCCGTCGCCGCGGGGTCGGGGTTCTTCCCGCTGTTGAGCAATGCCGTGGCCTGGATCTCTGCGCGCTTGGCAGCGAGCAGCTCCCGAGCTGCGGACTCGGCAGCGCTCTGTGCCAGTTCAGCAAACTCGTGAGCCTGCTCTGCAGACGCGCGGGCCTTATGCGCAGCCTCCGCCGCGGCGCGGCAGCTAGCAGCCGCGGCCTTGGCGCGCAGCAGCCCTTCGGCTATATCCGACGCCGACGCCAGCACCTCTGCCAGCGGCCCCGTGCCGTCGACCGGCCGGCGCAGCCGGCTGAAGCGCCGCAGCCAGTCATCAAGCGTGGCCGCCAGCTCCGACTGTGATGCCAGGCGGTGCTGGATCTGCTGTGCGTCGTTTGAAACGTCGGCCACCTCCTTAAGCCGCGCCGAAAGGCCCGGGTCGTTGGCCGGCGGCGGGTCGAATTCCAGATGGAACACGCGGCCAGTGTCTGGGTCCAGGCGGCGGCCTAGCGCTCGCTTAAGCGCCAGCTCTGGGTCGGCCAGGTCGCACACGATCACTGCGTCCAGCCCCGAAACCAGCGGACGGCCCACCTGCGGCAGCGCCGACGAAGGCGGCGGAGCAACAGTGCTAGCGCTGTCGATGAGCGCCTGCTCGGATTCCAGATCCAGCCCAGTCAGCATGCGCTCCAGCAATACTGCTTGAGCGGCGGTGCGAGGGAAGCCGTCCACAACGAAGCCACGCTGTTCGTTGCCAGGAGGCTGCTGCTGGGCCGCGGTGGCGCCAGCGGCAGCGGCGGCAGCCTTGCCGGAAGTAGCAGCACTGGCCTTCGTGGCACTTCCCTTGGTCTTTGCCTTCGGGTCCGCCTGGACCGGCGGAACCCATTCCGCTGCTTCCTTCATGCCCAGAATCACCAACCGCACCAGCGCCTCGTCCGGCACGTCGCCCCCTGCCTGCAATGCCGCGGCAACTTGCGCGCCCAGCTGTGCTTTGACAGATGGGCCGGCTGCCGCCGCCGCTGCCGCTGCTTCTGCCGCTGCTGCAGCGGCGGCAGCAACAGCGGCAGCTGCAGGCGACGCCGGCGTCAAGGGCCGTGACCCCTGTGACGAAGCCGGGGGAACTGGTGGCGCTGCTGCTGCAGTGGCTGCCGCCGCCACCGCAGCCTCGTGCGCCTGCGCCGCCGCCATGGCATCCGCCACAAGCGCCTCCGGGTCCAGCAGCAGCAAGCGGTACTTCCGTGCCAAGTCCTGTGCCACGGTCGTCTTCCCAGAGAAGGGCGCCCCCACCACGGCCAGCCGCAGCGGCAAGTTCTCTATGGCGGGCAGCTCTGGCTGGGGAGCGGGCTCGCGGGATTGGATAGCGAGCTCTCCCACCACCTGCAGGATCAAAATGGAAGCACAACAGCAGTAACCCAGAAATTAAGGTGGATTAACGGACTTTCGCCAAGAGAACAAGGCAAAACCCATGTACATAACCAAACCAAGTGTTTTAAGTGAGTCCAAGACACGCTATACCTGGTTAGTTACTCCTGCTAATGTCTTCAAGGACGTGCACGCAGGCACACGTCTGGAGGCGCACATGGAGCTGCTTTCTTCAATTGCAGCACACGGAGGCAATTGCATCACGCAGCGGCCAGAAAGACCAAGCAGCGCCATCCCCGCTTCACCTCCACCTCTATGTCCACCTCCACATCAAACCCAAAGAGATACAGCGCTTCCTTAGACGTCCCATACAACCATGCGCTGCACCCGGAAACCAAGTTCCAGCCATGGCGATAGCCGCTCGTGCCCCTCACGGTTGGGTCTAGTATCGGCTGTGTTCTTTCCCTTACCTTATCCCACCCACAATCACCAACCGTCCCACGCGCACCTGACCCAGCAACTCGTCGTGTCCAATGGGGCCCTGCTCCCGCACCCAATCGCCAGTGCACGCCAGGTAGTCCCCGACAAGCGCCCGCCCCAGCCGCGACGTGGCCTCGCGCGCGTCCGCCTCCGCGAGTTGCGCTTCGGAGCCAGGAGGCGGTGGCGGCATACCCAGCTGCGGATCCCCAGCCGCAAACATGGCCAGCCATTGGCGCCATTCACGTCGCGGCACCAAGTTCCCCGTAGCCAGCCGGTACTCTGCAGCCCGCTCCGCCAGCCCCACAAGCTGGTACACCACCTCGCGCGCAAAGGCCGCGTGCTTGGCGGCCTTGGCCTCCGCGCGGGCCTGCTGGGCGGCACGCCACGCTTCCATTTCCAATGCCGCCTCCGCCTCATAGGCTTCGCGCATGGACCTGCAGGAGCAGGGAACCCAGGTATGGGACGGGCAACGGGGATTTTACCAAGGGGAACCTAACCAGGCGATGCGGCTTCGGCTAACAAGGCGAACAACCGTGGAAAGGGGTGCATGGGATAGGTACCGGGATTTCCAGGTATTCTGGAGCTCAAGACAGCACGGCGGAGGAAGTGAGGGTAACACAGAAACACCAACACGGCCACTCCGGGCGCCGCTTTTGCTGTTGTGGAGGAGGGTGCGGGGAGGAATGCAAAACTGCAAGGTAAACGAGGGGCCCCCGGCGCGCACACGGATACTCGCCGATTCGCCGACATTGAAAGGGCCCTCAAGCCGATGGCGCAAGCTATCTCGCTGCTAAACCGCCGCGACGGTCGCAAGAGCGAGGGAGGGTCTCCTCACCTGTGCATCTCCGCCTCCCTGCGCAGTGTCTCCTCCCAGTCCCGCTCCCGCCGCTCGGCATACTGCCGCTCCCGCAGCAGCCGGTTCTCCCGCATGACCTCCTTCTCCTGGCTCACCTGCGAACCACCATCAGTCGAGGGTATATCCGAGGAGAACGCTGTGACAACCAGGTGCATGCCAGCATTTGGGGATATCACACAGGGAGCCAGGCAAAAAAACGATTTCCGCGCTTCGCCCTCCCATGCGGTAATCATCATCTCCTGCAAGTGGCTCTCCAATTCTAATGAGCATATGGGCACAACGGCGGGCCCAGCGGGAAGAATGGCGACAAAGCGGTTGTTGCGCTACACAATACCCTTGTTTGGCAGGAAAGCTTTCGCAGCCCGCTGAGTCCTCATCTCGCGGCAAAGCTCAACTTGGGTAAGCGCGGGAGCTATAATTCTCAGTCCCGTTTTGCGCCTCCGTCCTCTCGCAGCGCCGTGGCCCCGATACCCCCCTTCCGCCCATCCAAAGCGCACACCTGCCACAGCCGGGCCGCCAGCCGCTGCTCCTCTGCGCTCTGCCGCTGCAACGCACTGACCAGCGCATCCACCTGTGCCTTCCGCTCCGCCGTGGCTGCCGCTGCCTGCTGCTCCACGACCATCTTTCGCCGCCGGGCCTGCACATCGGCGGAGTCAGGTACAAACATATCACCATGGCGATCCCCAACACATGAACAGCGGTTCCTCAATCTCATCCGAAAATGCGCGTTAAGCTGCCGATGCCCATACACTCGTCTTGAACGTCTTGTCTTTCGTTCTGGAGCTTGTGACGGCGCGCTGATCATAGCGGCCATTCCGCCGCCGGAACATGACATTTGTTTGACCCTTTCCCGGTTGGGAGCTGCCCTTCGTTGGTCATTACTGCACCCTTTACAGTCATAAGTGAGCCGTAGACCCACCTCACGCTCGCGCTTTGACGCAACGTCCTCCGCCCGCGCCTCCTTCACTCCGCGCATGTACGCCGCCGTGTCCTCCAGTAGCTTCGCCGTCGCTGCGGCACGGCTCTTCATCTGCTCCATGTGTTCCACGGGCGTCTTTCCAGCCGGCGGCGCTAGCACCTCCTCACCTGCAAAAGCAAAAGGGCAGACAACATTCAGCAGCCTAAATCTCCCCTCCCATCTGTCGGCAAAACTGTCCCTAGAGCGGCCGCTGCAGCCATGAAACTGCGGCTGCGCCAATCTTCCAGAAACCCTTCGTGTAGTCCCCCGGGGATGCAAACTCGCCTTCCCCTTGGTCGCCCCGCACAAGGCGCTTCATGTTGATCTCAAACGCATCGATGCCACCATGCACATCCAGAGCCGCGTGGTGCAGCTCCTCCAGCTTCTTCCTCCGCGCCTTCTCGCTCAGCGCTAGCTCCACTCGTAGCTCCTCGCGCTCCATCTCCTCCTGCAAGCCAGGCGAACGAGGTGGGCGCACAAAACCGGGTACACGTGTCGGGTCGATCCCATCCCGAACACAGGGACACATCGACGCAACCCGGTTCCTATACGACCTCACGGCCCTCCTCCGTTGGACCCCCACCATTGCCTTGGCTTCCCAGTAACCCTTTCCCGAATGGCTCCGCACCTTGCGCTTCAGCAGCGCCGCGTGTACTGCGTCGTCCCGTGCCAGCTTCTGCGCTTTCTCACTGCGAGCGCTGCTCATCTTTTCCATCTGGGTCGAGCGGAGGGCATCACGCTGGGCTGTTTGCTGTGCTCGCTCGCGCAACAAGGTGGCCAGCGCCTCCCGCTGCTGGCGCAGCCCCTCATCTGCAAACTTTGACAGGTGAATGCTCTCCATGACCATGTTCGGGTTCGCGGCTTGAAGCCGCAGCAGCTCCTCGAATTGCCTGAGCATCGGCGGGACCGCCGGCGGTAGGGAACGTATGAGGGGGATGCAGGGCATGGCACGACAGTGATAGATTCACCGCCCGTGGCGTTATTAGTGTTGCCAGCTGGCCGGCTGTCTTCGTGTCATCCACCGGGATCGTACCTTAACCAAACGATTAGGCAACGGCCACCTTATCTAACATCGCTAACCCGCGGGAAAGCAGTAGGCAGGAGGCCTTCCCACAGTCTGCTTGTCTACAGTTTGGCTTGTCTGAAACCCTCATGCCGTAGGTGGCAAGGTCAGGTCGAAACCTGGGCTGCAACCCTACGTGGCTGTTTGGGCTCCAGGCAAAACTGTATTACGTACCTGTGTGCACTGGTGTCGTACTTTTCTTTGCTGGTGTTGTGCTTTTGGGCATCCAGCAATGTGCGGGAGGGGCTCACGGACGCACCCACAGTCCTCCCGAGGTTGCCTGTGTGATGGTACATCTGCACCCGCGTTTACCACGAACACAAACCATAGTTAGTCAACTATCGCTGCAGAATTGTTACCAGAGCCATGTCCTTCCGTCATAAAGCCCACGATGACCATGTCTCTTACCGAAAGAGATTTCTGGAGATGGGACACATTCTGCTTAATGGAGTACAGCAGACGCGGTGCGACACCGGTCTCCTCGCGGATAAGCATGTTCACCACCCGCGTGTCAAGGTGAACACCGAGTTTCTTGAACGTCGGCTGCGTATCATAATTACCAACGTCAGAATACCCTCGGCGACATGAAGCCCCCACCCACACGCAAGCTCGCCCGCACCTGAAGCCGGGTGTAGTTGTTTATCATCGAATCCGGCATCCGCTTTGGATCGAAATGATCCAAATCTGGTTGCAGGTTATATTTATTCAGGAGCTGCCCAAACAAGTAACCAGACGCGAAGTCCTGCGCATGCCCAATGAGCTACCTGTTTTGAAGCAGTTGAGGCCATCGCTGGCAAAATCACAGCAACTTACTCTTTCAATATTGTCTGATACGGGCAATCCAATCTCCTCCGCCAGCCAGGCTCTCAGGAGGTCGCTCATCTTGCTTCAATAAGGCGTGCAAGATGCGGAATGTTTCAAGTTAGGAAGTTCCAAGCATGGTATTGCGATACCTGCTCTTAAGGCTTCTCATTACAGGATATGACAGTGAAACTTAGAAGTCGCTATTTTTTCTTGTTGCGCCAGCGTGCGTCCTATCAGCAGCTTAATATGCATATCGAAAGCTAAAAAATAATAGTGTTGGAATGCAAGGCGCTTCCCAGGAGAAAGTCATATTGCCGTACACGCACAATGGACGACGACCAGCGGGACCCTTAGCTACATTTATAGAGTTAATATACCTGCGGGCATCATGTTGGGATCGCAATTTCCTCTCGCATAATCTTCGCCTACTCGCTTAACATCAATATAAAACTTTTAGAGTAAATTGGCTGTGAGACGCGTTTTCTACTGCGACCAAAAGGTGACGGCCTTGTCACGGTCCCCTCCGTCTCCACTCAAATCGGTCTAGGGCCGCTCAATGGCAATTGAGTCAGCAGGCACGCACTGAAGCTTGCACTTCGGGCCGGCCGTTCCGTCGCTTTCCATCTGGCCAGCTACACTACATCTTCCATGGCTGCGTACTCAAGAAATAGGTGGCTTGTAGGGGAACTAAGGAGCAGTATTGCTACGAGGGACAAGAAGGGCCTGGAGGGCTGTAGGAGTACGATGGGCAGCGGTAGCTACAGGGCCAGTTGGAAACCTTTACAAAGCCACATTGGCCCTCTAGTCCTCTACCATTATGGTTTCCGCACGTAGTAATGGGGCACAGGAACCGGTTTCCTCACCCCTGGTAACGTGCGAGAGCCGTCATCATCGTAAGACAAACAGACAACCCCCCACCCACCCACAGATTCTCTCTTTCTAGCATGTGCGCATGAATTCCAGGGTGACACTTGTGGATGAATCCCCATAGTACAGCCTCCATTGTCCAATTCTTGAACCGCAAACTGTATGCAATTTGCAAAGTCTTTTCAAGCTGGTATTCTAGTCCATTAGTGGCCGAAGCTGACCGTAAAGGCGGACCGAACCGCGCTGTTACAATTGGCCATCTTTAACGGGAAAAGAGTGACCGGCCGCTGGTCGACGCAATCGAGTCGCGTTTAGTTGCGCGGAAAAAGGAATTACAAAGGGAGAAGTACTGCCCTGATGCATTTCAAAATGGAGGCAGCGAAATGTTCGCGCCAAATAGTTTTGAGTTGGACGTCGACCAGCGACATTGAGGTACGGCTGTTTCAAATGGGCTTATGCAGTCTTATGCATGTCATGTTCTTTTTTCAGTATTCATATACATTTTACTAGACATTCTAAGTTCATGCATTACCTTGAATGGTGCGTGCAGCTGGGAGAAAATTTGAACCTCGGCTGTGAATAGTTTCCCGTTCCAAGAACACACAACAGTTATGTCCTGTTAAGGGGCAGCTGAGCATGCAATACCACGTCGATATATTCGGAACCAAACGCAAGCGTGAAAGGCTTATTAGGGAGGAAGGTGTACGCAGAAATACCACCGCCGCAAAACGTGACCAGCAAGTGCAGCCCCGCTCCCCAAGGCAGGACATAGGTGGTAACCAACCCACCACTGCAGATGAAGACAAGAATCCAGAAGATGCGCCACGGGCCTAGGCTGGAGTCCTGATGATGGTGGCACTAGGTGGCATGTCTTACGGACTCAACTCGCTAGTCTGTACTTCCAACATCTTCTCGCTGCGAGTGCAACCCGTGCAGCTCGGCTGGTGGCAACGCATTCTGCACTGCGGAGTGGTGTGCAGAGGTGCAGCGATGAGGCAGGCTGTCCCCGCTGTGGTTCCACTGGATGTCGTGGTTGCCTTCCTCCTATCCCCATCATAGTTGTCTCCTGGGACAAACCTATGGCCATCAGCCTTCCCCAGCTGACCTCCGTGCACTGCCGTGCGCTTTTCACCATTCGGCCAACGGCTGTCGACTGCCTGCCTGATACAACAACTTCATGGGGCCCTTGGCGTCGACGTGGTGGTCAAGACATCCTTTGGTGGCAGGCCGTGGCCGTACAACAAGTCAATTCCCTGTCTATTCATCTAAGCCTTGTCAGGTTCGCTGCAGCGATGCTGGCCAGCTGGGAACACAACGAGGATGACTCCGTCTGGGGCAGCGGCGACTTTTTTTGCAGTGAACGCGCTCAGGCAGAGAAAGCGGCATAGATGTCATACCAGTACTTGCAGGGCTCGGTGGAGGACTATCCTGGGTGGCCAGCTGGTACTGTCAATGGATGCCCCGCTAGTGGAGATGCCCCAGCAGCCCCCTCCGAGAAGCCCAGGCAACGGTGGTGGAAGCAACAGCCGCAGCCACAGTTGTGCCCCTGTCCGTTGGGAAGGAGTCTCCAGCGGCGGCACGAACGTGCCCTGAGGGGGTGGGCGGGCATTTGACTCACAGCTCGAAACACTAAAGAGGTTCCCTCGCCATGCGACGGGGTTTCTGTAAGGAAACGCATAACTACCGCGCCTATGTGAGTTTGGATCAGACGCAGGGGCTGGAAGGCTAAGGAGTTCACACTCTCAGTGCCAGGATCAACGACATAGTTAAGGAGAGCATGGCATCAAACTGAGGACTAGATCATGTTTCTCCATCCAGCCCTCCAGGAAAGATTCCTGCTGTATAGGATAGCATTCTCCCTTCATGTCGTTAGTCGGCGCGCTCTACCGATGGGATTCGGGTAGGGAAGGTTTCGGTCCGACTGTTCTAGGGCAAGAGATCCGCGATAGGCTTGACGTTTGACATTTTGGCTCATGTTGTCGAAGAAACTTTCTGCATGGATGTTGCAATATCTATTATCCTGTTGCTCGTAAAGGTCAAAAATTAAATTTGCGTGGAGTGTAGGTGTGATTGTATGGATGGTTACGTTGAAAAGTGCTGCTCTCTCGCAACTCAGATGTTTTAGGTGCATTGCAACTAGGGTCCAACCCGACTAGCTCGTGTTCGCGTGGGCTTCTATGAAACCCGCTTGTTTGCTTATCTGTGCCGGTGTGGGATCCTGAGATCAGCTGGGGTCGAGAGTAAATTGTAATGTATTCTTGAGACCAGCAGCAAAGCGAATGAGGATGGTTATGATTGAGACTGTGTAGTGGCAGGCTCACTACAGGTTACGTCTCGAAGTGGATGTGTTGGAAGGCAAGGTTGGAGGATGCATGGTTAGGATTCGATCATTTCAAGGGGACACGGTTAGCCAGTTCGCTTAAATGGGCATGTTGGAAGGTAGAACGCATAGCCATTTGGGACGGAGGCTTCGAGTTCGCAGTTGGACGTGTACGGAGGTGACGGCGAGTATTCCTACCAATCGCTTACGGGCCCGGACAAAATTCGGTTGACCGTGTAATGGAAAGTGCCTAACCATGCATCCGCCAACGACCTGAAATTCGCATCCTTGAAAAAGCAACTAGAAATAAAAGGTTGGGCTTTTAAAGAATGATTGCTTACCCTATACCTCGCGCTTTAAAGCCTTTTTGCTCGTGTGGGCTTTACGATATCGCCAGCTTGTGACATTGCATAACCCTGCATTCACTGCAACTCAGAACGGGCCATCTGCTAAGTTGATGTACAACCCTTAACGCATGTAAGTGTTACATGTTTAGAAGGGCTTAAGTGGCGAACAGTTAGTCATGTGTGGCGTAATACTATACAAATGTCCCTACCCCTGCGGCCCTGATGACCTAAGGCAACGTTGCGGATGGCGCACGCAATAGCCAAGGCTCACTTCAGCGGCGGTGTTGCTACACTTGGACAATCTATGTAAAACTCTCTCAGCTACCTCCTCAGTAATGCGGTCGTAGATATTCTGAAAATACACCATGCTGCAGACAGGCCCCAGTACGACACTGTACGAAAGGATTAATTCTCTGCGACGACGATACTGATCCTCTACGCAGTACAGTCTACACAGGTACCTTCCCAAACTTTCCTGCCGCTGTTAGTCCCCGTCTTGAGCATTTCAACGCGCATGCTCGACATCGTCCACAAGTCGCAGAAACGGCATGAGCAAAGAGACGAGTAAACTGTTCAAAACTCGTGAATCTATAATTGGTGCAGTGTGAAGCCTGCAGTCCCAGCGGCGTCAGCGTCTTCCGTCCAGTAACAGTCAGTCACGGCAGCTAATCTAACACAAAGGATGTCACGTGTTGCGGTGCCCCTACATCTACGCATCCGCAATGAATTCAAGCTCCACATGGAAAACGTCGGCTGCATCAATGCACTCCGATAGAGCACGCATCGTTGGATCCTACCTACCCCTGCCTAAGAATGTGCGTGTGGAGCAGAGAGCACGAGCACCGGATCCCAGTCCGAACAGGATGGACACAGGTGGTTGAAACCACAGAGTAACCCGTGTGCCACTTCGTCGACCATTGCTTTGTCCCAGTTGCCCTTCGCACGTTCTGCGGTGAGTCGATAGTGCCACCCTGAATACTTCGCAGTGTAACACGCAGTTTACCCAGGCCTGCGCCTGTGATGAAGACACCCCTCGTGCTGTCAGCATGTCCAAGCAGTAGCTGTAAGGGCTCCAACCTCATCAGTAAATGGTTTTTAAGCTGTTCTTCTTTTGTTTGTGCACCGTCTTAGCACCAATGCGCACCACTGCCTTATCTGCCCGGGCTGCCGCCTGCAAGGGACACGGAAGAGCCTATTTGTAAGTCATTCAGTGACGGGAGAAGAGAGGTTCCTGTGGCTCGATCCACAAAGGGTTCCGCCTGGGAGGATGGCTGTAAAGCCGCTCCGCTGTACAGTGCTGCGCGCTGGTGTCCCTTGTACAAATATATCTAGGTAGTCGACCCTAAAGCAAAGGAGCGGCAGAACGGCCAGAGCCCACAGGGTCGCCCACTTTTTCGATTTTCTTGTTCTTGCGTGACTTCTGTGCCTTTGTCCGTTGACCCCTGACAGCCTTCCTGCACGGTTGCAACATGCGCGACGGGACGGTTCAGTATTTCAGGGCCAATCACATTCCAGCCACGCACACGCACACTACTTCCAATGTCCTGACATGGAAAGACAAGCCCAAAGCAAGCATGTATCGCCACTCGAGAATTTGCGGCAGGCGTGGCAGCAGGTCAAGACACTAAGTATAGGATTACACGCTACCATGCACAACCTAACGTGGAATCGGGCAATAGCAATCTGTGCACTCGTTCAATTGCCAGGGACGTACATGGAAGCCTTCTGGACGCCCAGCGATGTGCCCTTTGCCCCTTGGGGCGGCAATGCATCAGCAATCTCCATGTCTACAGCTTGAGCAGGGATGTTCATCTTAGCTGGGGCTAATCGCAATGTTGTACATGCCAAGGCAAAGTCGGTAAACCTAACCCTATTACCTGATTCCTCACACTTGTCAATTATGTGTGCCAATATCCATAGGCTGCCCACGCGCGTCGCGAAGCTCATTCAGTTTGGATGTGGAGGCTAATGGGCTAAGTGCAAAAGAAACCCGAGGCCCCGGGCCTGGAAAGGGCGTTTGGAGGGGCAGCTCTAAATGCGGACACCGCGTTCAACGGACTCCGCAATCTGGATATCCACGAAGGCGTATGCATCCAGTGCTGACCCCTCAAAGGCCCTAAGCCTTTGCCAGCTGCCTTCCTACCTGCACTTTCCCCCGCCGCCGGCGGCGTGGGCGCTGCGGGGTTTACGTCGCCATCCAGGGCCATGGCTGAAACGCCCGAAACCCAGCCGTCGCTAGTTCCATCCTTTTTGTCGAAGAAGTTATCGAACTCCGATTTCTTTCGCTTTCCTTTTCCTTCTGCACGATTCATAAAGTTTCGGACCAGCTTTGGCATATAAGTCGCTCGCATATTGAGGATTCGACTTACTTGATTTTCCCATTTTCCTAACACTTCGACCCTGTTGCAAAATATCAGCCTGAACAAGCTCGGTTGTCAGGGCCTTAGCATATAGTCTAAAATGACAGCATTAATAATATATGCTTGCAGACAAGGTCATAATACGAGCACCATTTCATGCGTGTAGTGTAAAAATGTTTGCTCTAGACAGGTTCGGTACGGACATTAGTTATGCCGTACGGATTAAAATATTCCGCATTAAAATCTATGTCGAAACTCTGCTAACCAGTAGAAGTGCTGGCTTTGAGCGCTGAAAGACTTGCGCCGCAGAACGCGGTGCAGGTGTTGCTTTTGCAAATAGTCCAAAGCCAAAATGCTCACTCACACCCAGCGCGCTTTTAACCTTCGTGCCCAGACATCTAGGCGTGTCTGGGTACGCTGCAATGCAACAGGTAAATGTCCATGACCTGATATTTCAGATAGAGTCCATCATCAGTAGCTCTGATTCCGTCGTGATTGTGTCTGCTCGCAGTTTCAACGCAAGTCTTCACTGCACCCACTCAGGTGCAAGTCAGCAGCACGGTAAGTGACTGACGTGCCGTCGTAGGTTTCGATACTCGCTGTGACGCCTTTGATGTGCGGCAGGTTCCTGTCGAGATAGATGTCGAGGCGCTCCAGAAGCGTCTTGAGGCGCGTGCGAAAGCCATGATTCAGCTGGAGGAGCAGGAGGTTGCTAGCCGCACAAAGGTAGCAAGGGCCGCTGTACACCGTCCATATGTTAGCTTCCCGATAACCAAGTATTCAGGACGTCCAATGAGGCGATATGAATTGCCAACTGTAGGTTAAATTTGTGCTCAAGCAGAAAATTGGGCTTGGTGAGTGTTGGAAGGTTGTTGGCAGATGCCCAGAGCTGGGCAACATGTTGCCAGAGGTTGCACCTTACATGCAATGGAACAACGGTGACGTATGGACCTACGAAGCAAAAATTCGCCCCGGTACCTTTCAATTTAAGGCAGTCCTTCGGTGAGTTAGGGGAAGGGAAAACTTACTTTGGCGCGTTGTGCGTACAACGTCAAAGCTAAGACAGCATTGCTTGACCCATCCCTGCGTGTCCGAGGTGCGCGCGTTAAAAACACACAAGCGCTGACATGTGATTCCATTTCCATGCAGCAAGCCAGACGGGCAATACCTTTGGGAAGATGGCAAGGAACGCATCATTGAGGTATGCCGCCGCCTAAGTTACAACGTCCAGGGCTAATAGGCATCTTCTTCTTGACCTCTGCTCGTTGGCGCCATTTGGCACCTGGCTTCGCGCACGATAACCTCATAGGCTCCACATTCCCTAGCAGTGGCCACTCACAGTTCTGTAGGGAAGCTTCTATTTGGTCAGCCAGCCGTTTCAACTTGCAGGTGCCGTTCGGGGAGCCGGCAGACTTGGAGATTCAGATCACTGACGTCAAGTTCAAGTAAAGATGCACTCCTGTGGCTTTACACCCGGTCCGCCTTTGGCAGTGCATTTGGGAACAGTGCGATGTCGCAATTCCATGCAGAGCGTCCATGTGCCCTGCGGCGACGTGTATTTCATTTTTTCATCCATCTATTCGAGCTTTTTTGGATATAGCTATTTCGTTATTAATTTTGTTTAAACTATGTTGCAACGACGTGTTGGTGGGTGTTATAGCCCCTCAGCGCACCTCGACTTCAGTACTATACAGAGCAGCTGCGCTTTTAGGAGTTGATGCAAAGGCGAATGTTGCTTGCAGCGTGCCTCGGAGGATTTTCCCGTTCAATTTGGGCTGTGCGGCTTACCAGTGAACGGCGTGGTATTGACCCTTTGAAAGACCTGTGTAATATAATCTGTCGGGGTACGGAAATGTTGCGGAAGCACATAAATCTGAGCTTTTTGTATGGGAAGGCTTGCTGCATTGGCCTTGGTTCTCATGTCAAGCTAACTTCCACCAGCTGAAGCCACATCATGCGGAAGGCTGCATCATAAACACGGTACAAAATACGATTACGGATGACCTAACGCGGGGTACGCAAAATCGAAAGCCTTTCGGGTTTCGTCGGCGTTGTGAGCAGATTTACCATCGACAACCTACCAGTTGATCAGATTCGCTATCAATGGCAAGCTGTCGTCGACATCCTTTTAGTTATAGAGGTTCATATCGACCAACTTTCAGTTCAAACTTAGTGGCAAAATTGGTTGCTAGCCGGTAAGCGTGGGTATTAGACACTGTTTAGGAGAGACTTCGGAAGTGAGAGACAAACGAATTTAGGACATAGCTACCCGCAACTGCGCTGGCTCTCGCCGGGACAGCGCATCATAGCTATTTGCAACAGGGTATGCCGAGACAGCGTTATACCATTCAAGTACCATAAGTCGACCGGCTAAGAAAATACTTACAAATATGTCTTCTGACATCATGTGTATGGTTGGGATGTACGAAGCCTCACTTGTTGCAAGCTTCAGTGTTCTATTGTACGAGAAGTGGATCCAAGGATTCAGGGTTCCAAAGACTCTTATGCCTCCAGTCATCCGACTGCCGACGAATGTGCATCCCGTTGCCATGATTGTTTTATGCACAAATCTCTTTTAATTGGTAATGTAGTTCTGTGGCATATCTATGCGGACTTCCTTGGCTGCCTAGCAGAAGGCGAACTTTTAACGAAAGTACAAGCATAAACATGCTGAAGGAAGTTCAGCCAAATAGCTACCTGTCGCGCTGTACCACTGTCAACAGCGACAAGGTTTCGGCACCGAAAAGCGGTCCAGAAAACTCGCTCCTTGCAGCAGCAAGTTCGATGCGACTGCCAAACAGCGAAGATGAGCTAGAAGATTATAGCAGCAGCAGCAGCAGCAGCAGCAGCTCTCTTTCAGAGGATGGGCCGTCTGTTCCGCGCTCCATACCTCGCCGGCGCCTCGTCCGCCTTGACAAAAGCAGAAGCGCTGCTAATGAGCAACCTGTAGACGACCTACTCAAAGGGATTGCATCTTTGGATTTGAGACCCGCTGCTACACAACGAGCCGGTCGCCCAAGCGCTGCGCCAAATGGTTCCGCTGTTCATGCTATGCCGGGTTCCTCTCCAAGTAACGTGGCCCCACCTCAAGCCCCATCCGAGGCATCGGGAGACAGCGACACCTCTGAAAGTGACAGCGATAAAGATGTCGCCCCTTTCTATGAGCGTCTGGTTCCATCCTTGGGGGCCAAGGCAACCGCGGCCAAGGCCACCTCTTCAGCACCTCCTAAGCCTGAGCCAGGTTCTCTGGTGCTCGGTGAGGACCAGCAGTATGTGCTTGGAGCTCACGTGGCGCAGAAGCTTTACCCACACCAGGTTCAGGGGGTGAAATGGTTGTGGAACCTGTTCTCCATGCAGCGCGGTGGTATACTCGGCGATGACATGGTGAGTAATCAGCGTGCGTGACACGCACTGGATGGCGCTCCCCTGGCTGGCAAGAGAAGCCGCTTTTGCCGATTGTTTGGCCTCAATACGTGAATAACCGAGGATTCTTCAGCCCGTATGCAACACACCGCTTGCAACTGCAGGGGCTCGGGAAAACCATGCAGATTTCGGCATTCCTTGCTGGCCTTTTTGGGAGCCAGCTGGTACGTCGTGCCATCATCATCGCGCCCAAGACCCTCCTTCCGCACTGGATAAAGGAGCTCACCGTGTGCGGGCTTCGCAACCTTACCCATGAGTTCTTTGGGAACTCCGAGTCGGAAAGGTCCGCGGCACTTCGCGGCGTAGTCAGCGGCCGGGGTGTAATTGTGACGACGTACGGTATGGTGCAACACAACTCCGAGCAGCTGGCGCGCCCAGCGCACAGCAGCAGGGACCACGCTTTTACGTGGGACGTCATGCTCCTGGACGAGGGGCACAAGATCAAGGTCCGGCATGAAGGAGGATGAATGCGGACGTTATAAGCGCCGACATATATAAGTGGACCTAATTTACTTGTTACTGTTCTCCAATGAATCGCCGTTGCTAACTGCAATGAAGCATGTGCGACATGCTGCTGATTTCGTGCTGTCGAGTAGGAAGATAGCTCTACATGATAGGTACCAGTCTTTGGTTGCACAGATGTTTCCCCGTGGGCCCACGTGCAGCCTACGTGCTATGGGTTAAATGGCTGCAGAACCCCAAGATGAAGCTGGTGGAGCACTTGAACAAGCTGCCGGCGCGAGTGCGTGTTATCATCAGCGGGACTCCTATTCAGAACAACCTGATGGAGATGCACAGCCTTTTCGACTTCACCACCACGGGCCTCCTCGGGGACGCGAAGACGTTCAAGAAGTAAGGAAACGATGCTATACCGCAGCGGGCGTCAGCCTGGCCTTTCCGCGTAGGCATCCGCTACACCCCATACATGCTAAGACGGCATCTGCCGTTGTAAGGCATGCCTCCGATGTATGCAAGCATGCATACAGACGTGTTTTTTCCACGATCGGCTATGCAGGAACTACGAACGGCCAATCACCAAGGGCCTGGACAAGGAGGCAACCGCCAGGGAGCGACAGACTGGCGCGGCCATCGCTGCAGAGCTGCGACAGCGCGTGGAGCCGTATTTCCTGAGGCGGGAGAAGAAAGATGTCCTGAGAAACGATAGCAGCAGCAGCAGCAACGACGTTGGCGGCCGCGGTGACGCCACATCGGAGAGCGGTGAGGCGGCGGTGGCTGCTCCGGATGCCTAAGACTGATGATGCTTGCGTTTTACTACGTTTACGGTGCGTCTACATGCTTATACTGTGTTGTACGTCATACTGCCCAGGTCCAAGCTCGTCATCTGGGTCGGCGGCAGGGGTTGCCCCACAAGTTGGCCAGCGCGCTCGGGGCTTGCCGCGGAAGAACGACATGGTGGTGTGGCTGCGCCTTACTGCGCTGCAGCGCAAAATCTATACGGCGTTTTTGCACACGGACAGTGTCCGGCAGGTTCTCAACGAGAAGGCTTCACCGCTTGCCGCAATCACTGTCCTGAAGAAGATCTGCGATCATCCAGCTTTGCTCTCTCAGCGAGCGGCCAACAACGTGATAAAGGGAGCGCACCGGTGCGTGTTGGCGTGTTGGCAAGGATGCCAAGCACCGATGTGATGATGATATTAGCTTTGAACCTGAATGAGCAATGTGCATGGGCGGCCATAAGCTGGAGCTTCAAAGTCAGTTCTGTCCTGAAACAAGCTGCTACGGCCGACTGCAGGTGGGCCAAGCATGGAGGTTCTCAGAGGCGGGAAATGGATGACTTCATTGTCTATTCGGATGAGGATATCGTCGACAGCAGCGACAGCGATGATGCTGAGGGGGGCAAGCACGGCGACGGGGAGCCGCCCGCCGGGTGGTTGGAAGACGGAGCTGGTCTTGATACTGAGCTTGCTCGCGAGCTGGAGCAGCGGGGTGCGGAGGCTTCCTGCAAATCTGCGTTTGTGCTTGCTCTTTTGGGGAGGCTACATGCTGAGGGCCATCGCACACTCATCTTCAGTCAGTCCAAGGTCATGCTGAGCATCCTTGAGGTGGGTTTAGACGTTTCATGGGGCACGCATGCGTCCGTAGTTAGTACCATTGTATCTGATACTCGTGCCAGGCCCAATCTGGTGGCGCACGTAGTGACCTGTGCATGTATGCGTCTCATGGGACATAAAGCTCTCCGCGTACGGCGGCAAAGTAAAGTTAGACTAGCGGAGCATTCGGGCATAGGAAACTCAACGTACTTAGCCTACACCAACCTTGAGCACCGCCAAACCCATTACAGGCTGGCGTGAAGGCCATGAAACTGTCCTACTGCCGCATTGACGGGGACGTGGCCAGCGCGGAGGAGCGGCAGGCGCACGTGCAGCGCTTCCAGAATAGCAACATCCCAGTCTTCCTGTTAACTTCCCAGGTACGCACTACATCAAATTTCTGCACCTTCCATGTTGCGGCTTATTGAACACGGTCTTATTTGCTTTGCTGGTGCTTCGGCTTCCTGTATGCACACCAGGTGGGCGGCTTGGGCCTCACATTGACAGCTGCGGACAGGGTTATCATCGTGGACCCTGCGTGGAATCCTTCCGTTGACGACCAGGTAAGCCGGTAGGCTGGCAGTTGCTCATACTGTTGTGTCCATTACATTGCCGCGCGAGCGGTGTATGTGGTGAAGAGTGGCGTCTGTTGAAAGCATCCGAGGACATGCAAGGAACCTCGAGGATCCATCCCTTTTGACGTAAACTTTGCGGGACGTTTGCTCCTATTTTCACGCTCGTGCAGAGCGTGGACCGCGCCTATCGCATGGGCCAAACCCGCGACGTGGTAGTGTACCGTCTCATCACGTGCGGTACGGTGGAGGAAAAAATTTACCGTCGCCAGGTTTTTAAGGGCGGGCTCTCTAAGACAGGGACCGAAGAGGGCATCCAGTTCAGGTGCGTATATGGCGTTTGGGCATTACATGAACGGGTAGCACATGCAGGGGCTTTCTGTCGGGTTTCAGGTGGGTCAAAACTATGAAGGATATGATGGTAGCGCTGAAGTTGGCAAACCTTATCGGCAGTACCTGGCTAAGTAGGGTTTCAAATAGCAGGCGCACTGTTACGGCTTAGCAGGCTGTATAACTGGGTGGGAATGTTTTTAGGATAATAGTTTTTCCTTATGCATTTTACGACGTTAATCTGTTTCGGACAGCCTTCGGGTCTTGGGCCCCCGGCTCCTGTGGGCCCGTTACACCTTTGGAGAGTAACGCAACTCAAGGTGTAACACACACACACACACCACACATGAACGAAAATATGCCACTCACGGCGAAGCAATGGGTTGCCACGCGGTGTTTATCGCCTAATCCAACGACCGTTTCGCGATTTCCCACCAATATTGAAGTTGGGTGTCATCATCTTCATTCCCTTGGTCAGATACTTCACTCAGACGGAGCTGCGTGACCTCTTCTCGGTGACAACGGAGGGGCTACAGCAGAGCGTCACGCAATCGCAACTGCACGAGATGCATGGGCATCAGCGAGATGCGTCTGAAGATGTACGGCGACACCTGGAGCAAGTCCGGCGCATGGACAGTGTCGCCGGTGCGTTTGTCTTGGTGTGAGTGTTAGGACTGCACGTCAACATGTGAAGAAAACCTCTGGTTTGTTTCATCTGGCGTTCGCTGGGATGTCTTATGTACACAGCATGTTTCGCTTTTTATTGCAGGCATTCACGATCACAATCTGCTTTTTACTCGGCGCCCAGACGAACACGTTCCTTCTGCCCAAGAGGGCCGGGCGATTTTGAATCAGATGACGGGCTCTGGCCCAGGTACGCATGTTGCCTTGTACCCTCCTCGTATGAGCGCTGCCATGCCCTTGGAGCCGCGTCGCAACACGGCGCCCGCGTCTATGCACGCCGTCCATAGACGGTACTCATACTTATATGGCACGGTAGCCGCGTATGTTTCCTGGCGTCTTATGGGTAGTATGATTCCGTGCTTGACCCAATCCTGGCTGTAGTGGGCTTGGATGCACTGACGGCCAAGCTTGGGAGCGGCTTAAAGCTGGACAGTCGCGTCGAGGATACCAAGCGCCAAGCTCAGATAAACGAGCTGCGGAACGAGGTCGTGAAGTCAAAAAACGCAATCGCCAATTACGAATCGTTCATCTCTTCTGGCAAGGCCGGCGCAATGCCAGACCGCGGCGCCAAAGTAAGGGAGATCGTTTGCGTCATTGGCACAAATTCATGCGAGGTATCACTCGTACAAAGTAAGACTCGCAGTCTGAGGGTACTGAATTTGAATGCTTATTGTAACGCAGGTGCGGGCCGTCCTGCAAGAGGTGCGGACGAAGCTAGAGGCGCAGCTCGCACAGCTGGCTGCGCTGGAGGGTCGCAACGTGGATGCTGCTACTCCCGATGCTGGCACGGGTCCGGACACTGGGGGAACCCGGACGCTCCCAGCCGCCGTTTTGGTCACTGCTGCTCAGGGTGCGGCGTCAGGTCCGCATCTCAGCCAGCCCCAGTCTGAGCGACCGCCGGGGCCCACGCTTGGGGGGCGAAGGTTTGGGGCTGGGCTAAGGTCTCGGTCGCTAGGCAATGGGGACAGCACGAAGAGTGAGAGCGCTCTTCAGGCTACAGGACAGGACCAACCACATAAGCAGCAGTCGGCTGGGATGCCCTGCTCGTCCCGGGACCCCGTTAACGGCGCTGTGAAAGGTGCGACGCAGGGCTCGCCGGAGGGAAGTTGTGCCAGGCTTCACGCAGGGAAGCCGGTCACAGCTTCGCTCGACAGCGATGAGGCGGAGGCTTCGTTCGTCACAGCCGGTAGTTTAGGAGGGGAGAATGACGACGGCGTGACAAGCCGAATAATTGATCTGACGGATACGCCGTAGCAAAGGCAACGGATCCTTGCGATGACGGACAGAATAGTAGCAGGTGGTTGGTGACGTTATCACTTCGCATGGAGGATAAATAATTGAATTAGTCAGGAGGCCCTGGGCGTACATGCAATGGTTGCAGCAGGACATGCGCTGGCAGGTGTTTCGTGGGTTTCGGGGTGGGGGATAACACTAATTCGTCAGTAAGCACGCATCATCAGTGTTCCTTTTATATATATGTTGGCACTGCTTCGGCGGGCCAGCGACGTAGAGCTTACATAGTGGCAGGTGTTGTATACTGTTCGCAGGATAGAACCAGCGTAACGCTGTCATTTTTACGTACGGCTTGAAACTGTCGAAAGATGTGGCTGGGGGCGGCATAACTAGCAAATGATGGAAGCGTTATTGAGATGGAAGCGTGTATTGAAATAATTGGAAGAGATGGGAGGTGGGAGAAAAGGGGCGGGAGGGGTGGATGGCCCCGCGCTAGCCTGGGCCACACCTGATAACCACGCGATGAGTCCCACTTTTGTAAACGAAATTGTTTAATATTGTAAATGTAATATGATGCTACTAAGGTCCTTACCGCGCCCTTCAAAAATCTTAGTTACGGCCGTTTGACAGCCGTCTACCGGTATACCAAGATCATACATAAACACATAAGCTTAGCAAAAGTTAGTTTTCTGTCATCGTTACCAACAGTTGCCGTCTTTCTGCCTGCTTCACACGATTACGCAAAGGGAAGTCTTGAAAATTGGGTGTTCGCAGAGGGGCTCTGCAAGCTATCAGGTTTTTGAAATCAATCCTAATATGCAATTGCATAATCTTAGATCGTATATCAATCGCCCCGGCGGCATTGGGCGTCGACGAGTCGCCAGCAGGATGCGTATGGTATTCACAGCTGCGCAGGCAAAGTGGGTCAACGCAACCTACCTTGAGTAGCACTTCTTTTTGACTGTATCGGTTGATCCACCGGCTTCATTCTCTCGTTTCGAATTCGGATAGAGAGGATGGATTTCTTGGCAGCTTCAAGGCCGTGGCGAAGAAGGTGCAGGGATCTCTGCCTATCGTCGGTCTTGTGTCACGGCTTGCAGCACCGGAGGGCGGCTTTGACGAGCTGGTGGGTTTTGTGTCACGAGAGCGCTTGCTGAAGGGGACTTCTCCCAAACCCCCGTCGGCAAGATATGCACTTGCACAGGTTGTACAGGTCACCCGTTCCTAGATATCGTTGTAAAGCCCATGCATGCCTTCTCCTCATTACCTACACCATTTGCCGCGTTCGGCCCGCTACATGTAGGCATATCCGGAGTTCTGCCGCTCCATCATCGACAAGGCCACCGTGAGCTACCGGGTAGCGCAGGCAGAGCTCGAGAAGGCGTACGGCAAGGTCAGTTACGTGTGCGGCAGACGTGCTTCAGAGTTTTGGCATTTGACGACTGGGCTCAGTGCCCATGTCCATAGTTATGATCCGTATGCTGTGCTGGACGCGGGCTGTCCATCTCTTTGCCCGATGCCTCATGAACTTGCCCGATGCCGCAGCCCGCTAACAGCCGATGGGTATTGCTGGTACTGTGGATGAGCAAGATGGGTGTCGGTCTGGTACCAGCAAAGGACATCATTGCGGCCAGCCGGCGGCTCCGAGTTACGGTAGGTACTGCACAGTCTTGGTGTCAATCTACTTGCCACACTGGCTCTGTTCCTGGACTCTAGCTGCTACTAGCGGCAGAAGGGGCGCGTAAGGGAAGGCAGCACGTTCCCAGGGAGCAACCGGTTTGCTCATGCTATAGTATGCAGTCACAAAATTGAGGAGGACGAATGCATGTGCTCTTTGAGTGTCTGGCGTACAAACCATCATGAGCATCATGAGCAAAGCCATGAGTTGGGGTCCCGCCAGCCTAGGGAGAGTGTTGGTTCACATTTGGTTCCACCGAAATTCGATTGCTCTTAGGACCTTAACTTCCGCGCCTTCATTCGCCCCACGTCGGTCACGTATGGATATGTTTCTTTCTTATCCCTTCTCTTTTTGTCTGTTATCGGTTTCCTAATAAAATTTACAACTGTACGACGGTTTTGCATTCTCGGATTAATATGTCGGCCAACTTAAATGTGCACACAGCCTGCACACCCGACTTTAGCAGGCTACAAGAGTTTGCCACAATTGCCGTTTGGTAGAAGGCAGTGGGAAGCCCTGAGCCCCCGGCAAGTTTGCAGGTTTGGGTTTTACGCATTTCCCACCGTGTGATCTAGTTACAAGTTACAAGTTCCGCACAACCGCTGGGGTGTCCGTAAAAGCCGGGGGGCCATGGACGGTAAATCGTTTTTAGTTCGGTTACGCGGTGGACCATCATCGTCCTCCCTCGTCCGCTTCAGCACGCAGCGCCTTAAAGCAACATGCCGGGTCTCCCAGACTTCCGAGAGGAACCTGGCTAGTGCCAGGGGTGGGGCCTCGGTGATAATCGTGCGCATGTCGCGCCCTTGAAACGCGAGGCGCCCGTGTACTAATGTAAGCCGGGCATTCCGCAAAAACATGCATTTAATCTTCAACCGCCCCACGGTTGCAAAGCCTACATGTACTCGCGGTGCGCTCACGACTGTTAGCCGGTTAATCTCTAACTCCCAACAGCCCAACCGGAAACGCATAAGCACTTGATGCAAACGTTGGGGCATGGCGGTTTCAGCGTGGGCTAGCCACTTGATATATACACATCCAGACAAATATGCACACAAGCACGGTCAGAAACATGCACACACACACACACACACACACACACACACACACACACACACACAGACAAAGTCAGGCCCGGATCGATATGTAACAGATACACACACAAACACATACACACACACAAACACACTGAGCTGGTGTGTGTAGCTGGTAGAGGATTCGAAGCGGTGATAGCGCCTTGCGTTGATAAGGGAGAACGGTTAGGACTCTGACCGATGAATCGCCCCTCCAATGATGGAGTGCTTCGGCGGTCGTTCCCGTTGGGGTGCGGTTAAGTGCTCCTGGCCAGCATCAGGCCCGGATCGGTATATGTAACAAATACATCCACACATACATACAAAGGCACACACAAACAAACACACAGGCACACACGCCTGCCGCACACACCGCTGCCGGTTTGGGATGACCCCCGCACCGCAGAACAGTGTCTAGCTAAAGTGCTGTTGCAATGCGTTCCTAAGCCGCTATTAGACTTCGGCTGTGCGGTACACGTAGTACCAGGTGAGCACTGTTGCTTGAAAGTTGGGGTGGTTAGCGGAAGTCCCCCAAAGCGGCACTGCCCCCAACCGCATGTAAACCGCACAGCAAGACATCGAGATTGAGGTGGACCGGTTCGAGAACGCGAAGGGAGCAGTGCTGAAGAAGTACGCGATGATGCAGCGGCCCGAAGGCAAGCTGGAGGATAAAGTTAATGTGGCGGTGGACGCGCTCTGCACGTTGTGCATAGGTGAGTGCCAGACCACTCCAGGCTGGCTCTGGACCAGCATACCAGTCCCTGGCCGCATGCAAGTCGTGAAGTCGTATCGACACACAGGGCGCCAGCAGGGGTTCTATTGGGAACAGGCTGCCACAAGTTCAGCAGGTCCATAACCAGCTTCGGTAAGCAAGTAGGAGGTAGCGATTTGACAATTTAAATGGGTGGTCAGCTCCAGGGCCCCTGCAGATTTTTTATCTTGCGATGTGTGTTGTTGCCAAGCTCAAAAACTTCGTTGTTTCTTGGTTGCAGGTTTAAAAGAGGGTGAGGCCGTGCCGGACACCGCCGTCCCGCTGCTTCGAGACATTGTGAAGGGCGCGTTCCCGGAGGCTAGTGAGGAGTCGGTAACTGCATCCCTGTCTAACCGCGCCGCTCGTGCTCAAACGTACGCATAGATGGGCGTGCCATCGTGCATGGCTAGTATGCGTGGTGTTATAAGCTCGGAGCAGCTTAACTTGCCAAACAGGATTTTACAATCCACCACCGCTTACAAAGCGGGCAGCCAGGGTGGCAAGGGCTATCGTTGGATTGGGCATGGTGTTAGCTGATGTGTGCGGTACGGCGGAAGCTCGACGTTGGCGTTAGGTGTAAGTTATGAGCGGATGCGTCAGATAGACTGTTGCCATGTATAAGGCATTTTGCTTCGGAGCAATTAATGTCGGCTTGCGTCCGCTTCCTAGTTACTGACGACAGAGCGACGAGATCCCTAAGTACGGACCAGGCCGTCTTGTTTAGTGTCCAATCGCCGCGGATCAGACATCAGGTTTGTGCATGCTTGCCATTGTCGGATCCTCGGAATGTCAGATGGTTATGCTTTGATGAATGCGTCGCGTCAAAGTGGTGTGACAATGGTTCAACCTCCGAAAATACTCCGCGGACGTATGTAACATAATTCACTTTAACTTCCGCTTTAAGTTCCGCTGCACGATATTCGCTCCATCTTAAACAACAAGCTCCATACCATTATGCCTTCATGAGATTATTGGTGCCTGCATTGGAATCCATGCCATCAAAAAGGTGCGAGCGTGGAGGAGCGGAAGCAAGAGTTTTTAAACCTTCACAAACCTTCACAGAAATAGTAATAGCAATAGTAGTATCTAGTCTATGTACCCCGCAAAATGGCTGAGACGAAGCATCTAGCTCCTGCCCTGGCCATGATGCGCCAAAGGGTTTATGGACATGGAAGCGTGGCCATGAAATGCATGCTGAGAAATGCTGCACTTTAAGATTTTTGTATTTCTCGTCACACATGCACTTTGGTAAGGGGTTTGATATCAGGCGGAGAAAGGCTTTGGGCCAAAACCGTCATAACATATTGCCTCAATCTGTAGTGGCAATAGGCCACGCAACGTAAGGAAAAACTATAAGTTGCTACTTTAACTCAGGCCGCGCAAGTGATTAACTGCAACGTTGCTTCAGCAGTCTGGTTTCCACGTGCAAGCCGTGCGCCATAGTTTTAGGTGGACTACGGCACCTCCTTTGTACCGGAACGGTTCATGAACTACATTTCTATTGCCAAATGTCATCATATCCGCTTTTATTTCAGTTTCACCTGCATTTTACCCCAATTCTGAGGTCTTGCTCTGATTAATCCCATACATTTGACATCACATCGCTAGTTTGGGAAGATAGGTAACCATATCTATTTTAGTCAATACATGTTTTAGGTTTGGAAGCCGAGACACTTGACTCAAAGACGCAAACCACTATGGCGCTGGGTGGCAAATCATTGATAAAACTTCTCTCGCCACCGTGAAATGCCAAACCCAGATGTAAATCAGGCGGTGGAATTTTCAGGTTCAGCCAACAGCGGCCAGCTGATGCCGGAGCCGAACGCACCGCATTCTGAGCAAGCTGCGGGTCCCGCACAGCCGGCGCGACAAGCACAGCCCGTCGGCCCGATTCGCGAAGCTGCCATGGCTCAAATGACTGAGATGGCAATTGCCGTCGCCAAACGGCTTCGCTTGGAGCAGTTGGACTCTTCTGAAAACGCGCCTCCCGCTGCCAGCAGCGAAACCCCGAGGCCGCCGAGCGCCTCCAAGAGCCACAAACACCACAGCGGCAGCATCAACAGAAGCAACTCCCGAACCACTTCCGGTTACTCTGCCCTTCCACACGCAGTGCCGTCGTTATCGCAGACGAACACTCCCATCAAGCGGTCCGAGAGCACTGCCTCAACTTCGGGTCATGGTGCCAGCCCAAGTCCAAACCGCAGTCGCAGTCGACCCGGAAGTGCGTCTCGTGGGCCTGCACCGGATCCTACGGGTTCCTCTAGGGACGCCCACATCAGCCGTAACAGCTCCCTTACCGAGAGAGCGGCCGCCGGTGCCAACCGCAGCCGTCGACGCCCGGATCCTCTGGAAAAGGATTTCCAGGACAACTGTGAATTAGTTCCGTCGCCGAACCGCTCCTCAAGCCGCTCACATCTCGCAGCTCGCCCGCCTTCTGGCCGGATACGGCCGGAGAGCGCCCGGAGCCGAGGCTCCGGCGGCGGCGCTGCCCCCGACGGCAGCCCAGTGGCGGCGTCGAGCAGGTCGAGTCGAGCCGTTGGCAATGGCGGCGTTAGCAGCAGCAGGAACGGCCGCAGCAGCCTCGAGCCTTTGGGGTACCCTTCTTGGCCATCAGGTGTCGATGGCGGCTACGAGGAGGCGACCCGCAGCCTGTCCCGCAGCGGCAGCCGGGGGCACCACGCCAGCGGCAGCGGAGGCGGTGGCAGCGGCAGGTTAGACAATCAGTCAAGGCCCTCGGGGTCACCAACAAGGAGCACCCGATCGGGTCGGGATGCCAGCGCCGGCGGCGCAGGTAACGGTGGCGGCGTCAGCGGCTATAACGGTTCCGCCGGCAAATCCTCGCGTGCTCTGTCACGGGATGACCAGAGGGGGTTCGATAACCCGGACGTGTATGGTCCGTCGCCCCGTGATGCGTCTCGGCTCCTGCCGCCGCGTCCGCCTTCCGCACAGAGCGGTCGGCACCAGCAACGAGAGCCTTCACCGTCGCTGTCGCCGGCCCCGCCGCTGCACATGGAGCTCCAACAAGGACTCCATCAGCGGCAGCTGACGCCGTCCCCACCACATCGCAGGCGGGAGTACAATCTGGAACCTGCGCAGCAGCAGCAGCAGCAGCAACACCCTGAGCAAGTACAGCAGAAGGACGACCGACACCATCGAGGTCGGAGTGAAATGGAGATGTGGCATAAGCGGCCGGAAAATCAGCAGAAGAAGCATCACCGCGAGCAAGACTCCAGGTCGCCCAGCCGCAGCAGATCCAGCAGCAGAAGGGATCACACACTGCATCGCCCCGCCAGCGGTGGCCCCGGCGGCAGCGGCAGCAGCGGCTGCAGCGGCAGCGGCCACATCTCAGCTGTCGGCGGCCGATTGGAGCGCTCCGCGTCCTTCAGCAGCCGTAGTGACGCACATACGTCCATACGGAGCGATATAGAGGTAGCAATACGGGCCGAGTTGGCGGCAATGGTGGCGGCGGCCGTGGCGAACTCCTCGCCTTCCAGCGCTATATCCGCTGGCGGAGCTCACGGACCCACTTTGGTCAGCCCCAGCGGCGTCAGGACGACCTCTCCACCCCCACGGCAGCTGCAACCCCACCCGCTCTCCCCAGGTGCCCTGAAAATAGCTCCCGACACGGCGGCAGCGGCGGCGGCGACGGTGGCAGAACAGACCACGTCCCATCTGCATGCCATCCAGGCCGCCGGTATTGGCCCTACCACCTCCATGGATTTGGAGCAACGTCTCCCGTCCGCTGCTCCAGCGGCCGCCTCGTCACAGTCCCCGTCACAACCGGTAGCTGAGGCGGCACTCCCGCAGAACCGGTCGCAGCCCTGGGTAGGCGCGCTAGATCCGCAGCTTTCCGAGCCCGTGTTGGGCGCCGTGGCGCCGCCGGCACCGCCGCCTTTCGCAACTCCTGTCTCGTCCCAGGCACAGCAGCGGCGGACAGCCTTGGATTACGAAGAGGAAATTGTCCCGGCGTTCCTGCCGGAATCTGAGCTGCGGCCGCCGTCGTCATCCTCCGCGGCGGCCGACGCGGTCGCTCCTGCTGCTGCGCTGACGCCCGCAGCGCTGGTGGCCCGGCTGCAAATGCAAAGTCCGAGGACTCTCAGGAGCTCGATTTCTTCGCTCCGTAGCGCTGCATCCGGAACCCTGGCCGCTGCCGCTGCTGCCAGCTCTCCATTGGTGCTGCGGCCATCGGCGCGGTCACCGCTTGGCATTTCGCGCGACGACGAGGGCGACGGTAATCCTGCCGCCTCCGTTACTTCGTTGCCAGACTCTACCAGCCAGGTTCAACGAGTGGAGGTACGACCGAGCGGGGGCAGTGCCTCCAACGCGCCGAAATCGCCAACCCCCCCACCACCGCAAACGCGGCTGCCGCTGCCGCCGCAGTCATCGCTACAGCCTGACGGCAGTCGTGACAGCCCTGGCAATGCCCCTGCTGGCGGACGCAGTGGCGCTGACGGAAGTAGCAACGGCCAATCGGGCGGTGCGTACGGCGACGGCGGCGGTAGCTCAGGCGTTTGCGACGGCCGTGGCGATTGGGACTACGGATTTGGCTGCCCTCAGGACCCTGGGAAGGTCGGCTCCCATAGCGAGATGCAAGCGGCGGCAGGCGGCGCGCTGCCGCTTCTGTACGGCAGCGAGTGGGAGGAGCTCACGCACGAGGTTGTGTGGCGGGTGGCGCGGGCTTACGGGTTCCAGGTACGGGGCGAAGTGCGAAGTACGGGGCTCGAGGGTACGGAGAAAGAGGTATCAGGATCGGCTGGCCCTTGGGCGTCAGGGCGGCCGGCCCCTAACTGCCGAGTGGATGCAGGAGCGGAAAGAGACCAGGTGACAGGAGAAGATGGCAATGAAATTGGATGATGGGAATGTTCCAGCGGGGGTTGTGTCGACGTGCTAACGACCTCTCGACTCCGCGTACCGACCACCTCACCTGCTCCTCCCACCCTGAACAGGTGTTCAACCTCAACCCCGAAACCAAGTCCAATCCCGCACCTCAGTGGACTCCGGCCACTGCCTTTTTGGTTTCAGAGCATCTGTGCCGTATTCTCGTACGGAATATGCTCCCCCGGATGAAACCGCCAGCCAGCGCCATGCACCCCGCCGCATCCTCACTCGTGGGGGAAAACGCCAGCGCCAGCGCTAGCGCAGCCGGCGTCTCCAACAGCATGTACAGCCAAGCTCGCCCAGCCTCAACTGCGGCCGCCTTCCCAGGGGAATCGGTTACCTCAGCCGCCGCATACTCGCTCTTTCCCAACATTGCACCTGGCGGCGCCGCCGCGGCGGCGGAAACCGTCGCTACCGCCGCCGGCGGGCCGCGCTTCGCTATGGCGGTGTACGAACTGCACAATACTGTGTTTTGCATGTACGAGCAGCGCTGGTGTCCTCATCTGGACCTGCGGCCACGACCCCGCGATCTGCAGCGCACCTTGGAAACGAGCCGCTGGGCTGACGGCGCTGCGCTGAACGGGCTGCTGTCGGAGCTGGCGTTGTACTTTTTGCTGTACAGCGAGGCCGCCAATCTGCGGCACACGCCGGAGCTGATGTGGTTTCTGTTCTGGGCGGCAATCCACAGCCCGCCGATGGAGCGCTTGTGGCGGGAGGGATTTCCCTCCGTGCAGGGTGAAAACCGCGGAGCCTGGGGCCGTCGCATCCGACTGCGGAATCAGTTTCAGGTGGGTTTCCGGGTCTACGTTTTAGGGCTTTAGGAGGAATCAGGAAGAGGCCCTGGGGGAAAGGGAGCATGCGGGAAAGGCGGTGTTGGGCTTTGTGGACCCGGCGGCGGGCAGGGGCTGGCCCGTGTCTGGGGGGGGGGCTGCAGGAGCGGGCAGCAGGGAGGCGACTGGATGGCCGGTGGCCGACGTACGGTCGGGATGACTAGGGGAGAAAAAGGAGGAAAAGAGATGGGACAGCAGAGGGAAGGGGCGCTGAACATGCGAGGACTGAAGACATACACGTGTGCCTGCCGTACACGACATGAGGGATTTGCTGGCGGCGCCGTTGGACGTGAGGAGGATGAGGATGAGGGAAAAGTAGTTGGGCAAGGGGGTGGGAAAGCCGCCAGGCCCTATTTGGCCCAGGGCACCTACCGCACCCAACCCCGTGTTGTTCTCCCCCCTTTTGTTACCCTTCACTGTCACTTCGTTCTCCACAGCGGGAGATTGCGGCGCTGCAGGCGGAGGTGGGGGCCCCCCCTGGCGCCAATCCGCGGCCGCCGCCACCACCAGATCGGCTTCCGGGGCCCGTACCGCCTGACCTGGCCGCGGTCGCGCTTCCTGCCTTCTCCGCTGCCGTGACGGAGGCGCTACTGGCCGCCGCCGCCGCGGCCGCCGCCGCTGCGGCAGCGTCAGCGCCGCCACCGCCACCGTCACGAACCAGCTGTCTGGGCTTGTTGTCTCCAACTGACGCTGACCTGCTTGCTGACCTGGCAGCGTACGGCGATGGCGGTTTTGTAACCGACCGAATCGTGACGCCGCTGTTCTACTTTCTTAGCCATGAGGTGGGTTGGATTGAGGATGACGTTTTAGATGACGTGTCGTACGCATGCCGTTTGCTGTTTACCTGACAGATGCGAAAGCGCTGCCGCGTGCACCGCGGCTAAGTAATGCCGTACAGCCCGTAATCGTAATCACAAAGCCGTAATGCTGGAGCGCCAAGTCAGTTGCTACCCTCTCTGCTAGGCGGGTATATTGCAGCTGCCGGCCTGACATCGCCCCTTCTCCCCTTCCCCCCTCCACGGCTATGCAGATGGACGCGTTATTCGACGCGGGCGTGGAGGTGGCGCACAGACTGGGCTACGACGACGTGAACGAGTCGATGTGTCGGCGGGACGTGGTGGACAATTTGCTGTACACGCTGGGTGTCACCGAGTGAGTTGTAGTCCCCCAAGACATGACCGTGTGTGTTTCTCGGCGCCTGGGGAGATTCGAACCCAAACCCTTGAAACACAAAACGCAATAATATCTCGAAATCAGTCTGCATTCGTGCCAGCATGTCTAGTAGCCACACAAGGTTCAGGGAGGCAATCCCTCCATCCCCCAAACCTCCCGACCCCCGATCTGCTCCCTTGGCGGCCCCGCTGCCGACCCCCCAGGGAGGCCCTGGTGTTCGGCGAGGTGTTGGACCTGTGGAGGGCCCTCTCGGACCTGGGTTGCCCCTGTCCGGAGCAGCCTCCCATGCCGAGCCACATACCCCGCGCCCCGGGACCCTTTGACGCGCAACTGGCCGCTAACTTTTGGAGCGCGGAGGTCGGTTGTATTTGGTTGGGTTCGTGCTTTGAGGGGGATGGAGAGGGGGGTGCTTGTGCTGCTGCCGAGCCTGCATCGGCTGAGCGATAAAAGCATGCCATGCGGGAAGATAGGTGCATTGCCAATGTGCGCATCTCGCCAAGTATTATATATATGCCACACAGCTTCCATCTGCCTTCCCCCTCTTCCCCCTCTTCCCCCTCTTCCCCATCTTTTGCACATGAACGGGCGCACGGAGCCCCACGACAACCACGTAACCCTCCCATCCACGTCTGAAACCCCCCTCAGGTGTTTGTCAAGACATTTCGCGAGCGGCGCAGCTGGGCGGCTGTCTTCCGGGCTTTTTTCCGGGTCTACTGCCTCCAGCTGGTGCTGCTCACTCTCATCATGGCTACGGCCTTTGCCCCGGGAGATGCGGGGGCGCTCTCCAGTGCGGTTATTTCCCACGTGTGGCTGGCAGCCGCGGAACGGGTGGCCAACTGGTGGCTGAGCAGAAATCCCCCCGACCCCCTGATGGTACGGCAGCAGAAGAAGACCCACGTGGAGTCCCGTACCGCCGTGGCTGCCGCCGCAGTCGCAGCTGCCGCTGCCGCTGCTGCAACCTGTAGCGAGGATGGCAGGGGGAGCGGCGGCAGTGGCGCAGGCGTGGGTCAGGGTGGTGGTGGCGGAGGTCGAGGTCCCCGTAGAGGTCGACTTTGGAGTGTCGGCTTATTCGGAATTTGCAGTGGCAGGTGTGGAGTTGGGATGGGGGGAAAGGGAAGATGGCACGGAAGGAGAAGACCCGTTGGTAGGGGGCTATGGCTCAAGAGGCTTCGGAGGGCCTAAGGCGCTGAGGGTGCATGGAAGGGGGAGCGGAGGGGAGGGTTACCACAGCTGTATAGGGCCATAGGTGGAAAGGCAAGAAAGGGATTGCTCTCTTGCCTTTTTCTTTTCCTTTTTTATTATTATCCTCTCTCTTAAATTTTGCTGCGCGGTGTCGCGTAAGAGCGGACAGGATTGACTGTTGGTGTTATGCTCTGTCCATCACCACACGTCGAAGTTTCCAAACCCCAACCCAACCGCACGGTCAGGTCAGGTCGCCGTACGTCTCGTCAGCCGCGGCAACAGAACCCCGAACACATACCACTCCGACGCTCCCCCAGCTCTACCCTTTTGCTGACGTACTTCCTTCGGTGGGGTCACTCGTGTCACTATCCCGTCGGGACCCCCCAGAACCCCCTGACATTGCTGACATCTTCCCCCCAACAAAACGCACATCACGCATCACACAATCCCAAGCCACGCACTATCCATGTCACCACATCTCAGGACCATTGGGGCTGAGGCTTCCGGGCTGCTTGCTGGGGCCCCCGGGTCCTCCGCCGTCGCCGGCTCGGAGGAGCCCCGGGAGGAGGACACCGCTGTGCCCCCGCCGCCGGTGGTGGTGGAGGCCGAGTCACCTCACGCCGCCCGCGCCCGCCGTCGACTTGTCCGTATGGAGGGGCAGCCCCTGCTCGGTGGCTTGGTGGGCTGCTTTGACTGGGCGCTTGGGGCAATGATCCTGACGGCCTTGTACGTGCTGTACTTGAAGGTGAGTTCCGGTGGAGGGTGGTTTGGTGTGTTTTATGGCCGTCTTCTGGTGTATTTGTACAGCTACGGCTTGTGGCTACCGTTGCTGTTGCTGCCAATGCTGTTTCGCTGCCGACTGATGGAAGGGGAGTTGGCTTAGATTGCAGCCTCGGCAGGAGGACTCCAGCCCAGAGTGCGCAGAAGCAGAAGGATCACCTGAGAAATGGTGGGGAAGGCAAAAGAAGGTCGGATGGTTCATATGAGCTGGCGATGCCTGTGTCGGAAATAGGAAAGAGACTCTTCCCCCCTTCTGCGTCGTATCCTCGTACAATTGCCGTACCGACCACCGCGTACTGTATTCACGGCGCGTGCCGCTTTAACGGCCCCCCTTCCTCCCCCCTCCACAGGCCCCCGGGGGTGGGGGTGTCCTCCACAGGCTGCATGTGGGGCTACAGAGGTGGTGGCTGCCGTTTTCAGCGGCGTACGGCGGTGTGGTGGTGCTGCTCGGAGTGCTCACGACGAGGATGGGGTGAGTTCACCCTAGGGTGGCGGCTGCTCGGTTGGGGAACGGAGCAGCTGACCTGAGGGGCAGCCTACACGGCATCATAACCTGGGGAATAGCGGCAGCGGGAGTTGGAGACCGCGCCAACAACGATTATCCAGCCACAATAAATCCATGGCATGGCATTGCGTTAATCCCCCCCCCGATGTAGTTCACTGCAAGTACACCGCACGCCACGCCTTTTGTTCTGGTACAGGCATTATCTTGTTTTGACATCCCCCGGGTGAAGCTCGCCATATTTAGATGCACCTTAGCATTGACAGCTTTGGTTACCCCCCCCCCCCACGCCGCTCACCCTCTCATCCGCCCTGCAACCCTTGGCCACGTACCCCACCCCATATTCCCCACCTCTTCTCTCCCCTCCCTCCTTCAAACTCCCCTTTCGCTGCCCCTAAGATACCGAGTGAGCGCCTTGTCCAGCCTGCCCACACTGCGGGCTGTGCTGTCCTGCCACAGCGCCATGCCCCCCGCCGCCTGCTGGCTGGAGGGTCACCTAGGAGTGGACTGGAGGGCCTGGGCAGTCAACACCGCGCTGTGGGCGCTGATCCTGACCATGAAGGTCGCCTTTGAGTATTACATTATTGCCAAGCCGCTGGTCCGCCCGGTGAGGGCTGGGTGATGGTATTGGGGGTGGGGGGGGAGTGCGCGGGAAGGACGATGCGGGGCATTGGGGAGACGAGTCTAGGGGAAGGCAGCTGAGGGCCGGATGGGCCTGGTGCGGTTGGGAAAAGGGTGCGTTGGTGGCTATGTTGGAAGCATAAGGTGATGCTGGCTGATTGGCTGGGAGGTGCAGGTATATTATGTATGCTTTATTCGAAGCTCTCACCCTCACCTCTCTGCCTGCCTCCGCCAAGTTCTTACCTAGAAATCGGCGGCCCACCTCTCTTCCCTGCCTGTCCCTTACTGTCCTGACACCCTCCCTCCCTCCCCCCTCCACTTCCCCGTCTTAACTACTCACTGTTCCTTCAGATGCGTGTCTTACTGAGCCACAATCTGCCAGGCTGCAGCTCCTGGCCCTGCAACAACGTCAGCTGGGTCTTGGCAGCGCTCCGTGTGCTGCCGCTGTTATTGGTTTGTCTAGCTGACACGTCCATCATTTACAACGTGGTCATGGCGATGTTTGGCATTCTCCGCGGCCTGCTGAGGCTGGATTTGGGTACGGTGGCGTCCTGGGAGGAGCTGCGAGCGGCCTTTCATCGGGGACCTGTCCGCTGGTGGCGGCGGTGCATGTCGGCGGAAGGTGTCTCGAGCCACCGCCGCGCCCTGCGGCGGCAGCTCATGGAGGGGGGCCAGGACCGCGCTGCGGTGGAGGCGTTTGTTCCGGAGACGCCGCCGCCGGCGCCGGTTAGTAACAGCAGTGACGATGAAGACGGCAGCGCCGCCGTCGGCGGTGATGACGACGACAGTGGTGCCGGCGCGGAAGATGATGTTGATGCGGAAGGTGCCGGCAACAATGTTGATGCGGAAGGATACGACAGTAAGGATGAGGAGGTACGTCGTGGCGGCGGTGCTGCCACCGCCACGACGCGTGCTAGCGGCATGAGCGCGTTAATTTGGCCATTGCGACCCGCGGGTCGTGAGGCGCGGTGGGCGAGGGAGCGGCGCATGTTGGGCCGTATTCGGGAGAATGGTGGCGCCAGCGCGATGGGGCTAATGGAGGTACGGGATGCCGACTCGCTGCAGACGGAGATGCTGCAACCGGCTGGGCGCTGGGCCACCGAGCCAGCGCTGCCGCCGATGATGGTGACGAGTACGACAGGTGGCGGCCGCCGCCGCATGGGGACCGCCACGGGTGGCAGCGCCTCTAGCAGCCTTAGGGCCGGAGGCGGAGGCGACGGCGGTGATGCCGGAGAGCTGGGACAGCGGCGGCGGGGCCCGATGCGGCGGTTGCCTACCCCTAGCGACGGCGGTAGCATGGACAGGAGCCGTCGGCGATTTAGTGAGGGCGGCGGCGCCAGGGCTGTAGCGGAAGGAATAGAGCTGGCGATAAATGGCAATGTTGCTTTGAATTACCCTCGCAGCGGCGGTGGAGCCGCCGCCTGCGGCCGCGTCAGAGGCCGCTGGTTTGTGAGCAGCGGCGGTGCCGCCCGCGCCACCTCCAGTGCCTCAGTCTCCGCCGGCCCCGCCGACGTCACCGTCGGGCACCTTCGGCGGACTCGCAGCAGCGGCTCTGATATGGAGGTGGAGCCCCAAGCCGGGGGCCTTGTCAGTCCAGTCGTCCGTACACCAGCCAAAGCACCGGATGTGACCGGCTTGTGGCAGAGGATATCGCGGAGGCCGACGCATGTGGAGGGGGCCCGCGGCGGCGGCGGCAGGCGAAGTCATGGCGGCGGCGGCGGCGGCGGCTCCGCCACCACCGCTGTCGGCAGCGCCGCTTCCGGTAATACGCCGTCGAGGGGCTGGAACATCTTTACTCGTAACAATTCTGTTGTACCGCTCCCGCTGTCGCCGCCGTCAGCGGTGCCGCCGGCGGCGCCGCCGGTGCATCAGCTGAGTCCGCCGCGGATAAGTTGCAGGGCGTCATCGCTGGGTGGTGGCACGGCTGGAACTAGCGGAGTTGGTTGTCACGACATCACTCGGCGACGGCTTGCGTTTGTTGACGTCTGCGAGTCCCCTGGACCGGTTGCGGAGGCCACCACGTCAACACTTGTTGGTCACACTCGCCTGACGCGCCGCGAGGCCGCCTCTCCTGCCTTAAATGGCGGACAGCCGCCTCCGTCGCCGCCCAGCAGCGTGTACGGCAGCCGCCGTGGTGTAACAACTCCCTCCCCTGACGGCTGGCGACAGCGGGATCAGGACTATTGGCAACGGCGGCAGCGGCAGCTACAACTGGTAGCGGCGGAGTCGACGGCGCCGCCGTCGACTCCTCCTCCTCCTCCGCCGCCGCCGCCGCCGCCGCTGCAGGCTACCCCTTCGCGGTCACAGCCGCCAAAGCTGCTCACACGGCCAAGCCTCGATTCTATTTCAGGACTCTCTACGGACCGAGACGAACCCGAGCTGGCTGGGGATGGAGAGCGGGAAGTACGGCAGGCGGCGTCGCGGTCCCGTCAGGCGACACCGGCAGCGGCGGCGGAGGAAAGGCCGTCAGGAGCAGGACTTGGCTTTGCAGCTATTCACCGCGGGCGGTTGCGACGGCGTTCGGCGGGGTCGGGTGCGGAAACGACGGAGCGAGATCGTGTCGTCGGTCTGCAACGAACTGAAGACCTCAGCCTGGGCGTTCTGCTGTCGCGTCAGAACGGAGATCTGGTGCGATATGTATGAGGAAGATCTCATGCAACACATGGAGTTTTGCGGGTTATGTCTATGTCATCTAAGTCTCCCGAATCCTGAAACCACATGGCGGCCCCTGCCCGCCTGCCCGCCTGCGTGACGGCTCGATGGCTCCCGCCCCCTTTTCACCTGCCTGACTAGACGACCCCACGGCCCCCACCCGCAGGCAATGTGGGATGCCTTCGCCCAGGTTTGGGATGGCATTGTGGACGATTTGCGAGCAGCGGACCTGATCAGCGACAGAGAGGCAGGGAACCTTCGTTTCATGCGGCTTGGGCATTTCCAGGTACAGACAGCATGGGGCGTAGTAGACCGCAAGTACCACGACTGCATGGAAGAGAGTACGGCACGAAATCACGCCAGGTCCCTTGCTTTCCCCGTCCTTTTCCTTAGCTTGCGAAAGGAAAGTGAACTCCACTGTCCACTGCGGAAACACGAAGGAAGGCGCGATACTGAGGTTTTCCCTTTTTCAGTTCATGTTGACCGTTCCGTTGATCCCGCCTTTCAGAGTTTCCCATCCACCCAATCCAACATCCTCCCTGTCCCCGCCCCTCCTCACGCCTCTCCCCTCACGCACCCCTCCCTCCCCAATGCAGGGCCGCCACGCTCTGAGGCCCATCCTGCTTCCCGCCTTTTTCTACGCCGGCGTGGCTCAGGCCTACGTGGACACGGGCCTGCTGGGGCCCGGCGGGGGCGGTAGTGGGGGCGGAGGGGCCACCACCACCATCCTCACGGAGCTGCGGTCGCTGCTGGTCTGGCTGGCGTGTGAGCTGAGGCTGCTGTCGGAGGTGCAAGCGGAGGTGGTCATGGAGTGAGCGACAGGGGCGACCCGGGGTATGGGCGGGGGGGGGAGTGGTTGGAGGAGCCGCCGCTGCTGCTGCTGCTGATTGGAATGTTTCTGGATTTGGAGGGGTCTGCAGGGGCTCTAGGGAGTCCCCTCCCTGTGCTCACCTCACCCTAATGCTATTGCATAATTAGTTTGTTTTTAAGACTTTCAACACCCTCTCCCTCCGGACGTGTCCTGATTGCGTTGTATCTCAGTGCGGCGTTTCTTCACGCCACAGCGGATGTGGAACACGCCAACTGCCGCGGCAAGATGCTACAAGCCGGCCAGGCCCTCGTAAAGCAACTTGCGGAGCTTTGCGCCGCTGCGACAAAGCACCAGCAACAGCAGCTGAAGCAGCACCGAGAGCTCCTCCGCCAACAGCACCATTACCAGCAACGGCAACAGCAGCACCAGCAACAAGCAGCAACTGCCAGTCCCGTTAGTAGAGTGCACTTTGGCGAAAAGGCGATGTCGCAGCAGCGATCATCGCCGCAGTCTGGGGATTCCGGCGGCGGAGTGGGCGCCGGCGGCGGGGCCGGCGGTGATGGCGAGCTAGGAAGTCGGGCGGCAGTCGCGGGTCGAGCTACGTTGTCACAGCGACAGGCTGCCGCTGCCGCAGCTCACGCGCTTGTGTCCTCGCACGTGGGAGCCATTGGCGGCAGTTTGCGGGAGGTGCTGGAAGCCCTGGCCGGAGAGGCGAGGGCCATGCAGCGGGCGGTGTCGTCGGGACGGCTAGCTAGTGAGTCACTAGCTGCGGCAGTACGGCTGGAGGAGGTTGCCAAGCAGGTGGGCGGATTAGGGGGGTCAAAGGATTCGTTTTTAAAGGTTTTTGAGTTTTTTAAAGTAGGTTAATTCAAGAGTGTGCTAGAGGGTGTACGGCAATTCGTGAGGTCAAGTTGAGCTTTCACTTTCTGGATTGGGCGTGCGCGTGTATGGGGAAGAGGAGGACGGGGAGGAGGTTTCTGGGTGGTTAGGGAGGAGGCCCTGGAGACGCGACTGATAATGTTCAGTGGAAGATCCTGCGGGCTATATCTCCCCCCCCTTGTTCATCCTTTGTAGCCTCGTTGGCCTGAGCTGGTTTGCGCGATACACTGCCGCCCTCCCTGCCGCGTCTGTACCCCTCCCATACCTTCCTCCCCGGCTCTTTGTCGCCCCCAGGTACTCGCGGACTTGTCAACTCACCCAGAGTTCCTCTCCTCGTGCCTCGGCAACCTAGTGTCTCGCAACTTCCCTGTCGCGCCCACGACTCCGCCCTCCGGAGCCACCGCCGCCGCCTTTGCCGCCGGCGCCGCCGCACCTGAGCCAGAAGACGGCGCAGCGGAGAGCCCAACGGCAAGTAGCAGCGGCAGCGTGGTTGGCGGCGCACCGATGGCCTGCGAGCCCGTCAGCGCCCTGTCCGCGACCCACATGCAAAGCCCGCAATCCGTCCTACCGTCCAACTTTGCCGGTGCCACCCCCGGGCCGGCGGAGGCGCACCTCGGCGGCAGGGCCGGCAACCCTAGACCCGGGGTCGGCAGTACACACCCGCACAGAATCGCCGACATGGAGGTTTCACCTTGGATTTGCACCCCCCCGGCAGCTGCCGAGGCCACCACAATGGCGACTGCGCCTTACGCCGCCACCGCCACTACGGCCTCCTTGCCGCCAGCACTGGTGCCGCCCGTACGGGTACGAACACCTGAGGGGCTCTTTTTGGCTGCCGGAGGCGGAGGAGAACCGACCCGACCCGGGGGCCGTTTTGGGTCCAGCTGGGGCTCGGGGGTCTCGAACTCGGCGGCTGCTGCGCCGCCCCTGGAGCCCGAGGTGGCCCTCCGTATCCGTGTGGTGGAGGTGCTCGTGAAGATGTTGACCACCCCTGCCAGCGCGTGTCGGCCTGCGGGCGCAGAGGCACTTCGCATCCTGGGCTTCTTCATCAACAGCTTGTCGAATCCGGGGCTCAAGAAGCCGCCGCCATTGGTGAGCGAGTTTTAGGATTTTAAGGTTTGAGGGTTTTCGGGCTTGTTTTAGGAGGCTTCATGTCGTGGGGAAAGGTCTAGACGGCAGACAGGCTAAGCTGTTTGTAAAGGAGGGAAGGTCGCAGATGCGTAGATAGTGTGCAGCGCCTGGAGCTGTGCGCGTGGGGGCCGATGGCTGGTATTACACGCACCTGGCGGTTGTGACCGTTAGGGCCGGAGCCCCTGGAGCTCTGTCCGGGCTTTGTCCTGGAGGGGAGCCTGAATTCCCCCCTGGCTGTTTGCCTGGAGCTCTGTTTCATGCCCTGTGCACCACGCGCCCCCTCCCCTTCTCGCCCCGCACTCCGCCACACTGCCCGCCTGGACCCGCCCTCTTCAGAGCGACATGTTGAGTTGGAGTGTACTGACGCCCTGCTACGAAGAGGTGGGTTGTGTATGACGCCGTATTGCTATCTGATCCTAGTAGGGTGAGGACCTCATAGCCGCCTCACAGCCCCTAGAGCCCCCTCTAGGGAGGTGCAGGCACGGGAGGGAACATCGCTGGGGGTATAGTGATCGTCCGGTGGTGGTGTATGTGCGTGTGTGTGTATGTGCGCGCATGCATGCATACGTAGCTCCATCAGTATATTTAACTTCTTCAATATCGTTACCGTGTTCATTGGTCCGGGCCGTAAAAACGCAGTATGCTCCTGCGGCCCGTACGTCCCGGATGTTGTGCTCCTCCCCCACCTCCTCCGACACCGGGGCGTTGGGCCGCTGCCATTTCCTCCGCCGCGTCGTTGCGCAATGGCCCCCTGCCACTTGAGCTCGCACTCAGCAACAGCATCACGACCCCCAACCCAAGAACCCGCACCTCCACCCGCACCCGCACCTGCGCCTCAGGATGTGTTGTACCCTCTGAGTGCTGACGTGGCCGCCCGGCAGCTGGGCTTGGCTCCCCCGCCGCCCTCGGGCCCTGGGCGGCCCCCGGACCTCCTCTCGGAGACAGAGGACAACGTGTCGCTCATGGCATACCTCAGGTGGGTGGGAGGCTGGGCGGCTGGGTGGGTAATATGATGTTACAGGGTGGTATAGCTTCACCAGCGGCCCTCCTTCCCGAGGCAGTTACCTGCTCTCCCCTGCGAGAGGGGCACCCAAACCCATTCACCACATCCAACTTCAGAATGTGTTCGTTGGGCTCAGCAACTCACCACCAGCATCCGACCAAGTCTAGCGGATCAACGGCGCCACAACTCAGTTCCTGGTCAGCTCTCAAATTGCTATAGTCTCGCTTTACATCGTTGGCAAGATGGGGGGCCATTACCCAATTCGACATCACTCACACACCGGCAGGCAGATTTGAACCCGGAACCTCCGGAAGCAAAAACCAAGTCTTAAGTTCTGACAGACACCTGCCTAGTGGCAATATGTCTGGGGGGAAGTACGGGGCCTTGCAGTTGTGTAGGGGCGGCAGTCCTGTAGGGGCGGCGGGTGAGTGGCTGAATGTAGTCTGGGCCAGCCGGCGGTGCTTTTCAGTGGCCGACTCGACCTGCAAATTTCTTTGCACTCGGGCCCATGCCAAGATGCGACACCCTTTCATAAACACCAACACCACACCACTTCGCCAAGAACTCTGCCTACCCCCCCACACACACTGCGACCACTACCCCCCTGGGCCCGGGCGCCCCCAGATCCGTATTCCCCGCTGACTGGAAGAACTTCATGGAGCGACTGAGTGACATGTTGGGGGGGGCGGACCTGAGCCGGGTCACTGAGAACGACTTCGCACCCATGGGGCCGCTGCACGCACTGGCGCCGGAGCTGCAGCTGTGGGCCACGTACAGGTAGAGGGCCGGGGTTGGGGGGTTTGGTGGGGGGGTGGCTGGAAGGGGGAAATGTCGGCAGGGTTGTGTGTACATGCGCTCATTGCTCCGTGAGCCCATTAGCCGCACGGGGTTCGTAACGCGCTGATGCGATGATGTGGAGGGTTGACGATTTCGCCAACATTACCAGCACCCCGGCCCTGTACTTTGTCGCAGGGGCCAGCTTCTGGGTCGTACAGTGCGAGGCATGATGTGCTACCGCCGTGCCGTACGCATGCTGGTAGAGCTGGAGTACCCCAGGTGCAGTACAGCGCCGGGGAGGGGATGGCTGCGAGACATGACGTAAACCTTGGGACGAGCAAACACCACATCTGATGTCATACTATTTGTGTGCCGTACATGGTAAAACACACACATCAGACACGCATCCCAATCCGTCATTAACGGCCGGCATCTAGACAACGTACATGAGTGTCTTTTCCTGTCGCCGTACCGATGTGTTAACGTCAACTCTCAAATCCATGCAGCTTCTTGCACCTCTGGTTTCCAAACCCCACCGTGATCACCTTAAAAACACATCGCTGTTTCCCCCTTCCCCAAACCCCCTTCCTTACCCCTGCTTTTACCCCCGCCATCACGCCTATGCCAGGCCTGCGGGTGTTAGTCTCGCTGCCTACAACTCGTGGGCAGAAGCGCTGGTGGATTGCAAGTTCCAGTACGTGTGTACTTGCCAGGTGGGTGGGAGGGTGGTGGTTGGGGGGAACCAAGGGGGATGGTGGTGGGCGGGGTTCCCCGGGGATTATTCCATGGATTGCCGGGAGAGGTCGGGCCGAATGCCCAAGGGTGCCGTTGAATTGGTGCCCCCCACATACACACCCCCTACCATCGCCCATGCGGCATATCGCTCTCTTTGTGGATGACACAACCGTGGAATACATGTGGTGCACTGTGTATCGCGTTGTACGGCAGGTGTACGGCAAGAACCGCAAGGCAGCGGACATTCGACGGCGCTGGCTAGCGGAGGGCGTTGACTCCCTCTGTCTGGAGTTCCCGGCGTTGAGAGTGGCGTACCTGGACACGGCGGGTACGGCGCCGAACGGGGGAGGTTGACGGTGGAGTGCGAAACGTGTGAAGACGGAGTGTGGGGGAGAGGAAGGCGGGCAGGGAGGAGGCGACAAGGGAATGGGTTCTTCAAGTATATGCAGTACAAGGCGCAAACCAGCTCCTCTTGTTCATGTGCGACACCCTCATGGCCTCCCCCCAGTCTGAACCCTGCTCGCGGGTTTGCCGCCGGTTGTGTCCCTGCTGCTCCTGCCCCCTTGCCCGCTGCGATTCCTCCTCTTCCGTAGTCACGTCGTACGGCCCCACGGACTACAGTGTACTACTGCGGGGGAATCCCAACCACCCGGACGCCCTCGCGGGGGCCGCCAGAGGGGTGGCCTCAGCAGAAGCCGCTGCGACTGCGGGGGCCGCTGGCGATGGCCGCCTTGGAGTAGCGCCCGTACAGCCACCGCCACCGCCACCGCTGCAGCCGCAGCCGCTAACACCATCACCTCCACCGCCTCCAAAGCTACAGCCGCAGCTGCCAACGCCGGTACCACGCGCACTCTTTTCGCAACACTCTTTGTCTGTCGCTGACGATGCCTGCTGCCAGATTGGCAGGGCGGATAGCAAGGGCGGCATGAAATGCAAGGACAGTGGCAGCAGCAACAAAGATTGTGAAGTTGCAGCTGCCTGTTGCACGACGCCGGCGCATGACCCTGCTGATGCCGCCGGTGGCGGAGCCGCCGCTGCCAGCAGTGGCACCGCAGCCACTGCCACCACCGCCGCCGGGAACGACAGCCCCACCCTGGAGTTATACCGAGTACGTCTGCCGTACAACCGTTACGGCAAACGCGGTGTCATCCTGGGTGAGGGCAAGCCCGAGAACCAGAATCACGCGGCCATCTTTTGCTTTGGCGAGGCGCTTCAGACGATCGACATGAACCAGGACAATGCCCTCGCGGAGGCGCTCAAGATGCGGAACCTGCTAGGGGAGCTGGCTCCGGATCCCGCCCCCCGGCGGCTGCAGGCTGTGGCCTCTCACCCCCGTGGCTCCACCTCCTCAGAGAGCCATCGCCGAGCCATTGCGGCGAGGACGGCACGGGAGGTGCCTGTGGCACTGGTGGGTGTACGACACAGTAGAGTTACTTACAAATCGCGGCGCTTGTCTCGATACCAATTGTTATACCACGACTTCAGAAAAGGACCGATCGTTGGGTGTCAGAATTCCGTAACACGCCATCCAGGATACAACATTTGATGTGCGGTCAGATGCCTGGTGGCCGCGGTGTGGGTCGCCAGCTTAGGCCTGCCACTACCTTCCGCTTTCTAGCCAACCCCGTCGGGGACTCTAATGATCATGTTTGTATGCGTCGGTACCATGACCATGACCATGACCATGACCGCCACCCCCCCCACCGCTGCCGCCAGGTGGGCTTCCGCGAGTGGATCTTTTCCGACGTGTCTGGCGCTCTGGGTACCTTTGCTGCGGCCTGTGAGCTGGCTTTCGGCACCATTGTTCAGCGCACCATGAGCTACCCGGGTCGGGTGAGGCTGCACTACGGCCACCCCGATGTCTTCAACAAGATGCACATCATGACCAGGGTGAGTGCCGGGCCCATGTACGAGGTGCCCCTCCCTCCCTCCCTCCCTGCCGAATGGATCTCTTTTGGGTTAAATAGTACGAATGCCGTGTGTTTTATCCAATGCCCTGGTAGATTCCCTAGGTTCCGCCCTCCCCCCTCCCCATAGGGTGGCGTATCCAAGGCCACTCGGCAGCTGCACATCAGTGAGGACGTGTTTGGTGGGTTTAATCAGCTCCTCAGGGGGGGCCAGATCAAGTACAAGGAGTACATCAGCTGCGGCAAGGTGCGCTGGCGGCCTGGATGCGGTGGGAGATGTCGGGGCTGAGATGCCGGAGGGGGCCGACAGGGGGAAAGGAAAAAGGGACTCACTCTGGGAGGCCGTGATTAACGTGAAACATGCCGTACGAAAAAGAAAAGATAACACCAGTGCCGGACAGACAGTCTTATCTTGTGCTGAGCCTTCGGTCCTGAGCACCCCTGGTCCATTCCCACGCAGTGCATGTGCACGTCGTCCAGTTCGATGACCCCCGTGTTGCCTACTCCACCACACCACACCACACCACACCACACCACACCACACCACACCACACCACACCACACCACACCACACCACACCACACCACACCACACCACACCACACCACCTGATGGTGCCCATCAAGATAATGCAATACCAACCAGTAAGCATGTGCGATACTGGCCATGGCCATATACGACATATTCCATCGCCGTACCGTGTCATTTGCTTACTAACAACGCAGGGCCGCGACATGGGCTTCGACTCGATCAACGCCTTTGAGATCAAGATTAGCGGCGGCGGTGGCGAGTGCGTCGTGAGCCGCGACGTGGCTCGATTGGGTCCCCGTATGGACCTTGCTCGGTTGCTTCACTTCTACCACAGCGGCCCCGGCTACTACATCAACTCGCTGTTCATCATGACGGCCGTGTGGCTGAACATCTGGGTGGTGGCGGTGTTTGCTCTGGCTCGGGCATCTACTGTACAGGTACCCGTGTGTAGGGGGGGGGAGGAGGAGTAAGAGAACACCGCATCGCCATGTTCCATCTTGTGAGGGAGGGGGAGCTTTGGCATTTAGATTCAGCATCATGGTACCTCCCTTTCCCGCTTTCTGTCCCCTCCACCCTACCATTCCCGGCCCTCCCCCAACCCCCTCCCCCCTTTACCAACCTCAGCGGGTGGGTGCCGACGGTGAACTGCACTTAGAGGACACGTTGCGTGTGGAGCACGCGCTGTCTTTGGGGCCGCTGATGTTGCTGCCGTACGCAGCCCAGCTTTTGCTGGAGTGGGGTGTACTGCGCACCTTCGCCACGTTGGCGTTACAGGTGGGCGTTACAGGGGAGGGGCTGGGGAAAGCGGCTCGCCCCAGTTAGCTCGTTTAGCAGTTACAGTTTGCCGGACTTTTCCGGGTTCAGAGATTGAAATGACTGAGGTGGCTGAATAACTCAGGTTGTCAGGCTGAACAAGCGCGACGGTTTGGCTGGGCACTACCCGGCCCCACCCGTTGCGTTAGGGCCTGAAGGGTTTGCTGGGAATTTTACCATGGTCCTTGTTCATCGCGCTGAGTATCCTCCTCCTTGTTGACTTCACTGCAGATTGTATCTGGCAGTGTGGCTTTTGCGGTGTTTCGGCAGCAGACTACGGCGTACTATTTCAAGGACGACATAACGTACGGCGGAGCACGTTACATCTCCACGGGTACGGCATAAGGTTTTGCATGGCACATTACCCCGCCCCGTTTCACCCAGACGCGGCTCTCCCCCCCTAACTCGCATCCTAGCTGCACCCCGGGGTCCTGCTGGCTACCTGCCTGCTCGACCCAGATTCACGAGTCCGTGTTTCTCCTCCCCACCCATTTCACAGCACCTCTGCCTCTTCTCTCCCACTCCTGCATTACCCATCCCTTAATGTTACCCCCGTGCACTCTCGTAGGCCGCGGTTTCTCCATCACCAGCTCCGCCTTCACAACACTCTTCACCAACTACGCTCGCTCGCATCTGTACCCCGGCATGGAGCTCCTGCACTTGCTCATTCTGTACGCCTCCGTCCGGGACTGCAAGACCTGCTCCTTTGCCGCCGTGACGTGGGGCACCTGGCTGGTGGCTATTGCGCTGCTGTTCTCACCCTTTTGGTTTAACCCGATGGCCTTCACCCGGGAGAAGGTCAGCAGGGACTGGTCGTCCTGGCTGGGCTGGATGCGGGGAGAGGTGGACCAGGCGACTGGAAACAACTGGCACTCGTGGAACAGGTAGGGCCATGGCTGATGGTTTCTAAGGGTTGGGGGTTTGGCCGGGGAAGGGGACTGGTAGGGGGTATGGGTTGGAGAGGCGAAGGAAAGGAAGGTGTGGCGTAGGTGGGTTTGAGGCGGTAGGGACGCGCCATGGGGAGTTGTGGATGTCGCACAGTAGTCGAGGAAGAAGCTGATTGCGTGAGATCCAGCTAACCTCACCTTCTCTTCGTCCTCCTCCATGACCTTGGCTTCCTCTCCTTTTTCTCTCCATACCATTCGCTTTCCCCCCGCCCTCCCCTCCTCCTCCATCTCCCCTACCTCCCCCCCCCTCCCCTTCCATCCCCCCGCCCTCCCCTCCTCCTCCATCTCCCCTGCCTCCCCCCCCCTCCCCTTCCATCTCCCCGCCCTCCCTTCCTCCTCCATCTCCCCTCCCTTCCCTCCCCTTCCCCTTACATCTCCCCTCCCTTCCCTCCCCTTCCCCTTCCATCTCCCCTCCCTCCCGCCCCCCGGCCGCAACCCGCAGGAAGCAGCTGGAGAAGGTCCGCAACGAGCGGGGCACCGTCACGGACCCGGGGCTCAACGTGGTCAGCAGGCTCCTGGAGGAGGTGGTCCCCCGGCTGGTGCTGGTGGTGGCGGCAGTGTCCCGGCTGGACCTCAGGATTGATGTGGGCCACCGGCAGCTGACCTCCCCGCTGATCTTCTTCACGGGCGCCACCGCTATCATCTGGCTGGTGACGTTGCTCAGCTGGGCCCTGCAGCGCCACTTTCAGGAGCGCGGGCGAGGCAGGGCCTGGCGACTGTATAGGGTGATGCTCAGTGCGCTGGTGGCGGCGGCGCTGGTCAGCTACTCGGTGTTTGCAGGTGAGAGCCCGATGAAAGAGGGGAAAGGCCATTCTTTTGACGCGCACGTTTGGCGTTGAGGGGGGGAAGCTAGGAGAGGAAGGAGGGAGCCAGTCACAGCAGACCGAACTGGATGGGACTTCGCGCGATGGGACAATAAGGCGCGTTTTGAGCCCTCGATATAACCCCCGTGGGCCGCTCGCCACATTTCCATAGAAATCTCGGTCTCCGTGACTTCCTTAACCCTCCCGCTCCCCCCTTCCCCTCCTCCCCCTCGTAGTCCGCTTCTTCCGGGGCCCGGCCATGTCCAACCTAGCACTGCTGCTGTACGCCAACAGCCAGCTCGTACTTGCCGTACATCGAGCCCTGGAGCAGCTCGCTCCCACGTCCGCCGCCGCGCGCGCTCTCGTGGACCAGGGTTACTGGCTCATCGACTGGGGGGTGGGCACGTTATTGATGTGTTTTGTAACGCTGCTCGCCTGGATGGGGTTTGTGTCGCAGCTGCAGACGCGGTTGCTATTCAACTCGAATTTCGCGGCCAGCATCCGACGTGGCAAACTGGTTCGGTCCACGGGCCTTATGAAGCTGGATGAGGAGCAGAGGTGGCGGAACGAAGGTCAGGCTCGTGCTGCGTTGGCTCGGTCGGTTGCCATGTCGTTGCGGAAGCATGCAGCGCCGGGAATGCACTACGCGGCAACGCCGATCCATCCCGCCTCAGCCGCGGCTCAGCAGCAGCAGCAGCAGCAGCAGCAGTGGTAGGAGCAGTGATCGCAGTGGCAAATCGCTGGAAGGGAGGTGTTAAGGGCGGTGTTGCCGAGGGGCGGTACAGAGGTTTCATTGCAATTTGCTGGTGAGCGGGGTGAGGAGGAGGACTCCTGAGTAGTGGCTATGCTGGGCGCGACCACCTCCCCGGTGTGCGTACATGTGTGTGTATATCGTGGTGCACTGGCTTTTGCCCTTGATGGCGCCTCAGTGGGGGTCGGCATCCGGCGGGCAGCGATACGTCCGGTCCCCAGCCGAAGTGCTGCGAACTGCCCCCTGCACGAAGGCACGGAATGCATTTCATTGTTACTTATGGGGCAGCTGTGGCTGTAAGGCTAGTCCGCAGGGCCGTGAGCTGAGTTTCAGTATGTGGCGTGCCGCTTCTGAACGCATCTTTGCACACCTACGCCGTGGGCAGGTGTACATCTTGAAGAAGGTATCAATCCTGTACACAATGTGAACAGCAGCTGTTTATTACCGCGTTGCTGGCGGCGGTGTGTGATGTTTGTTACCAAGGAAGTGACCTGGGATTGCGCCCTTCCCTTTCCTGATCCCGACCCGATACGTGTGTGTGTGTGTGTGTGTGTGTTACATGGTACATGGTACACGACCCGATACACAATTGCTGGGGCCGGTGGGCGATATCCAGCTGGGTTACGGCATTGTGGGGTTTGTGCGCGTGATGCAGTGTGGAGGGGTGACCCCCACCGCGGTGCATCTCCCTCATTTCATGTGTGAGCTGGGCTATCTGTGCATGTGCATCAGACGGACGGACGGCAGTTGCCAATAGGAGCCGCCGGTGGGCTTCATGGCAGTTGGAACTCTGTCCAAATTAGGGATGTGCGCGTTACACCCCGGTTGAGTTACCTTAACGGTATGTTCCCAGCGCTAGCTGAGCAGTCGTCCTTGTCTTTCGACGACATGGCTATTATAGTTGGTTACATGTACTGACGCCTTACTCCTTTGGAGGACTGATGGCGTAAATATCAAGGCCTGGGGACGGACGGTGGTGTATAGGGGGATGATAGGAGGGCAGAGCTATGAAACACCGACTGTTTTATAGCCTTTCATTTCCTGCGCTTCCTTGGCAGTTCTTCAAAAGCACATGGCTGCTTCGTTAGGTTGCGATGCGAGTAGAAGAACCTTGGCTACCCTCCCTAAAGGGTGGAGGGAGGGCGATACGAATATGTACGACGGCGTATTGCAGTGGGACGTAGGAGTGAGCTGGACCTCCCTTTGGCCCCCTCTTTTTTGCTGCGGGCAGCACCTGCCACCACTTCCCCGTTTGTACTGCCCTCACAGAAAAATGAATGTTCGCCATTTTTTCGTGATGTCGTGCGGTGTTGCATGTTTCCTCGGGCGATATCGTTTCGGATGTTTACTTTACTTTACCATTCATCCTGAACTTGGTGATAGATATATAGATCATTAAGCGCGGTGCAGTAGCGCTGTCTGTGATTGGAATGGATGACACAGCCGTATGGAGAAGTGTTCTCAAATGGTTCCGGAACCGGCGGTGCGTGGCAGGATATTGCCATGTCGTACGTGTTCTCGTGTGCCGACGCGCGCTAGCTGCGAATTCCCCTCTTGTTACCTAGTTTGGACCTTCACAGGGCGTTTTGCGTCGCACAGTCCATTCCTGAAGCGATTCCACTTAATTACAGTGGGCCAGCTCGCTGATGGAAGCGTGATTTGCTTCCTCTTATCTGTTTCACCTGGAGTCCTTGAGCAAGCTGTGTCGCAGGTTTCTAACCTGGTGTGTTTCGTTTGCTCGGTCGCACACAAGAATGGTTAAACCTTTTGTAGTCATTTTGGCAATTGGCGTGAAGAGGATTTGATGTGGTCAATCAGGGGGCCAGCTGCCTGCGCAGAAGCCAGGAGCCCCTTGTACTTCGATTAAAGTGCGCGTGTGTATGGACATAATGCAGGAAGGACGCTCGCCACACATGTCCATCCATCTGTGAACCTGCCTGCTAGTATTGACGGGAGGAGAGGGCGGAGGGTGGTGCGAGGCGGGTCAGGAGTGTTTCACCCACATGCATTACCACACAAGCATGAAGCTGGACGGAGAGGGTTGAAGCATGCGGTTTACGCATTACTTACTTGTCCAGAGTGGCAGCGGAATCGACTGAATCCCCCCCTGTTGTGACTTGTAACCTTACTCATCACGGCAAGGCCGCGCTGGGGGTGGGGAGGCATGGATCTAGGTCGTGTGTGTGGTACGGCGCAGAATGCTCGATAGCGTCCAGCGTTCTCCGCAAGCAAGCATCCCGTGCTGTATACACGCAGTATGGCGCACGTAGAACCCAACCTGCAACCAACCGATACATGCATCAATCAGTGGTTTTAGCCGGTGAAATATGAACACATGCCGGCAACGGTGCATGACAGCCCTGTTACCGCCATGCCCCACACGTAGTAGTAGTTCGCACGGGGTTACTTTGCCTCGAGCCCAGAAGAGCGGAATACATAATATCCAGAAAGCCATTTCCGCCGTAACGACAGATTGACTGGGCTACCTTACCTCGGTAACGACACCCACCCACCCACACGCCATTAAACTGCCGATGGACGGATACACAGCCCTCCCCCTTCCTTTACAGTGACCATTTACCCTTGACCTCATATTTCTATCTGGCCTCTATTCCTTCCAGCCTAGAGACTGCGCCTCACATCCTCACTGCACCCTTACTGATCAGGTCCATATGATGCAGCAAGCTGGCTGGGCAGCAAGCCGAGCTCCGCTGTTGCACGCACCTAGACTCACATCACAACTCCCCACGCCCGGTGGCTACCACCCGCTCCCCCGCCCCATCTCCCCTGCCCCATCCTGACTTCCCCCAACCTCCTCCGTCCGCCCTCCGTTGGGTTCACGTGACTTTCCCTCAACCACCCGGTAAGCACCCGGTGATAGCAAAACACAATACGACACAATACGACACGACGGGGTATGTCACCCTCCCGCCGGTACTTCAGCCTGCGGGCGATACACTGCGGGCGACACTGCAGCCCCTCACTCCACACTCGGGAACATCCGCCTGCCAGCAGATCCCGCCCTCGACTCACCCCGCCGCTCCCGCAACTCACATGGCTCCGCCCAACGGAACCCCCCTGTCATCTCTACACGCAGCCGCTGCACCGCCAAACCCTCCCCCATCCGCGTCCAGCCGGGTCCCGCCAGTCCAGTCATCTCCGTTCTGCACACCTCCACCGCTATTCCGCACATCGGCATCCCGAATACCGGCATGTCCTGTCGACACATGTTCTTTTCCTAACCCTTGCATCTTTGTGGCCCTCCTGCTCCGGCTGCTGGGGCTCCAGCTACCGCTCCCCAGCAGCCACCCACGCAGCCAGGCGTTGTTCCCTGGAGCGCCGGACGATGAAAGCTGTGGCGGCACCGAGGCCGCCCTCCACCTCGCCATCCGCATCCCTGCCTGCCAGCCTCCACCTAGCAACCTCCGGGCAGCCGCCGCCTCAACGAGTGCACCTTCCTGCACCGAGTCCACCCCGTGCCGCCCGCGGCCCTGCCCATCCCCTCGCCCCTGCCCCTGCACCCCAGCCTGACTTTTATCGTGCTGTTGATGCCGATAAGTACGATGACTATTACTGCTGCTACTACCTCTACTATTACTGCTATCCCCGCTACTGCTGCTCCCGCTGACGCTCCCGGTGGTGGTGGTGCTGCTCCCGGTGGTGGTGCTGCTGCTGCTCTCGGTGGTGGTGGTGCGGTGCTGAGCCATCCAATCTTTCAGGGAGGGCATGTGGTCGGTGAACACTCCGTCCACCGCTACCGGTACGCCACCCAGCAGCAGCTGGTACTCGGCACTGACATTGGCTGAGGGGCCCTCGAGGTGGGGCAGCAGGAAGCGGGGCTCGGGACGCAGCGTGTAGGTGTGCACCTGGGGTGTGTGTTGGGGGGAGGTAGGGGGTGAGGGATAGGGGAGAGGGCAGGAAAGGGTTAGGAGGAGAGACAGGAATGAAAAAAAGGGGGAGGGTGCGGGAGTTGGGATACGTTGGATTCGGGTGCTAGTGACGTAGTGGCGGAGGGCTTAGGGCCGTGAGTTCGTGATGCCGCCACCGACCCGTGGACGGACCCCCCCCCGGAGGGTGCTGGAGCACATTCGCTGCTGTGGTTCACCGTGGTGAGCCCATACGCGCGACACGGGCGCCACTACGGCCCAGTACGGGCTCTAGGCTCGTTGCATTCACCACACCTGGTAGGGGTTCGCCCCCAGATGGCCCTCCGAAGTGCGGAAAGGGAGTCAGACAGCACGAGACCCTGCCCTGCATGGCTGCCGCCTGCTGGCCGTACACACCTCACCTCACCCAGCGCTGCCCGCAGCCGCTGTGTGCCCCCCGCGTCCTTATTCCGGGTCTACCAGCCGAACTCTTAGCAGCACTACGCAGCACCCGGCCCCTTCATCCCCAAACCGCACGTGGCTGGCTGTGCGGTGAGGAATCCAACTAACTCCGAGCCAGTCAGTCAGTAATGCAGCAAACTAACACTGCAGCGACGGAGGCTCCTCACTTTCCCCACGTCGACCCGCCGTCTCCCCTCCCGCCCTCTTCTTCTCACCAGTAACCCATGAGCATGGAACTTCTCCACAAGCCCGGAGCTAACATAGCGACCACCGCCAGCGCCAGCGCCCGCGCCCAGACCCGCTGCCCCTTGCGACCCCTCCTCTTGCTGCCCCTGCTCCTGCTGTTGCTGCCAGGCCACCAAGGTCCCCTTTGCCGTACCAACTGCCGCGGCCCACTGGGAGATCTCCTCCAGGGAGGAATCCTCAGTCAGCTCGGCCAATGTACGACCAGTGTCCGGTGCGACCCAACTGCGCGGTGAGGGTTGGGGTGGCCCCATGATTGATTGATGGATGGAGGCGGAAGTGGGGTGTGTTATGTCAATAAGACTGCGGGAGAGATGGAAAGGTAACAGCAGCACAGCAGCAGCAGGTCGCAGAAGCCGTCGGCCCTAGCACAAGAGAACAGGCAAGGATGTTCAAGGCTGCATGAGGAGGCAGTGCGAGAAGAGGACAGCAGGGCGGGGAAGACATCTCCCAGAGCTGCTCACCCCTCCCAGTCGCCCAGCAGCAGCACTGTGGGGGCGCAGGTGCGGGCAGCCAGGTAGCGCAGACTGCTCGCTTCGAAGCTCTGCAGGAAGACGGGTCGCCGAGCCCAGGCCTCACTGCCCAGGGGGGCTCCGAAACCTGCAGCTGACAGAGCTGCCAACAGTATGTCCTCCAGGGTGGTGTTGGCGGCTCGCACACAGGGCAGGGAGTTGGTCCAGGAGGGGTGCTTGGTCTCCGGATAAATTCCTACACTGCGGTTGGCGGCCTGCGGAAGGCGGCGGGCAGGCAGGCGATCATCCAGGCGGGCAAGGAAGGAGGAATATGAATACAGGTGTACAGAGCGAATATGGATATGTGCTTGAGAAGGATTGAAAATTTCTTACACTAAACGAAGAACTTTCTGGGACTTCAATTCCACCGCCTGGTCGCAAACGGCCACCAACGACCTACCAGCGCCACCTCTAAATAGTCCGCCAGCGTAGCCACGCGGAACCTGCCATTGTACGACTGATCCCGGAACGGCCAGGGCTGTACGGCACGTAACGTTGCCACCTCCGCGGCTGTGAGGTCCACACTGAAAATGCCCGTCACTTGCTCGCCGTCAATGACGTAGGTGCGCCAGCGGTTCGGGAATTTTGTGGCCACGTCCGTTGAGGCGACCATGTTGGGTTCATGACGGCACAGCGGCACCAGGTCCCTCGTCAGCACTACGTCGCATTCAATGAAGTCGGCACCTGGAGATGGAAAGGTGGGGCCGGGGCCAGGGCCAGGGCCGGGGCCAGGGCCGGGGCCGGGGCCGGGATTGAGGTAACCACCGACTGCGACATGATACCCAACCGCGAGTAGATGAGGAGGGGCCCGGGATCCGGCCCTGCATGTGCCCACCCGCCTACATGTCGCCCCCCCCTGATCATCAGGGGGAGGTGAGTGGGTTGGGGCGGGTTGAGGGCAGGTAAGTAAAACGTGTCAGTGTGTGTGTGTGGAGTGCCCCCAAGCAACTGACTTTGAGGTTAGCCATTGTGTTACTCCACGCATACAGGTGTACAAACAGGTGTACACGCCCATCCAGCGTCCCGCCACGTCATCTGCAACAGGACTTTCCCCCCACCCACCCTTTCCACCCACGCACCCTCAGCCACCGCCAGCTCATACGCTTCCCGGGTGTGCTCTGGAAGCTCCGCAGAAGCCCCTCTGTGGGCTATACCTGCGATCGCTCGTACCCCCGCTACCGCTGCCGCCGCGGTTGCGGATGATGGTCCTGCTGTTGCTCGTGTTCCTGGCTGCCACTGAGCCGCTGAGGTTCTACCAGCTGGTTCTCCGGATCCCAACTGACTGGTTTCGGAGCCCCCAGAGCCCTGGCCCCGGTCTGGCCCTGTCATGAAACTAGGGCTGCTGCCACTCTTTGTTGTAGTTTGTATTGTAGCAGCTGTTGGACGGGTCCGTGAATAGCCTTGAGCTGTACCTGCAGCTGTAGTTGTATCGACAGCTGCAGTCATGACGGGTTGCGACTGGGAGGCCCCCCCCTCCGACGACATCACGGGTATGGAGCCGTGAGATGTGGCCTGGTTGGGTCCGATGGGGGTTGCATGGGGTGGGTTGGCGGCGGCGGCAGTGGGGTTCAATGAGGGCCGCTGGCCTGGGCCGGGGGGGAGTGCGGATACGGGGAGGGAGCAGACGATGGCTGCAGATGTCCGGGGTGGCGCCGCTATTCCGACAGAGCCCCGGGATATCTCAGTATACCATGGGCCCACAGAGACACACCAGGATATCACACAAGGAGTCGTTACACAGGCCCCAGGGGTGTATGTGTGGGTGTGGGTGTGCTTACATATCTTGTGTATGTGTGTGTAGGTTACAAATATCTGACCGGGCCTGACACTGGCCTGGGGTTGCTGCCCAGCCCCAACGGAAAGACCGCCTAAGCTCTCTCTCCCGCAGACGGGAGAGGGGCGCGAGGGGCCTCAGCCCCCTCCTAAGCAGCCGAGAGCCGCAGGTCCGCTATCCTCCCCCGGGGGGTGGGAGGCCCCGCATGCGCGCACGTTCTCACGAGTCAAGGCTCCGTCACACGAGTTTGCGCACTGAGCCTGAAACACGAAACAAGACTCCTCTCCATCCCCGGCCTGATCCGGCCCTTGGGGTGAGGGTTCACTAAGACCGAGGAAACCCCGAAACCCTGTACTGACCCTACTCCTCCCTACTAAGGCACTAGGCCCTATTTAAAGAGCTCTCACCCGATTCTCCGTTGCGGGGGAGCGGGCAGGGTTCAAGTAACTCGCGCTAACCACCCCTCGATCACACGCGATAAGGGCCGGGCACGGACTAGGCTAGCAGCTATCAGTTCACCGACGGGGCTAGGGATGCCTCGAGGCAGCACTACACCGACGCACCGGCACCGGTGTGTTTGTGGGGGCCCAACGGCTTAGGTGCTCAATGGCTAAGGCGCGCTGGAAGAAGGATTGCGGCGTTGGGATGAGGCAAGGTACCTCGTCCTGAACCAGCAGCCTGAACCCCAGCGACACGTGAGCACAGAGAAGCCCCCCTTTCCGGGCGCAGCATTCCACGCCACGCCGTCATGGTGGCTTGCATGCCTCACGGCGTCTTCAGTGAGGTATTGTTTGTTGTGTGGTGTCGCAGCCATACCTTCGCTTGGAGCTGGGAAACTGCTAAAGCCAGGCCGGCAGTTAGGGCGACCACCAAGCGCAACAGCCCTGACGAAACGGCATAAAGTAAGTCGTTATGAATATGAATCGAATTTTGTGGCTAAACACTAGACAGGACCTACAATTTTCAGAGCACGGCCAGCTGCTTGCCATGGACTCGTCGGAGCCAGGACGCCACACTGACATTGTCAATAACTTGCTAAATATCATATGCTAAGTATGTCAGGTATGTCAGGGAAATCCTGAACATCAGGACGCGACTGGGACTCCGACGTAAGCGTTATGGGTAAACGTTTGTTCCGATTACACATCTCCGTCATGCATGCAAATAACTTTGCAAGCCACCTTTTATTGTAACATTTGACACTTTTGGCAAACAACTGGAATCGGTAAAGTACAGACAATTGCGCGAGCTATAGGGCAGGATGGAGAGCGGCGAGGATGAGCGCGGGGAGGGCTACGGCAGGAGAGTGAAGCGGTGCAGCTCGTGGAAGAGGTGTTGGAAGCTGGGTGGACCGATGTGATAGCCTCCAGTGCTATCCTGGTACCTGATGTCCATAATGTCCATACCTGGGCTCTTGCTGCTGTATGTGTTGTAAGAAGCTGCTGCGTATGTACGTACACATGTTCGTGTATTTGTACATGTCTGTACATGGTTCGTACACATGTCCTTATCGCATCCTGGACATGATTTCGCTTCTATGCTTTACGAAAGAGCAAATCTTTTGATTCTTATTCGAGTTCTAGCGGGGCCCCCAGGGTGAAGCGCGCTCGGGGCGGGAGGGTTGGCCATGTCCCTTTATCTGTCTGTTTGTCCGTATGTTTATCTGTTTACTAAGACGAAACTTAAGATAATATCTCACACAGCAATAATTATATTTGGCCTCTTATTACGTCCTTTGTTGCAATTATACTTCGTCTGGCTGACATCCCTACATCCAGTTTGTTGGTTGCTTGCCGTACATCGCCAATAATACCCAGTGCCTAGCCAATGTGCTAGGACCGGTGAGCGTGTGTATGGGCGACCTCGCATCTGCCGAAAGAAGGGGTTAGCTGCTTGCTTATTCTTCATGAGGCAGGTCATGGTTGGCGCCCGATAACAAGTCGATGGTGAGGTGCATCGGTGGGTTTTCGGTTGACTTGTGGCCAGGCCTGGGCGTTGCAAGCCTTGACCGTATTCAATTTAAATGCCTGTGGCTGGCCCAGCGGCTACTGGCCCAGCGGCTACTGGCATACCGGAGTACATGCATGTCTATGAGCAGGTGAATGCGGCTGACATGCGTGAATGCATGACGACCAAGTTAACATTGAGGTGTGGCAACTCCAGCTCGTGGGTGGGGTAAATGGGAACAGTGAGTTGGCTGCCGTCACCACCCTGTCTTCTTTAGATGGCCCGGCACCTGATACTCTGCTCTTGCACTATCAGCGGGTCCTCAAGCAACGGCTTCTGCCGCTGTTTAGCCGAGTCGTAGACACGGAGCAGACAGCCCTCCTCACGGGCAGGCGAATCGCGGATAGTGTGCTGCTCCTTACAACTTCTGCCCACGCTTCACGCCGTACTTGTGTGGCAGCTTTCCTTGACTTCTACAAAGCCTACGATACTCTTGATAGAGATTTTCTGTACGCATGTCTGTGTGAATTGGGGGTATGCGCAGGCTTTATTGCGTGGGTTCGACGTCTGCATACCAGTACACAATCAGCGGCGATTGTCAATTGTTACCTTTCGTACTGGGTTCTTATAGCGGCTGGCGTCAGGCAAGGGTGTCCGCTTGCCCCCATCCTCTATCTCGCGCCAGCTCAAGCATTACTAATTTGGCTTCAATATCAACAAATCGGCATAAGTTTGCGTGACATTCACCTCGCTGCGTCACGGTATGCGGATGATTGTGGGGCCATTTTGCGTCGCCTAGCGGACATTCCCCGCTTCAAAGCGGTCATGGATGTTTTCCAAGTGGTACGGGACTCTACTAATGCCATAACCTGATACCGCAAAAGCCCGACCAAAAGCTGGTAAATGCAACCCAGCGACTAGCTGCAAGCTATTCCTCACAGGTGAGAACGGAACCGACTGCTGTTCGAGCGAGGGCCTATCTGCGAAGCGAACCCCTAGGGTAGTTTTAGCTACAACTGACAGCTGTTCGACCTCGCCTGCTACAGCTAAGTCTCCCACAGAAGCTGCCATCTCAGTCAAGTTAGTAACCGCATCACAAAATCGGTACCAATAGCATTCGGTGGTAGTGTGTCCACTGGTCTTGTATTGCGGGTGAACGTCGGACTCTGTCGCGCATGTGGCGACTTCGGTGGGATAATGAACATAAGGAAGCTCTTGGCGGCTAGCTCTTGATGGCTTCCCTGCCTTTCCTATGCATAGGGCGCAACGTCAAAGAGGCGTCCCTGCTGCTTTGTGTCCCTGTGGCACATGTGCCCATGGTTTGTGGGGATCGTCGGCATCATTTCTGGGACTGTGAGAGACTGTGCTATCGCGTTGGCTCTTCGTGAGGCTCTGCAGAACGAACTAGAGTTTCCAGACCTTTTTATCCGGGCTAAATTGTGGTTGGGCATTCCACCGGCCTCCATTTATGGGTGTGTGTGGGAGGTGGTGTGCCTCACGGCCATCAGACTGACTCAATCTCGGTCGCCGTTTGTTGTTTAGGGAAGGTCTTCAGGCCAACATGGGCGTGCCTACGTCAAAACTTAACCGCATGACTTAGGATGTCATAACTAACTTTTGGGCCCGTTTAACTGCTTTTGCGGCACGGGATAACCTGCCAAAACATTAGGAACTCGTGCCTCACCAACCTTATATGTCAACGACGCGAACAAGGTTGTTTGCGGTTTACCGATGTACAATGATGAGGTCTGAGGGCTCACGTCGGAGCCGCATCGTTTCTGTATGAGCGTAATAACTGAGATTTTGTGTCCAGTGAAGTTAGTACGGCCTGGCCGGGTCTTTTCTGAATAAGGCCCACAGTGTTGTGCGGGAGGCGTTCCTAGGGGCGCAGCACTCGACCCGTCTGTAACAATCGCATTCTGCTTAAAAACATCACATTCTCGATCCTATCTATTATACCATGAATATGCATATACACCAGAAATTTTGCCGACCTACCTGCTGAGCTGCTGGGGTCTTTGCTGGGGTCTTTGCTGGGATCTTTGCCCTGGCTGCCCATCTACCAATTGCTTGCCTTGACAAACCCAAAATGCCGCAACCTCTCCTTGCCTAAAGGAAATTCACATATGATGCAGAGCTATACCGTACGAAAGGCAAGCCGCAGGGCAACGGTTCAGTGTAATCGGGATCGAGTATGTTTTCCTCGGCGAAGCAGTCCTCAAATTCTGAGTGCAAGCCTACTTTGTCCCTTGAAACAAATTACAAAGCCCATAACCGCCATCGCAGAGCTGTTGTTCGTAGCCGTCAAATTTTCCTTACTGCTGCTTTCCCGCATAAACAAACTCTTGTAGTGGTTGGACCTGTAATTTAGTTTAATCATCTTGAATTAATTTTCCTATCGGACTCCAAGGTGGCCTAACCGAAAAGATTCATGAAGGCCAAACGAAAAGGCACGGTGCCAAGCAGCGTTGCTGATGCGGCACTACAAAAATTACATGAATATGGTAAGCAGAGGTGACTGGCGCTGCGAGCTTGTCCTCCGTTAGCTACCAACAGCGTCGCTTTTGGCGTGGCGGCAGGGGAACGCTTCATGTCATCGTTTGACGATGATAAGGGCGGCAAGGCGCCAAGGACGAGCGGGAAAATGAAACAAAGCTCAAATTCTGTTGATTGTGGCGAAACGGCTAGGAGCAAGCACCAAGGTGGGGGACTTCAGGGCAAGGAGGTTTGGGTTTTGTTCCCATGGGATTGATGTGCTGCAAAAGCGTTTTACGATGCAAAGGCGTTGTATTTCTGGTGGGTTTCCGCGGGAAAGGAAACAGCTGGACTGGGCAATTCGGTCACAAGGTGGGGCTCCTTACAACTTGGGTAGGCGCCCGTTGCCTCCCCAGCAGGGTTTGCAGAGAGTGTATTTGATGCGATGATAAAGTTGCTCCATCTTGCGCATATGTTGTTTCTGCACGACAGCGGTAGCCATCTTGGTACGGGTGGCTGTCATTATGCTGGCTAGCATTAGGACGCCCAGTGTTTTAAAAGTGGTTACTAGTGACCAAGTAGTTACTGAGAAAATAATTCCCTCCCAGAAGGTGGTCACTAGGAAATGTTTTGAGTCACCTGCCAGTAACCAGGTGGTCGCCAGGAAATTGGGCCACAGACCCCCGTAGTGACCACCTCAAAACGTTTTTTGACGCTTGGATGGGAGCAGTGATGCTTCACTGAGCTCGGCTCGGGAACACGTTGCCGTACATAGAGTCAAAGTTGGATCTTCGAATGTCCGGTTCGAGTGGGCTCCTGTTCAGCATATTCACTGGGGAAAAGCTTTTGTAGGGTGGTTACCTAGGAAAACCCCCACAGTAACCACTTGGTCACTAAAACATTACCACGGTGAAATTGCAGTGCACGGCCAGCTGGCCAGCTGGCTCTACTCTTCGTGAGTCTGGAGCCCACTGTAACAACCACACACGGTGAAAAAGTTTTAAATACACTGAGGACGCCCACCGGCCGGGCTACATCAAAATGGATTGTAATGGTAACAATCATAGAGACTCCTCAATCCAAAGCCACACTTAATAGCCTGTGAAGCTACCAGCTTGCAAAACCCGTACCCCTGGTATACGCGATATTGTTACCTGCAGTTAAAGAAGCGCGGAATGGGCCTAGTCCAAGCGCCGCCATGGGCTCGCGTCAGCGGGAACAACAGGCAGGGGCGGCGCAAGCGGCCACAGCGAAGGAGCAGGACCAGAAGCACCGGTCGGATGGAAGCCAGCCAGGGACCTCCTCTCCAACACAGGCACCAGCGGGCACTGGTGCTGCCCGACGGAAACGGTCTTCAGGGGCCACGGACGAGATTGATCTAATTATGCGGGCTAGCAAAAACGCCAAGCAGGCGCAGGCAAAGAGTGGCAAGGTATCCGGGCCGGCCAGCACTGGTGCTGCTGCACGCACATCAGGGGACGCGCAATCAGCAGTTATGCGGGCCGATGCAATGAGGCGTGAGCGGAAGCTATTCATGTCTCACAAGGTAATTCGCCTTGCGCATGCTCACCCATCCGCAGCCTAGGCCATGAATTGCATTTACAGGTGCAAGTGTATCGGTTGAATTTTACATTATTTAACTCTTACAATGTTTGACCTAAGCTTGCGGAGTTGGAGGGGAGACAGCGTACATGATCTTTGGGTGTAATATGCCGTACAAGGCTGCAACCAACAGCCACATGTGTTTCCCTCTGTGGCTGTTCCTTCCTACCCCCATTACAGGCCAGTAAGGTGCACGAAGCTGCTGAGGTCCGCCCAGCACAGGTATCCCAAGCTGCGGCGGACGAAGACCTCAGCCCTGAGGAGTTCCAAAAGCTGCAACTGGAAGTGGAGAAATTCGGTAGGTGTCTTATTCCCAGGACGCCATGTATGTGCAAAGAACCGCGATTGTCTCCATCCTCTTCGCATACCGTATGACCCGAAATATAGTCGGTGGAAGTTACAATCGGTGGAAGTTACAATCACGGATGCTAGTATATGATGAAAAGCCGAATTAGTAGAAATTACGTTGCCTACTGCCTCACGCTGCCTACTGCGCTATTACCTTATTACACTAGCTGCGGGCGCACTGGACAAGAAGGGTACCAAGCTGTACAAGGCCCGTATGCTCTCACGGCTCGGCGCTAAGGCCGAAACGGCCCCTCGCACGGCGGCGTCCATTGGAAAGGGACTGGCCAAGATGGCGGCTAAGCGTCAGGCGCGTGCATTGGAAGAGGCTATCGAAACGGGGATGCTACAGCGGAAGGGGCTCGGCAAAAAGAAGCGAGCCCTGAAAGGTACGTTCTTAAATTCTGGACATGCACAGTTATATCACCAAATCAACATATTACCAAATGCCTGGAATCAATTACTAATGCATGATCTACCAATCTTCCTGCCTAGTATTGTGACTACTGGACAGATACCTATCTACACATCCTGAACCAAATGTTCTTCAACGCCTGCCCACAGCCAAGAACCGCGACCGAGGTCTAATGGAGGCGGGACCTTCCTTCAAGAACGGCGTTCTCCGCGTTAAGCCACTAAAGAAGACCTCTGCACAGAGCGGCAAGCTACGGCTGCCGAAGGGTGTTTTGTAATGACTACGGATGGCTCGCTTTCGGCGATAATGCAACCCGCGTGTGCTACTACTGCAATGCAGCCATATGTTGCACCATGCCATAATACGAACATAAAATGTTATGTGGATTGCAATGAGTGCAAGCATTTTGGAAAATATGGGATGCTGATTAATTAAGGACAGCCCTGCTGAAGGTCCATGTAGTCGCGCATTTATCCATTGCCTGGTCATATACACGTCCCTGCCTTAACACCCTTGGATATCTACAAGCTGCCACCCATTGCATACCGGGCCCCCTGGGTAAGGGACCGGTCAAACCAGATGTGCGGTACACACAGCGTTATTGTAAGCGACCAAACGAACTGTGCAAAGGACCCGTGCAATGTCCCAATTCTCCAATGTGATGCTTTCGGGAGCTTATAGCCATGCAGCGTCCGTACTTAGCTTATGCTACACCAGCGTTATTCCGTGTAATCATGGTTGCAAGCTCTCGCTGCAGAGCCTCCGCGTCGCTCGCCCTGCCCAATAATCGGAAGGCCTCGATACGGCGGTACAACTGCATATAAGGGTGGTCCCGCAGTCGAGCGGCAGCGGCGTAATCCTCCTCCTGAAGGGCGATGGCCAGTTCGCGCTTGAGTAGCTTGATGTCCTCGATGTCATCGAGCCTGGCGGGCGATACGGTATTAAGATAAGCTCATATTGGCGTGGGATCAAACGGTCAGGGCCAGGACGGCGACACTGTAAAACGAGATAAAAAAGACACGGTGCGCGTATGAGGCATGGCCCTGGATGGACGACTACGACTACGACATACAACAAGTAGAGGTACGAATGCATGCGAGTTCGTATCCGACAGGACGCGACGTACTTAATAGCCGTGAAGTCGTAAGGGGACGAGCTGGAGGCGCCGCCGCCACCTGCACTAGCGCCTTTGCACCCGCTGTTGGACTTCATGGCCGCTGTCGCGGCGCCGGAGGCACCGCCTTGCGCTTGTGTTTGGTGCTGGCTCGCCTGCATCTGCTCATGCTGCTGCTGTTGCTGCTCCTTAGCCATCAAGTCGTCCTTTACTGCGAGCATGTGCACCTTGGACAGCCGCAGCGGTGCGGCCGCCTCCTCCCACACTGAGCGCGCCACGTAGATTGGGCATTGAGTCTGCAAGGACACAGATCGCATGACCGTCCCATTCAGCCGATAGATGACCCTACGCGACAGGGCAGGTGCTGCAACCCGCAAACAGGGGAAGCAAGAAGGGGAACTTGCTTGGCCAAACCTTGGAGTATTTGTTGTAGGTTAGTCCCGGCAGGTCAAATGTTACGGCTGTAAACCCACCCGCAGGCTAAGGTACACGCCGTCAGATGGCCGGCAGTCGCAGTCCCAGCAAACAGTGCCAGTGGCCGCGTCCCCGAAAAACAGGCGGCCCACGAAGAGGTCGTCCTTCAACGCCACAATGGCCACCCGCAGCAGCTGCCACTGGCCAGGCTGCATCTCAGCCGCACGCGCAAGCAGCTGTCCCAAAACATGTTAGGAAGCCATTAGGAAGGGGTATCGTCGGTCAGATAGGTCCGGGTTGCCTCATGCTATGTTTCTGGCAATCGAGGTGAAAAATATGTCTGCATGCAAATGGCGGAAATCCCATCCAGTAGCTGGGCGCAAGGCTTTTCCAGAAATGAACATCCGCTGGCAGATTCGAATGACCTTGCAGGGTACGGCAAAGTAGGTATGTATGAAAGTTGCTGTTGGTGAGATATGGCTGTCCTAGAATGACAAAATAATGATGCCAAAAGCGGCTTAGTCGCAGGTGAGGCACGATGCTGGATGGCAACTTGCTGCTGATGTCTATTCTCTTTTGAGGCGAAGGCAAGGGGATAAGATGTGTGGCAGCAAAAGGCCCGGCGGTACTTACGTTGAACATGAGGTCGTGCACTACCGGGCGATTCTCCTTCTGACCATGCAGCTGTGCGTGAATATTGTATGCGGCATCTGGAAAAGACACCACGGTTACGTTGAATACACCGATTTGCCGGGCCAGGTCCATGGGCCATATCTGTCCTGCGCACCTCCAGTAACGAATACCTCCAGGATGGGCGTCTCAATCGTCAGAGGTCCCTCGTGCTCACGCTGGAAAACAATTACACCTGGAGCAAAAGAAGCAGCTCATAGGCTGGGAAATTGTGGAATCGTTCCAACAGGGCAGAAACATCCTATGGGCCGCTTACTGGTGAACCCCGAGTAATCGGAATCCGTCTCTCTGGCAGATAAGAACCTCATGGGGCCGTAGGGCGCACGGTTAAGGAGCTCAACACTGAGAGTAGGGATTAAACATGCGATTGTCAAAGGACATCGGTATTGGAGACAGCAAACGCAGCCCCCCGTGCAAGGTGTCGGAGGTGCTCAGCCAGTTGGTTTCTTGCGGCAGCCCAATATGACGCACCGATGGTATTCATTTTCTTTGAAGGGGTAGGTGTTGAATTTACAAAGTGCTGCAGGAGAGAGCAACATTCCAAATGGCAAGCATATTGGGGGAATGCCGACAGCAGTTGCTGGCCCCAGCGTTGCCAGCAGAAAGCACGCGCACCTAGCACGGTTTGTCGGCCCATCCTAGAAGGTCGCGGCTGGGCAGCATGCGGCAATGAACGCCACGCACAAGAGACAGCTGGAATGCCTCCTGGGATAGGCATAAGGAAAGCGCGTCGTAGCCTCGTCTTTGAAGATAGGGCTGCACATGAGCTAGAATTTTGGATATAACCGCTATAAGTCAGCGAGGCGAGAGCCATTGTGGCCGCTCAATTTCAAGGACCCGGGAAGTTGCTTTGGTTCTACTGCCTGATTAGGTCTGCAAGGCTTGCTACTCTGTGCTTCCAGGCAACAATAAATGTGCTCAAGCAAATTTATGACCATATAGCTCGTAACCCCATTATGTACCATGCCACATGTTTGAAAATGTCGTTAATACAGTTTGCCGTTATTCGGTCCAGCGAACGACCACCGCGAAGTTGGCGATCGGCGAACGTTAGAAGGTATGGTCGTCGCGTTAATGAAGCATATGGTCGTCTTATACTAACTGTGAATGAGGGTGCATTTGCCGGTGTCGGAGCACATTGCTGTTGTTACTTGACCAACTTTTTTGCAATCAAAACCCCTCCTAAATCAAGCAGTAAGATGAGTAAATACAGGTTTCGCGAGTATGATGCATTAGGGCTAAATAAGAAAGTTCCAGGTGAGAAGGTGCCTTCTCTTCATCACATTAGCAAACACAAGCAGAAGAAGAAAAATGTGGAAGTGGTCTTTGATGTGAAGGATTACAAGTGAGTTGACCGCAGGACCGGCTTGTGGGCTTGCACAGCTTGTTTGCTTTGCGCCGCCACTACTAGTTGGTCTTGCAAACATGACCAACATGTCCGCAAAATAAAAGTCTCCACGTGCAGGGAGTATGTAACCGGCTTTCGTAAACGTAAGCAGCAACGACGACAAGACGCCCTGAGGTTAGTTTCACACGTACCGACAGCCCCCAGCCACTGCATCCCGGCGTACCCAGGCTGGCCGGTCCCTGCCGCTCCTGATGTGCTCCTAGGGACACGGAAATGCACGGGGCTCTCTTCTGTCAAGCTGAAGGTCACGATATTTCATGCTATATCCAGATACTTCTGGATTTCGTCTTACCTGCCCTTACACCAACAGAATTTACCTTCATGACAAATGAGAGTCTTTTATGTTGGCCCCTTTGATACCGGATACAGAAAACCTCTGCAACTGATAGGTACTTGTCTTCAGCATAGCTCTCGCCTACCCGCTTCGTGACGAACCCCTCATCTCACGTGCGGATGACCCCTCAACCAGGCAGATTAAGGAGAAGCAGCGGCAGGAGCGAAACCACAAGCGCTCGGAAGTAGGTAACAGCAACCACGGACGGGTTGACTAGGCGGGAGGTAGAGCACTTCCCGCTTCCTGCTGTGCCACTCCATGGTTTTAGACGGTTTTCATTTGTGTGAGGCTTGACGACTGGCCCCAGAGCATGGCTCCCATCAAGCCGCTGCCGGCTGTCATGCAGAAACGGGAAAAGTTAAAGGAGGACCTGGGTCTTGGCGACGACTACGGGATTGGATCCAGCAGCGACGACGGTGAGGGGTGAATTCGAAGGGGAAGACTTTGGTTCTTCCCCTTTGGGGGACAACCCTTTAGGGGATGAAGAAGATGACAGGGTGGGCACCTGTGCGGGCGTGGCGCGGTTCTACTCGGCAGCTTTCCTCGCAGATTAGATAAGCACTGGCTTGGCTCTGGTTACTTGTTGGGAAATGGCTCACTAGCAGCCTCCCGGGATGAAGATGGCTGAAGGAGAGCAGTTACCTTGTAGTAACACAAGCAGAGGACTCCCTGTCCCCTGCAATACACGCGCTTCATCTTGCTGCAGCTAGCGGTCATATCAAATGCCGACGGTCTGGTGGGTCCTACATTGCCATAACGACGCCTCTTGTAAGGGGTGGCGCCTTGTGTAAGCATGTGCTCGTGCATCAGTGCCACGCTCTATGGACTTCTACTTGACAGCGTCCTGTCCTGTCCTGGACAACCTGCACCGCTGCACGGCGCTTGGTGCAGATGAGAAGAACTCGAAGCCGCAGCCACAGAGCGTTACCGTGTACAGGGGTGAGAGTGGAATGACCACCACCGTCACCACCATGGCTCTCCAATCCTCTGACGATGAGCAGCCGGGCGAGGATAGCAGCAGTGGCGACGATGGCGAGGAAGAACAAGATGCAGCGGATAGCGATGGTGGCTGTGAGGGCCGGGGTGGAGTTGCTGGCCCGGGTCCATCCTCTGCCAGGTGCGGTACACGACGCATGTGGGTTGCTAACAAGCAAGGACGGATGGATCGCACCCTGTTGCCAAGTTCTTGCAACATCCATGCGGTACAGTTCGAAACGGCGGCGTTTGTGAATGTGGCCCCTGATTGCAGGCGGGGGCATCTCAAAGCGGAGGGCAACAGCTGCAGCGGGAGGAAAGTGTCCAAGCGCCATGCTGCGCGGCAGAAGGCGAAGCCTAAACAGGCAGACAAAGCAGGCGGGGCCAAACAAGCGCTATCGGAACCTCGGGGCGGCGTGCGCAAGGCGGGGAAAAGGGGCGCAAGCAAACAGCGGGTCAGGTGATGGCCACTGTCGGGCCTAGCGAGGGGAACCTTCTGGCCAGGATTGGAGGCGAGGCGGTTGCAGTCTTGGTGTGTACATTGGATATTGGCGGTTAGCCAAGTGGTTTGCTCAGTTGATATGTCGATGTGGCGTGATGGTCACATCAAGAGGGTATGAGGTTTGTGCTCCCTATCGACTGGGCGTCAGGCAGAACTCCTTTCGTTCCTCTGCAACAATTTTGTTCAAGATTTTGCTAAATTGTATGGGTACTGAGAACACAATAGGCCCAACACACTAGTCCTTGCATACCTTCACGCTGCACAGGCCGCTTGACCTATAGGTGCACGTCTCAACTTGACACAGCTCCATGAAATTCTTTCTATCCACGTCATTACTTCTCCTGGGTGTGGCCCCCAAAAACACCTTTTGGTTTGGGGGAATGGAAGGGGTGAAACTTTATCCTTTCCCCGAAAGTAAACAAGTCATACGGAACGAGCGCCTGCCCAGGAGCCGCAATGTCAGAAACAACATATGCCATCTTCATACAACGATGCATCCCTCCTCGCTGCAAAAGGTGTTGCTCAAGGTTCTCGAGAAGTCCAGCCGCCGGGCTGTACGAGCGATAGTCGCTCGAAAGCGTGCATCGTCACGGCTTTCTTTACCATGGTGCTTGATACTATACATATCCCGACTCGACTGAATGCCCAGCGGTGGGTATTGGCACAATACATCAAAATCCCATTTGAGAAGCGCCAGGCACATATGGACGACGTGTCCAAGGGATTGTCCTGCATTCGCGCATCAAACGAGTCGCCAATATGGCAAATTTCTCCAGATAAGCCCTCTCAATCCCCACAGCCGCTTTCGTGCAAGCCGCAGACAGCGCGAGTCGCACTTCGACGTTGCACAATCACAGATAAAAGAATGACTGCCCATTTGCGGGCATAAGCTGCAAAAGGTGTGGCGGGGCTTTACCGCTCAATCATAATACCAGGCGCAGCAAAACTACCAAGTTCGTCCCATCAACCCCGCCTGTTGTCACGTCACCCAATCGGCCCCCGCATCATCACATTTTGTGCTCAACCACATTCCACCCCACCTCACCTATCAAATAGCGCATCCCGAGAGTTCCGAGCACACAGCGCACAGGCTTGACTTCAAATCCTCTTCCCTGGCCGCCGCACCCTTCTTGGGGGCCCGGCGGGTGGCGGCAGCCCGCTCACTCCCAGCTGCCCTCCCTTTCCGACGGTAAACCACCACTTGCAGCTGCCGGCAGGAGGAAGTCCCCAACCGTAGCCCTAGAACTCCGAGGCTCCGTAAAAACACACCCAGGCCGGCCGCCGGCCACACGTCGATCCGTGCCATGCACTCTGCGAAGTAGCTCCGCATCCACATCACTGATGGTCGAAAGCGGAGCCGTGCGAGCGCCTGAACAACGCTCAGGAGCTGGCTATCGGTCAAGCCCGCCAGGTGCGGTCCCAGCGCCGCTAGCAGCCGTGCCAGCAGCTCCGGCGGCGGCCGCACATGCAGTCGACCTAGCGACGCCAGCAGCCAGCCTACATGCCAATGCGCCAGGCCACCTCTACACACCCGAGCCGCAACTTCCTCATAATACTCCCGCAGGAAAGACGCACCGGGCTTCACATGCAAGCGGACCAAGGTGGACATTAATACGCAAAGCGCATCTGCATCCAGATCGTGCAGCCGGCCCCGCACCGCGCCCTCCATGGCGGCTCGGAGGGAGCGGCGAAGCTCACTGCTGGCCTCTAGCCGCCATCGCAGGAGCTGAACTTGCATTTCCGAGACGCGACGGCGCCGTGCATCGTCGGGCCGAATTCCCATACCCAGCCCTGCCAAGGTGGCGAAGTAGCGCACGGCTGCGCAAGGCGGTCGCTCCAGCAACCATGGAATCGGCACCGAGGCCGTTGGAGCTTCGCCTGGCGCACCGGACTTTTTTTCTGGTGCATCTGCTGCAGCCGCTGCTTCTGCTGACGGTGTCAGCCCAGCAGTCGACAATGGCGCAAGCCCGTCAGCAGCAGGGACTGTTGCGTTGGCAACCCGAGCGTCCACTGGGACTGCTGTCAGCACATCCAGCGCACGATTGCGGATCTCGCGTGGCACAGGCGATCCAAACACAGCATAAGCGCGAAATACTTGCTGCAGGCTAGCCGCTGATAGCTTATCCGCCGAGTCGCGCAGCCGGGCGTTAAATGCGTTTAGGAGCTCCTTGTTGGGCCGGTAACGCATCTGCTGAAGTGCCCACAGCAACGCCATCAGTTCACTGACCTTTGAGGCTGGCGCCTGCAGCCGAGCGCAGGACATGAAGAGCGCCATGGTGGGCGGTGGCGGACGCAGCCCAAGGTGCGCGGCGGCCCATTGCGAGATGGCGATGCACTGGAACGTTGACTGCGCCGGCAGGACCCTGCTGAAGCGCTGAAAGACCGCCTCCGTTACGCTGCCACTCGGCTGCAGGCGCAGCCGCGCCCATGACCAGAGTACCAGGCACAGGCCCTGCGCCGTGAAGCCGTGCAGGGCACGCACTGTCACGTCCAGAAGAGCGTGCAGCTGGTGCCGGCCCAACCGAGGCTCCATAGTGCAGGGCGCGGTGCGGGCCGCCGCTGGCGTCCTTTTTCCAATGTCAGCCGCAGCAATGTCTGCAGCTGGTACGACCACACCAGCACGCCCAGCGGATCCAGAACGGCGGCCGCCACTAGAAGAGCTGTGGCCGCTGTTCTCTGGCAGCCGCAGCTCCAAGCCCAATACACTGTCTGCAGCGCATTTGCCGAGCACTTGCCACAAGTTGGCAAGGTCCTGGGGTGAAAGGCTGCTTGGCGCCGTGCGGAGGAGGTGTGGCAGGGCCAATCGGAGCACACGCAGCGCGGCTGACGGATCCAAGGCGTGTAGTGCCGTCACTGTCATTACAAGCTCACCGCAGCGAAACTTGCAGAGTAATGTAACGGCGTGGGCGGCCAACGCTGTAACCAAGACTGGCAGTGCTGGGGCGGCAAAGTCGCTGCTCGCTGTACTGCCTGCAGTTGCACACGGCACGCACGTGGCCGTGTTACGCGGCTCCATGCTGGCGCTCCCTCGGGGGTTAGCACTGCTGCCGGGACCGTTAGGTGATGACGGGCTTGGTGGAGATGCAGGTAGATGGCTGCGATTGCTGACATCTTCGTGGGATGCTGCGACGTGAGAGGAGCTGCTCGCTGTCTGCGTGGTTAGCTGTAGCTCGTTTGCGGTGCTGCCGCCTGTTGACGCCCTTGCAGCCCTAGGCAGAAGCGCGGACGGCTCCGGCGGGTTCGCAGAAACCGCTGTTGCAGGTGGGAAGAGTTTTGACAGCGCCCACACCATGTGTGCAAGCTCTTGCGGCTTGAGGTCCAAAACCCGGGGTACAGCTGCCAATGTATACTTGCGCAGCCACATCGGCACTGGCCGATTGCCGAGGGATGCAAGGGTTGCCAGCGCCCATGCCAGATTGGCCAGCTCCTGTGCGTTAAAATCGTACATGCGCACGTATGCCTCGAACAAGAATTTGTTTAAGGTGGGTGGCGCCGGGCTGTAACCAAGCTTGCTAACCCCCCAGAGGACGTTGGCGATAGCCCGGGGGTCAAAGGCACTAAGTCGTATGGTTACAAGGTCAGACACGTCCCGGAGGAAGCGGCTGAACTGGGTCTTTTCGGATTTAGATAGCTCCACAGGGTTCACCACCTTGGGCAATCGGCAGACGAGAGCGCTAACATGAACGTGGTTGAAGGACGAAGAGTGCACACGAGCAAGCGCCTCAAGCTCCTGCCAGGACTGCGCACCCATGATGGTCGCCGTGAAAAAGTGGCTGAGCGCACGATCTCTGGTGCTGGGTTGGAAAGCAGTTACCGGCGAGCAACCAAGCTCGCGTGTAAGTGTATGCTCCACCGGCCGCTTCGGCGCTTGGTCCTCGATAGTCAGCCAGGGCCTGCCTTCTTGGATCTGGGGAATGGGCGTGCCGGTTGAGCACAACTCTCAGCGCTGTATTGACGCTGTTCCGGAAAGCGCGATGAGAGCGAAAGCTCTTGCCCCAGGTCTAACAGAATCACACACCTTAATAGCACTTGTGGAGATTCGCAACTGCTGATGCGATTTCCATCTATTCAAAAGATGTGGATGTGCCCTTCCAGGACACAGGCCATGACTCCAATAACTGCAAGATATCGCGCACCGAGTCAGGGCGCTTTCAGCCATAGCTTATTAGCAAAAATCGACGAATTGAATTGCTTGCCTGTCTGCAAACCTGGTACTGTACTCAGTATGCGCTTGTCGAAATTTGCAAGCCATCGAACACCACAAGAACGTAGTTGCAGTCCAAAGAATAAAGAATATCAACTTATGTTAAAAGCCTGTCCATTACAGTTTGGGACACTGATCGTAGAAAAGGCGCAACCGCACGATCTAAAAAGTGCAGAATGCGATTTTCCGATATCGTACGATGCAGTTCACAGTGCTACTGCCTTGTTAAAAACTGACAAACGAAGAGAACGTTAACGTCAGTGTAACTTGACGAGATCAGCGTAACTTGACTTGCGACTTGTTACAACTTGTGTCAATCATGGCATAGGGAACGGTGCGCTACTACCCGGTTACATCCTTCCGCCAGGTCCCCTCCCCTGTCGTGCGGCCGCCTCGCCATGATGACCACCCCTCTTGGATCGGTGTTCATTCAATCATTAAATGGCAGTAATTCATTAGCCAGGACCATTAAAGATCTCGGTTACGACGCCTGTGGTGCACAGACGTCTCGCTCCACGGGGGACTGCCAAAGCTGCTGCCAGCCCCAGGAGTAGCGCTGGGTGGCCGCATACGACCCAACCGGACGTCGGGCTGCGATTTCCTTGTCGTACGATGCAGTTCACAGTGCTACTGCCACTGTTAAAAACTGACAAACGAAGAGAACGTTAACGTCAGTGTAACTTGACGAGATCAGCGTAACTTGACTTGCGACTTGTTACAACTTGTGTCAATCATGGCATAGGGAACGGTGCGCTACTACCCGGTTACATCCTTCCGCCAGGTCCCCTCCCCTGTCGTGCGGCCGCCTCGCCATGATGACCACCCCTCTTGGATCGGTGTTCATTCAATCATTAAATGGCAGTAATTCATTAGCCAGGACCATTAAAGATCTCGGTTACGACGCCTGTGGTGCACAGACGTCTCGCTCCACGGGGGACTGCCAAAGCTGCTGCCAGCCCCAGGAGTAGCGCTGGGTGGCCGCATACGACCCAACCGGACGTCGGGCTCATAACCTTGTCCGACCAGCTCTTCATATTCCTCGCCACCGATAACAATCATCTTGTTCCCAGGGCCTCTGATAAGGCCTGTAGGGACGCAGTCATCAAACTGATCCAATGCCATAACCGATGCGGAACCCGACATGAATTGCAACGACAAAGGCGTCTGGGGCAGGGGTGACACTCGGGCCACTACGTCCCCATCCGCCAATGGGACGTCTCCCAGCGGTGATTGAGCGTACTGCTGCGCCCACGAAGGACCCGTCGGCGTCATCGGTAACTTCTCTTCGAACTCCGCCCCTGCCCGTGTCTGGGATGCCGTTTGCGCCTTGTTCAGCGCGTTCTGCGCCGAGCGCCGTTTAAGCCTGCATACGGTTTGTCCAAAATGCAGTGCTTACGTTTAGCAAGTAATTTAATATAAGAGGGTTGCTCGTAAAAGTACCCATTTGAATCGACAGTGTGATGATGTCCTCAGACTAGTCACCCGCGTACTGTGTCCTATTCGTGCCCCCTGTCGTAGGCGATCACATCTATGAAGACAATGAAAAAGAAATGCGAGGTACCACTGCGATTGCCAGCTCGTGCCGGACATCCCACACCACCACGTCGTCGCCAGCCAGGACACATACCAAAGTGAGTCTCCCGACTGAGTCTCCCGACAAGCAGCCACGGCATCGGCCAACCTGGCTGTCCGACCAAGGGCTCGTGCAGGACCAGGAGCCCTCCCGCCCCACCCCCGAAACTTACGCCGTGTTGATAGCTGTCGTGCACCGATGTAGCAGCGCCACGGCCACAACTGCTGCGTACAACGAGGAGCAGGTCCAAGTCCCCATGTAGATCAGCAGGAATCCAAACAATTGCAGCCCAACGCGCAACACCGTGTTAAGCCTGGTGTTCTCCACGCCGCCGTACATGTAAGTGACCGCAGCTCCAAGCAAGCCCATGACCACCAGGTAAGCTAGCAGCAAGCGGTTGTGCAGAAGTGCGTAGCCGGATGGAAGCCAATAGCCGGTCAGCCAGCGCAATATTCCCCAACTGCTGCTGCCTAGCAGCATAGCAGTTGCAGCCATGCTCCGCCGGCCAGGCATTTGCCTACCGAATGGCAAGAAGTGGGTCCCCGTCAGTAATGGAACTCTAAGAGCTCGCAACGCAGACGCAGCAAACAAGGGTATTGCGACACAAAGCGTCCCATCCAGGTACTTAGGTTTTTGATGCACATAAACAAGACAGAAAAGGAGCCATACTCTGCCACATCCAACAGAACGAATCAAACCAGCCTGTCATCGTGATCACGCTGCAATCCGCCTAAACGTGAAAGACCCTACGCTCTCTCTACCATGCATGGCGACACGGTACATCTACGAGGCCAAGCAGCTTCCACACGACATCCAAACCAGCCTGTTATCGTACCTGGCTGACGTACCTTGCCAATACGTAGATAAGAATAAGAACAGAGCCCACGGCGAATAGCAGCCCGCCGCTGGTGACGCGCAGTGCCATAGATTCCGACAGCGGGCCCGCCAGCGGATAAACCAAAACTCCGGCAAGGAAGCTGAGGAGCATCCATCCGCTTACTTCCGCCTCACCGTGGAAGACGCAGGGTGAGCCTGGTGGATACGAACGCCCAAGCAAGGTATACGCACTGCCGACGCATTGGCACCGGTATCCAGCCACAGCCTCATGGTAACAACACCGCTACCTACACACTTTCAGGCGTGCCTGGCCCAACCGTTGCCAAGCAACGCGTTTAAAAAGCGGGCGCAGCGGAACGCAACACGAAGCACTGCATTTTGCAGTAATTGCCAGACAGGACACCATTCCTTCCTCCCAACCAGCATCGCAGTATCCACTCTCCGATAAGCAGCAGTTATAATAGGATCAGAGGTCGGCAAATAAGGCGGGTACTGCGGGTCCGTACCACAGTACCCGCAGCCGAAATTCGGCTGCGGGTCCCTAATGACCAAAATTTTGATCAAGAGACGTGATTTGCAGCCTCTATTGCGGCCCGTAGGGCCGCGCGCTGGACATGAACTCTGTGTTTGACTTTGAAATTTTTAGGTTTACTAACCTAAATTATGCCCTCCCGCAGCCGTATAAACCGTTTTGCCAACCTCTGAATAGGATGCGCTAACGCGTGTCAGTTCTTTGGTATGAAAACGTGACTGGCTGCGTGACTGGCTGCATGCCAAGGGGAAGCCCCGAGAAAGAATGCCATACCTGTGTGCATAAACTTCCGAATGCCAATGTAGGACGTCGTGAAGGGAGAGAGCTGCACCTGGCAGCCCGAACCGAACAGGGAGGAGAGGCTGCACCAAGCCTGCTCCCGCTTCCGGTAGCGCTCCAAAAGCTCATCAGGCGTTGAGGCTATATAGACTTGATACTACAGTCAAAGCAAAGTATAGCGCGCCATCACCGGCTGCAACCGATATACACTGATATGTCTCGCCGAACCTTGGGCCACACCAACCGTTTGCAACTTGCCACAATCCAAACTCAGTTTTATGGGGCTCCACAGATAAGGTACTAGGAAGAAGCTCGATACCCCTTTGCATTTAATCACTTGCGAAAAGTTCCCAGTAAGCCGAAGTTCCGCTGCTGATGCACTGTACGTTGACAACTCTTGGCACGACTGCGCGTTGACAGTGCTAATAAGTGATAGGACTGCCACAACGTATTGATAGTTGCTGAGTCTTTCGTTCATCTTAGCTGTGTGCATAAGCAATCCAATCTTAGCTTGCTAGCACCTGTAAGAATATGATTCCGACTGTAGGTCATACTATTGCATAACTATTATTACAAAAACACGTAATTAATATCTGTGTTCGGACCATCACATGTAAATCCGTGCAGATTGCTGCCGGACGGTTCCAAAAATGGTGGAGCGCACCTGCCGTGCAAAGCACGGGTAACAACAAGGAAGAAACCGAATAAAAATAATAATAGCATGCAAGAATGTCCTATACAGCTGAGCCCGCTACATGAGAATAAAATGAAAGGAAAGCCTCATGCCATATTGACTGCCTCCGTGCCATCAACTACTCGTCCATATTCGCAATTGACAGTGCGTAATCGTCACGGGACACACTTTCCGCATCTGGATCAAGCGCTTGCGCTGCGAAGTATTGCCCAAACTGCAGATCGTAAATTTCGTCCTCGGAAACAGTTTCCATAACCGCATCGGAGGTGGGGAAACCAACGCACATAAGCGCATATCCCTGATCCTTTAGCTCCTGGCTAATACCCAGCGCCTCGGGCTGGTACACTCTTCCCTCCTTTACACGTACGGCACATGCCGTGCAGCATCCCATCCGACAAGCGTAAGGCAGCTGGAGACCATTGTCCTCAGCTTCCCAAAGAATGTACCTGGGATCATAAAAGAGCGCACCCTCATTAGTTTAGTCAGGAGCGACTGCGAATTCCTCAACGCCATCGAAGACACTGGTGGCCCAGATGGGAAACGTACCTGTCCTCGGGCACCTCGATGTCAATCTCCTGGTTACCGTAGTGGTCAAAAATCTTGACCTTGTGGCGCGGCACGTCACCTGCAGTAGGACCTTCGCCAGTACGGAAGCCATACACTCCACCCTTGTGCACAGCTCGCCCACCCTGCGAAACACATCAGCACGCAAGCAGTGGTGATTGCAAGCACGGCGCAAGGAGGTAGTAGTTCAGCAATCACATTTTAATTCCACCGATGGTCCCGCTAGGTGAATTCGGTAAAACTCAATTGGTAGGCCCGCAACTTGCTATTACAGAAGCAACTATGCAGCAAGCAAACGTGCTATTAAGCAAGCGTGCAATCATACTGATCATATGGCGTACAACTTTATACCTACAATAAGACGTGAACCGGCGTTAAACTCGTCCTCTAGCCAAAGATCATTGGTGCCATCCTTCTCGTACAAGGCGCGCCACTCATCCGTTGTCATGCTATGGATGCTGGGCGGCTGAACACCCGCTGTATCATCATCACCCCGGCCGCTGCTGCTGGCGTCCAGGCCCTGGCGATCGTTCAGCTCCGTAGCAAAGCTCAGGCTGATAGGCCCCAGGGCAACTCCAGAGGTATTGTCAACCTCAACATTAGCACGGTTTGATTCCTGCACCGCAACACTAGCCGCAATGAGACGCCACGCATCCAGGATGATGCAAACATGTCGTGAATGTGCTAGTAAATCTCTGAGGGCATAGCTCACGTGTATAGCCCCTGCCCATCGACTTCGGGCATGTGTCCGCACATCCGTCAGATGCCCACATCACGATGCCATTTGAAATAAATTGAAGAAAGACGGACTTTACTCCCTCGTTAACGTTCAGCAGGAAGCTATGCCAACCGTTCCCCGAAAACCCGGCGGGCAAACAGTGCATAGACGGAAGATCTGAAAACATGGTAGATACCTTTGTGCCGGCGCTGTAACTTAGGCCGATGGGACCAAGAAGGTCACCAATATCCCCGAGGCCCGTCCGAGATTTCTCCGCTTGCGATTTGGGTGGTGCTTCCGGCGCTGTCTTTTGTGCTTGGCAGGAGATCTTGAGGATCTTGAAGCGATTTGGACGGATGGTTACTGAGTTCGCTGTTGGCGCACAGCCTTTGGCTAAACGTTGAAGGTTGCGCATGGCGACGAAGCCAATGAACGCTAACACAATGTTCAATTTAAAAGGATAGAGTTTTATCACGATTTGCGACGCCAAGTATAGAGAAAGGCTGGTAAAATCCGCGGTACCCTGTGTGTACCGGGAACGATGAGATTTTCTGCCGCCGTCCGGAAAGATATACTCTCTTAAATAGGAGCATTTCGTAATGTCTGCACCACAAAACTAGCATGAAAGATTACCAGCTTTTCACGGAGGGTACGGCAAGGTTATCGTACGCAACCACTGCAGAAAGGGCAATATCGGCCAGTCAGCATTTTAGACACGTTGGCGATAATAGGTTACTCTTCACACATTGCTCCTTCGGTGTCGCATTTAGTGTCATTGCCAAATCCGCAGCCGCCTTGATTGTTCTTTGTTTTGGGTGAAGCTTAAAATGTATACCCGGTATCCAGTGCAATGCGATGCACGACTAGACTTCAATAGTACACTACGACAAATCTCTGTGTTGAGACCTGTCCTAAGGTCGATGGTCGCGTGCAGGTAGTGTGTTTTTGCTGAGCCGCAATCATTTTATAAACAGCTACCTTACCGTTTATGGCCTGCCCATTTCTTATCGTGGTTCAGGACATCCAGTCAGCCTAACGTTGACACGTTCACACCGCCGCCGCCACCCCCGCCACCTCCTCCTCCGCCTCCTCCACGGGTATAGCTTGCGTTCAATATGCTTTTCATGCACGGTAATGGCTTGGTAATGTACACTTGCATGTGATCAGGCAGCCCCCTGGTACAAGCCTAGTCGACGTGACTTTCTGGTGGCCGGCTTGGGGTCCATCATCGGAGGGGGAGCGATGTACGTGTACGACACATGTGAGTGTCTAGGTTTGCCGATGATGTCAGCTCGGATCGTCCAGAGTTGCAACACGTGAGGTCAATACTCTATCTGCCTTAGCGTCGTATGTGAACCAGTATGTGAACCGGATGTGAACAAGCACCGTGCTGGTATTATTACATGATGAGCTGCAGCACCTATGGGTTTCTCTATGATGCATAGTTGCCTGTCTACATTACGTGGATTACAGTGACTTAAAGTCCTGCGATTGAGCGCCTGCCGTTGCTGTCCGTGTCTCCTGGCCAGTCATTATCAGCGACCTGGTGGATGAGCTTGAGGAGGCGGAGGACGACCTGGATCTGGCGGAGGAGTTCGTCAGCCGAATTGCAAATGTGCCAACCATGGAGGACCTACAGCGGGATGACGGACCTAGCAGCACGGCGGGGACGACAGGGAAATGAGGAGATGAGCAATGTGCCAGGAAATGGGTGTAATGGGTATGCGTCACCTCGAGATTTTATGTTCTTTTGTAGGGATGCATGTTTAAAGCAGTCGACAATAACGCACTTGCCTTTGTTAATCGATTAGTTACAGACGGGCTTTTTCACGCAATAGGAGGATATTGAAATACACGCGTAAAGCAGGATAGCTGTCGCCTTGCACAGCCTGGAAAAATGGCTGCGTGCAAATCGATTTGTGCTTTTTGTGTTATCGGGGTATTCGTCTGCCCAGCAGGGTAATGACGGTGCTTTCATGCACAATGGTCAAATGACTTCGCTGCCAAGCACCAAGGATTAGGATTACAAACGGATTGTGACCATTGTGACAGCCATGTTTCCCATGTGGGAATGTGATAAAAACAGTTATATACCATCCAATGGATATAATTGATTTGATAATTCTGGACATGCGTCAACTGTTGCCGGACGTAGGGTGGTCGGTTTTGATCGGCTCCGCAATTGAATACATGATGCATACATTTCAGTTTAGAAGTGTGGAAATGAATTTGGAAGTGTGGAAATGAATTTGGAAGTGTGGAAATGAATTTGGAAGTGTGGAAATGAATTTGGAAGTGTGGAAATGTGTTGTCTTCCATCCAACCTTCCAATTCAGCAGAAATAGAACGCTAGCGTGGATTGCCACATGCATTGTGATGTTTAAGGACATAACACCCTTGCGAATATTGCTGAAAAACATTCGCACGCAGTACGCTACGCTGGTCAATCGAGACAAAGCTTCTGGTGAATCCATATACCTCGCCAAAAATTAACGCAATATTTTCCTTCCACTCACCACTCCGCCAATGTACACTAGTGGGCTATGGGTCGCGCCAAGGTCGTGCGCCAACCCAGACTTCCATCACGAAATGAACTGCGTCAGCGGTGGTGACCCGTTTGGCGACGACCCCTTCCCAGCTCCTGCCAAACCCGACGACAGGCGGTTATTGGACCCCTCCGGGCTGTCGTCTAACTTGAGCTCGTCATCGGACGGAATAGTGCGTAGAGGCTTATTGCTTTGCAGGTCCTTAGATGACAGCGTGTGGTGGTGCATGTGGAGCCCCGCCACGTGAGGCACGCCATCCATGCCAACACCAAACCTCAACGACTCGCGTGGAGACGACCCCGCAATGCTGTCCAAGTCAGCGGAAGAGCGGCCAGATAGGGATGCGTGCATGCCCATCGCCTCGTCCAGCTCCGCAGATGTCATGAAGAAAACCTGCGGCACGGTATACGAAGTTCATGTATCTAAGTCGACCGCATCCCACGTATACTACTCGGCTTTGCAGTTTGGTGATGAAGTCAACTGTTAGCCCGTGTAGTGGGCATGCCAAAACGCTTCACCAAGGCACCATGCACAGCATTTCGTAAATCAGACCGAGTACAGCTTCCACGGACGTACATCGTCAAGACCATGCTCGTCGAAAGGCATCTCAAGATCGTACATCGTGTGGTACAACAGCATGACGATCATGACGTAAACGGCTGCTGCTGCATAGCCGGCTGGGCACCTGCAGATAAAGCCATCAACAATTAATTCCTTGAGTTGAACATGCAGGACAACCGGTGCCTACTGCTGCAATCAACTTTGTGAGACTTACGTGGCCTCGTCATTCCCCAAGGCTAACCACGAGTCGCAGAAGTGCGCGAAGTCTGCCGTTGTAAGAGGGTAGACAGGAGGGTAATTAATGCCAGGTTAAGGTACCAAAACTAATATCAAGGCGTCCAGGACCCAACGCGCTTAAATCCACTCACACGGCGCCAGGATGATGGCGAAGATGTGCAGCAATATTCCGCAAGCTGCGCGCATCATGTAAGGCGTCCGATAATCCTGTTGCCATGCGAGGCAAACTTACAAACTTAAAGGGCGGGAAAGCTACACCTACGGGAAGTTGCATGAATCACGTACAGAACCAGGTACTCTGGTAATTGAGCAAATCGTATTCCAAATCAAGAGGCACAGTGGCGGCGTACGACTTTGGCTGGACTCCAGGCCAATCAACCCTCATCAACCGAACCATAGCGCAAAAGCTCACCCGGATCATACGGAGCTCTGCAAAAGGGAGGTTTGTGGGGGGGGGACAATAGCAATGGCGTTATGCGTGAATAACTGTTACCTGAGCTCGCTCTAGATTATGACATGCCTCAGTATGATATAATGTTAGTCCCATCTGAATCGGCATTATGGCAGTCATTCGTAGGGTTGTGCCGGCATTAGAACATTAGAACTAATATTAGAAAAAATATAAGTAGAATCTAATAAGAATTTTAGAAGACCCCGTTTAGAACGTATTAGAACATCCTAATGTCGTACGGACATTAGAACGGCCGGAAAGCCGTAGCTTTAAGGCGCATCAGCGGTTCTACTGCGTGCATTTTACACGAAAATGTCAGATAGAGGTGCGGGGCCATCAAAGCCACCCCTTCCTCATCGGAAGGCGGAAGCATCAGGGCCAATGTACAAGTATGGCAACAAGGAACTTGATGCAAAAGCGTATGCAGAAGCTCTGACCTCCGCAAAGAAGAAGGGTCTTGCAGCTTATTGGACTTCTTTCAACGTTCTGCTGCTCGACGGCGGGGGCAACCTTTTCACGAAAGCCCGCAACAGGCTGGGCAAGGAGCGCGCCGAGAAGTTGATCTACCTCCGGCAGAACAGCAGGGTGTTGCAGAAGGGCCGCTTCGGTGCGAACGATGAGGAGGTGGTGATGAAGCTGCTGGAGGAGGCCAGGGAGTGAAGTACTTATTCATTGGCTTCCGCGGGAGTGGTTTGTGTTCGTTTCAAACCAGCGGCCGTTTTTGCATTCCCCTTAGCGAGCAAGCACTCCCCGGCAGTGATGTGGTGATTTTGTGCAAATAGGGACGTAAATGGACAGGTTTGGCGGCGTTCTTGGTTGTTTCCGCAGCGGTCTGGCGTGGGTTTGGCTAGCAGGCACCAGATTAGCCCTTCCTCTCTGTGTTTTTGCATTCCCCTTAGCGAGCAAACACTCCCCCGGCAGTTATGTGGTGATTCTGTGCAAGTAGGGACTTAAAAGGACAGGTTTGGCGGCGTTCTTGGTTGTTTCCGTAGCAAGTCTGGCGTGGGTTTGGCTGGTAGGTACCCTCCCCAGGCACCCGACCGGAGTAAATTTAATTGGAAATGCGTGCGTTTACATCTGTGATGGTCTATACAAAATTTCAGGTTCAACGGACCCCTCCCTGAAAAGTTGTCGAGCGTCTTCTAATATTAGATCCTAATTTCTAATTAGAATCTAATAAGAATTTAGATTAGAACGGAAAACATTCTAATGTCAGGAACAACCCTAGTCATTCGTACTCGACAGATAATGCATTCGACAAGCCGAAGGTCGTGCTGCTATCCGCATTCTCCTACTTGCAACTGCTTGTTACACGCATTTAACTCCGAAACCCTCGAGGACTTTTGCATGAAATGAAACGAGGTTGTTCCAAGAGTGTGCTGTACGAAAAGAACGCACCCTCGAGGTTGCTGATGATGTAGCGTAGATACTGGTTGGTCCTAGACATGCCGCCTTCACCTGCCAAGTCCAATCATAGGATAAGTGGATTGGTAGTACAGCATTACAGTTGGTTTGAAGCGTTCGCGCCCGCCAACCATTACGGAACTCACCTCCCCGCGTATATCCCGCCTTTAGCGTCAGTTGCTCGTTAAACACGCTGAGCAGCGACAGGGCACGGTAGCAGTCCATGAGGTGCACGTGGCCCGGATCCTGCCGGTCAGCACGGTGCACCCTGCGCTGGAAGTGTGGTAAGCCTCGCTCCTCCACATCCAAACGGTGCAGGAACAGCTCATACAACTCGTCCTTCTTCTTTGCAACGAGCCGTCTTTCGGCCAGCGATTCGTACTTGTCCTGCGCGGTGAGGTACCTGATCGCAACCATTCATGCGAAAGAAGTATTACGCTTGCGGAGTCTGATGCAATAAAAAATCCAGTGCAGGTTATCCACAAGTGCAGGTTATGAGCGGACAGGTACAACTTCAATATGCCTTGGAATGCTGGAGCTTTGATGAATATTCTAGCTCAAGGTGGAATTGGTAAAGAGGTATTAACCGTAACGGGTTACAGCCATACACAGGGGGTAGGACGATCTTGAACCCTGGACCATATAATAAACGGTAAACGATGCGCGTGCTGGGGTTTTGCACTAAGCCGAGACGGTGGCTCTTTCCAAAGAAAAACACGGCTGCTGCAAATTACGACAAGAAAACTTACAACACAGACCCGCAGCAGAAAGTTATGGTTATGCTTGTGCCGATGTCCTATCGCGGCCCCTGATTACCCGCTCGGCATTTTACATCAAGTTTATAGGGAAGTACGCACCAGTGTGATATACTACCCACCTGGAGCAGCTGTTGCAGAATTCTTCAAGGACCGCCTTCACTTTCCGAGCCCATTGGAGATTGTTATTGCCGAGTGATGAAGGGAAGTTCTCAGTCTGGTCCCAGTCCTGCGCACTCGCAAGGCATTGCAACACCGCGCTATGTGCGAGGCCACGAAGGGCATACCAAACCCTTCGCCAGATTGAGGCTGGAGCCTGCGAAGCCAAGGTTGCTTTCCCCAGTACACGCGGTTCCATAGGATACACAGTCAAACAGCGCCCTTCAGCTCTTGGGCTTCCCATAACAGGAAGCTTCTGTTTGAAAGACCTCTTCGATCCATGCTATGCATGGCAAGACCTATGTCCAGCTATATGTTGCCATGCTCCGCGCTGCTGTCTTCGTGCTCACCCGATGCATGTAGTACAGCGCAACCAGGGAGGCCTTCATGTTCGCAATGAGGATCGTCGCGCGCTCCCGCCGAGCGAAGGCCTGGCGATGCGAATGGATGGTATTTTGCCATTGCCGAGAGGCTGGTCGACATATGGCTGGCATTTTAGGCCGGGGTCGCATGTGTTGCTAACCCATGCTAGACCCACCTGCTGGATGGTAAAAACCAGGGGAAAGGTAGTCCCCGTCGCCACCAAAGACATATCCATATTGTACCTTCGTTTTGCACGGGAAACCAGCAAGGGTAGCGATCAGGGGCCGCGGCATGCTAAATGGCAAAGTTGATCCTGAGTTTCTCATAACATTCGGGTAGCTTGATTACCTGAGACCCTTTTACGCACTTTCCCCCCTTTCGTCGTTGTGACAGTTACGGCATATTCGCTGCTGAACCCACAACTAACCTGAAATTGAGCGCGTAGCACAGTGACACAGACCCACATGCTACCGCTGTAAGTATGAGTGTATGCACATTAAAGACGTACGCAAGTGCCCGAAGGTATCTGCGCAGCAGGCGACTTAATACTTTGCAATCCAAATGCACTCCTCAGTCAAAGTTGCTCCTACCTTCGGATGCGCACGCTTGTGTTACCATGGCCTTTCTTCTGTTGCCTCAGAAATGTCTTCCAGCATCGCAGACCTGGCTTTGGAATGGCCATTCTCTAGCCAGACGCGCGTACCGTTGAAACCAGCGTTTGTTCTATCCAAAAACGTAAGCTTACTTGCTGCATGGCTTCGATTATTTTTCCTTTATCTGCTCACCCATATCTCTTTTCACGTATTTGGATGGCAGTTAACGCAGGCATGCAGGAAGTGTAATGCGTGCTAGCATACGACCATGGACCGAATTACGAAACGATATTTCAACGGTTTCCACATGGTCACTGTCATGCGACACGGCCTCGCGGCTGCCGTACGGTGCCTGTACTGGCGGCTCCTGGAATAACCTAGTGTCCAAGCATTGCAGGCACCTGCTTGAATTATGGAAATCTAACAGTGGGGGACAAAGAAGAGCCGTGTCTTGAATTATTCCTGGCAAAACAAAAACAGAGGTATAAGGATTATGAAGGCATCGGGCCAACGGAATGCAGGAGCCAGTCCCGGGGGCCCTCTTGTGTCGGTTGCCAAACGTCGCAGGTACATGTTCTCACTCGCCTATTTTGATGTCCCAGCGGCGTAAGAGGAAACGTGACCCCGACCCTTGCCAGGCTGGCGGCACTGGATGTCGCGTTGTCGGGTGCGGGACCCAGGGTGTCCGCGGCTACCACATCAGCGGAGATGTTAGCGACCCCTCAGCTCAACAGCGTCCCCAAAACGCGTAATTCTGCATCTTGCGAGGCATCTTCTGGCACCGGCGAGTTCCCGTACAATAGCCTTGCAGACGATGTGCTGGATGGGTCTTTGTCCGCCGCTCTTGCGGATGCAAAAGCAGCCGCGGCAGCCGCCGCCCAGGCAGTTGATACAGCTATGGGCAGTACGGGCAGCTTTACAGCTGCCACGAGCAGTAAAAGCCTGTCGGGTGTACCAAATGCGGCGCGCGCATCATCAGTAATGCGGACGGCTGTTGCAGCTGCGGCTGCTGCAGCAGCCGCTGGCGGTGACTCTGTGGCTGCGGAGGTGCTTGCACAGATGGTGGCAACTAATCCACGCACCAACAGCAGCGACCTGCGCAACCTGCTTGCGCAAAGGCTTCAAGACCGTTCAGTTATGCTTGAAAACCCGACTGCGCCAGTGAACGTGAACAAGCTCTTCGTAAGGTCAGCAGGATCCGAAGGTCAAGGATACCATAAATGTCTGTTGGAAAAACCAAGCGGCATTGCTTTTTACACTTTGACCATGGAGAAACATCGCTATGGTAAATGTCGTTATGCCTAACTGTTACTTCGTTTTACCTACATTTCCCCCTTACGTCGTGGACACATCGGGTAAATTAGCATGCAGACAGAGCCGTCCTGACTGTACAACTCTTTACCAAACGTGTAGACGCGGCGCAAACTACACCTCAAGGCTGTGTAGCGCATCACGGCGCAAGTCGATGGAGCTGCAATTGGAACGAACAGCAAAGCAGACGATCAGGTGAGCGGCCCAGCATGGTTGGCTCGACCATGTTGTTCAGGACTGCGTCAGGTGGGCAGGATCCATCCCCCGTACCTGCATCGTAATAAATTATTGCTTCAGAACTATGCATCGCCCAGCCAGGGCTTTTACTAGTTATGCCAATGCGTATCGCACATCTGCTGCTGTGTACAGTTATGAAGCCATGCTCCGCGTGCACGACCTCTGGCTACGGTATACAGACAGCCTTGCACGCCCTGTTACAACTACTCCTTCCGGAGGGGCTGCATCCGGAGGCTTGGCCACCAGCTCTGGAGGGGACCCACCAAATCGCATGGCAGATTTGCACGGCGCCATGCTGGCTGTGGTGAGACACACTAACCCACAGCTGGTCGGCTCAACTGGGATCGTCCTAAAGCAGAACAGCAAGAACCTTCACCTTGTGATGCCTGGCGACCGCGTTCAAGGTATGCCTAGAATAAGTATAGACCGTCTGCCTTATTTCCCGTACACCAAAGCGCCATAAAATGGCGAAGGCAAACTTAGGCTGTGTAAGCTGATACTTCGACGTAATGATAAGACATTTGTCTGCCCTCTGTTGCAGTCGTGCCGCTCAAGGGCTGTGTTGTGCAGTACACGATAAATGGTACCACCCTGCAGTTTGCTGGATGACCTTGCGCGTCAAGAGGAGAACAGGCGACATCGCGCATTTCGTTAGTCTTGGCAGGTAGGACCGCACGAAATCAATAGCTTGCGCTGGATGTTCATTCAGCCGACGCTTATTGGACTATCTCTTGACAACTGCTAGTCCGATGAGCCCCAATCTGCAACTTCCTACTCGTGCTTCAGGCTCATGTCACGCAGCACAACACTGACTGGCCCCAGAGGTCCTCTATGTATCCCCTATCAGCTCTTGGAGAATGCAACAGACGCGAGCTAATGGGAGCGCACACCAGCTGTGAACCCATGCTTCCCTACATCACAGCAACACCTCGACCCGCCACTGCTCGGCTCGCATAACCTGTGCCCGGCGCCACACGAATTCGAAGTACTGGACTGCGTCTTCCTTCCCGATGCCGTTGATTTCCGTGAACAGCTGGCCGTCTGGCGTATCCTGCAGCTTGTGCAGTAGCGCCGCGGCATCTGCCGCATCATTAGCTGCCAGTTCAGCAATAGCATGGCCCAGCCGCACCTTAATATCGGCCAGCGGCGCGCTGAGTGCAACAAGGCGTGTCAGCTGTGCCGCCCTCTCGTGCACGTTGTAGCACCACTGGGCCGTAAGCTCCAGGGGCAATTGTTCCTGTTTCACGCCTGTCACTTCGCAGCGGTAGTTTGCCGCTGCCAGGGTTGTTGCCCGTAAGGCCGCCCAACGCTCACCGAAGACGGACTGTAAGTCTGCTACTTGGCCGGGCTTGGAGCTGGGTAGGACTATGGGGTCAAGAAGCAGGCTTCCAAGCTCGGGCCGGGCTGCAGTACGGTCGGCATGGGCACGTCTGCTTTAGGCGAATTTAAGATGTAACATTGGGCCAAACAGCGGTGAAGTATGTGCAGTTTTAAAATCACCACTGCCATTTACATGCTGTACAATGTCGTGGAATGTATTGTCTGTCGGTGGCGGACTGGGCTGGTTGCGGTGATGCCAATGTTAGTTCATCCTCTGGACAATCACTCGTACGGAAATACAAAGGACCGACGATGAGGTGTTGACGCATATTGAGTGCTTTTCTACATTAACGTACCGTATAGCCGAGCACCATACACAGAGGTATCCTTGGCGGGGCCTGTAGACGCGATCAACCCAAATGAGCCTTCGTACTTGAATCGCGCGTTCTGGCCGTCCCGCCGCGGGATATAGCCCAAGACCCGGCCAGAAAGGTCTAGCACGCGCACTGCCAGCAGGTCGTACTGGTTCCATGGTTCTCGCTCGAGGTAGACAATCTGATCGGGCTCTAGGTGACGTATCAACTTCTGCACGCGCAAGTGCTTGGTTGAGAGTTGACGGCTCTGGTAAATGGCTAATGGCGGGTGACAGATGCTGATGTTTAAACTCTGATTGTCTCTTCCGATACGCGGATAAACCGGTCCATACCTGTCGGTCGCCAAAGGAGACACCAGCAATTGGAAAGGCCTCTACAGGGATCCTGGTTTCTACGACTTTGCGGCCCCCGAGCAGCAGGTCCTGCGTCCACGTGCGTTGCTGCGTGTTACGGGAAGAGTCCTGTTTTGCTGCGCGTGCATCGCAACACACACGGCCGTGCTTCCGGGGGTTGTCTACCGTTGAGAGTTCGGACGGGTTTGGGCTCTGTGCCCTCGACGCGGCGACGGCGCTGACTCTGCGCGTAACGATTCCTCTCAGGGCGCCGAGGACCCTCTTTGTACGCGTGTTAACTGCTTGCATTTTGTAACTCTACTTTTCACGAGGTATGCGACTCAACGTCTGAAACCTAAACTCGATCAGAGGCATAAATTTGATCGGCAGGATGTTACAGTGTTACAGTTCCGCTTTACCCCAAGGTTGTGGACGCCGTTCGAGTTTCGGAGCCTGACAACCAAATCCATGGATAATAATAGGCAACAGGAATAAAATTTTATTGCTGCTAACCGAAACTGTAGTATTAACATATCGCCGTGACGAGATGCGCATTAATTGCAACACAAGTGTTCAAGGAAAGCTTGTTGTTCTTGTACCATATCGCACGGAGCATGTGCCATTCTATCATAAGTGGATGCAGGATCCACATTTACAAGAGGCTACTGCATCTGAGCCACTGACTATGGAGGAGGAGTATGCGATGCAGGTATGGTAAGGAAAACTATCCCGCGGGAAGCCTTTGATGGGAGAGGCAGCCAGTTAAGTCCAGAACGCCGTGCTGTTGCGTGGGAGGTGATATTGGTCTTCACGACACTGCGACGTGCTCTGTGGACATGTACTGGTTGTGCCTTACTAAGGTCACCTTCACTCGGTTGCAACGCATGGTATAAGCTGTCCCTAAGCGATAGCTCTGAGTTACAGCTTCGGTTCCAACCTTCCTTGTGCAGCGTTCATGGGCGGAGGACGAGGACAAGTTGACCTTCATTGTGCTCGATAGAAACCGACCCGATACACCGGGTACAGGATTCCACGGGGGTGCCATGGCAGGAGACGTGAACCTTTTTTTAACGCTAGGCGAGGAGGAAGGTGGGCGTCAAGCGGCAGAAGTTGAGGTGATGATTGCGGAAGAGGCCAGCCGTGGCAAGGGCCTGGCTAAGGAGGCCCTTCGCTTGCTCATGGCCTATGCTAGCAGGTAAGGGCGGATCCCAGCAACCTGGTCAATTAGGTTCAACCATCGGGACTTCAAGGCCTGGCATTACATGAATACGCAGGGAGCTCGGGGTGAAGCGCTACGTCGCAAAGATACACGAGGTTAATCACCCGTCACAGCGTCTGTTCGAGGGGCTAGGATTTATGGAGTTCCGCAGGTATGCAATCCAGCTTCAATCCCCCAATCATCTCTCTTGCCCGCCTTGGGCCTTATAATTGCGAGTTGAATACTTTTGAGTTAAATGTTGGCCTCGAGAGGTTAGGACGTTGCCTATGCTTTGGAGGGCGTAGGGCTCCAGAGGCTTTCACAGTGCCAAATGTAGCTGTTCTGTGCTTTGCATTTACGTCGGAGGCGTTCCCTCGGAGGCCCATTTCATCACAGACGAACTGCTGTAAAGTCACATGGCTTCCCGTCGCGTTGTGCAGGGTACCCGTCTTTGGTGAAGTGCACTACGAGTTGCTAGTCAGCGAATCAAGGGATTGGCTGCGGACCTTGCAAGCTGACCTTGTCTATGGGAATTACGATTGACCATGAAATATATTACAGTTCCGCAGGGCCCTGGCCTTCATACTTGTGCACTTGTGCAAGGCTTGTTCAAGAAGGAAAATGGGATTATTATCATGTTGTTGTTATTACAGCGGGCTCCCAAATTTTTATAAATTAAGGTAAAGAAACCGAGCCACAGGGCACATCGCCTGTCGCTGTCATGGACACAGGCCTGGAAAGGAAGAACAAGTGGTCCGTACCGGCACGCACAAACACCTCAGCAAGCTCGGCTACGAAGGAGGGTAGGATTCGGGCTGGAATTAGGGAAGAGCTCTGTCGCAGAATTAGCCTGGATTTTATTCCTGGCAAAAGAATTGGTCTGCCGAGGTCTGGAATTGTTCTGGTCCCATATGGGGCAGGAAGTGGCAGGAGCCCCACACGCCTTGTTACCGTACAAGCATGTACGGATTTGAAACCAACAAACATACGAGAGATATTTGTAAGTGCTCCCCTTGTTTCGTAAAGTTCCTTCAACTTCCGTGATTCTGAATGCGTGCCTGAGAGTTTGGGGGCAGACCCTGCAATTGGTCTAGATTGCTCGGTAGAAGGGTTTAAATTGACACCTGGGACAAGTTGAATTGCCGGGACAGGCCCTTGAATTGGCCTGACAGGGATATGAATTGGCCTGGCAGGGACATTCCGACAGTCAGAATTAGCCTGACAGGGATACGAATTAGCCTGGCGGGAGATTCCGACAGTCAGAATTAGGCTGACAGGGTGTCGAATTGGCCTGGCAGGGACATTCGGACAGTCAGAATTAGCGTGTTCAGGGTGTCGAATTAGGGAAGCACGGGAATTGTGCGACCGGGGCAGTCAAAAGAATTGCTCTGCCCGACAGTTTGTCCTACCCTCTACGACTAAGACAGTTTGTCCTACCCTAGCTACGACTAAGACAGGATGAACACTGACGTCAACAGGGGGACTTTGCCAATACGGCTCCCCTGAATGACAAACTCATGCCTACAAATACCGGTGTTGCCTCAATGTCTTTTCTGTGTTGTGGGTGTGTTCCCCGTACCTGCAAACCACCCTAATACGAGCCGAGGGCTCAAGGGCTGCCAAATCGCCTATAAGGACCATCCTACCTCGCACTTCAAACGAAACAAGTGATGAAGGATACTAACGACCAAAGGGAACGATAGAGTTGCGGTGGGACCATATACGTTCCAGCATCCTTGCCAGGTGAAGAAGTACACACGGGACCGCCTTCCTACCAAGCTGTGTCTGAAAAATCACCCAGGGGTGAATCACCGATCACCTTCGTCTGTGTGCAGATTCATATAAAGCACATTGTCGTCTAAAAAAGGGTGGCCCCGTAAAAAAGGGTGGCAAGGTCCAACTGTGTTCCAACCACGTTTAGGTCGGCCTAATTCGGTAAAAAAACGTGACCGCACCCAAAAGCCAACAGTCAATCTGCGGATGGCCCGGTCCAGCCTGATGTCTGGTTTCCTATCGGTGTGCTGTCGTCTGCGCGAACCGACGCCCCGTCTCCATCGCGCTGACTGCCGCTAGGACCACTACATCCCAAACACATTGTTGTATTCATTGTCGTGGGAATATTATGGTAATTCGTAACTGTAGACAAGGAGCAAGTGTCGTAAACGACGGTGACCGAGAGGAATTCCGAGAATCATACTTGTATAACTTTGGAATTACGGCTTAAAGCAAAGATTATTGGATATGTATTTGCTTCATGGATGAGACTAAATGTTGGCAAATGAAGTTGGCCCGGGCAAAGACCCTCATTTGTAAATTGCCCGAAAATGGAGAAGGTAGGGGCCATATGTTTGCGCAATTTTGTTGCAGTGAAGGTTTGCGGGCTTGCTGAGGACAGCTGTTCAATATCGACGCAGCGGTCGTCTGGTGGAGGAGCCAAGCTATGCACCCTGGACATGCAGTCATACCTGGAGGTCATGGGGCGGCAGCTGGATGAGATTCAGGCGCAACATCACCAGGTGGGGAACCTGGCAGGGAAATGGTCCTGGCGCGAACATAGTCCCCAAGAGATCCTGCGGTCAAACGGCCGGGCCTGTGTGGTTGCAGTTTTATGCAAGCCGGCAGGATCGTCTTGGTAAATTGCGCAGCCAGGAGCACCCTGGGCAGCTTGTTAAGCGTTGGAGCTCTGAATCTCATGGTGCTACGCGGCAGCCGGTACGTTTCCACTAGACGTCGTTGTATGATAGCTCAGAAGTGATGCTGCATTCACTGGGTTTCTCATTGCAGCAACCTGCCCACGGAACTTCGCAGGACGGGCTACCGCCCGAATACCCGCCACCCCTGGGCTTCTGCCACAGCCACGGGGAACGAGAACAGTTGGGCTCGCCCTGCATCGGCGATAGCAGCGGAGCTCTTCCATCGTCCTCCGCGAGCCAGAGTGGTGCGCGTCGTTCCCTTCTGTTCACGGATGGGCGTTTCAAAGCTTCTGAAGCTGGCTCTGAGCATGTAAACACGCGCTCCCCGCCAGGTATACGAAGGCCTTTGAGATGAGTTTAGGATGCGGGCGTATTCCGTCTGCTGCAACTTCCGCGATGAAGTCTTCGTTTACACACGTTTGTCCACATGTCACATATGCACTTGCAGGGAATGGAAACATGGCGTCCGCAGCAAACTCTATAGGTGCTGCCAGGGGGAACGCACAGGGGTGTTCTGAGCTTACTGTCCCTGTACGCGACCAACCTTGTGACGCAGCAGCTCAGCAAAGGAGCGAAAGCCCACCAGCATCTGGATCTACGTCTGTCACGTCGTCCACCACTCCACAAGCTGCTTCCGCCGGGTTTCTGTTCAACACCCCAGGAACCCCCTCGACACACCCTGGACAGTCGAAGACGGGCGTGCCATCGGGGGCGTCACCGATGGGCACGAGCAGCTCTTCGCATTCCATTCCTTGTGGCATTCCCAGTGGTTCGTATGCGACACCAGACAGCCACAATCGGGGCTGTCCACTGACCGCCTCAGCCAGCAGCAGCTCGCCAGGTGCATGGCATCAGTCCCAGGTGGCTACGAATCCCAGCCCAAGCTCACAAGGAGCTGTCGTCTCCCCGTCAACTGCTAGCGTAGATTTCTACCAAAATGCAGGCTTTCGCGGGGTCGCCTCAGAGGTGGAGTTGCTATCAGAGGTGGCGTCTGAGAGTGATGTTTCACCTTACCCCATAGCGCTTCCAGGCAGGCCTTTCGACGGCATCGACAGCGAGGAGGACGATGTCGTGCAGCCAGCCGGCAACAGTTATGCCGGCGGCAGCACGAACGCCCGTTGCACTGCACAGGCTTTACCGGACGATTTGGTGGGACCACGTGGAGAGCAACCAGATGATGTCAGCGATCAGCGAGTAGTACAGCAGCTCGTAATGCAACAGCAGCCTCTCCCGCCCGCAGCATGTACAGATTCGCGACCGCAATCCGGTGCAAGTGCTCGTGCGCCGCTGGTGGTTGCGAGCTTGGAAACGGAGGAGGCGCTGCGTGCGCTTCTAGCAACCCCGCGGTTTGCGATGAGCCGCAGTGACAATGTGGCAACCAGCATCGATGTAGAGGGTCTGGAAGTGCCGGCCGAAGTCCTAGCTGCCCTTGCGAAAACAGACGGCATGGACCTGGACGCTGCCCTCGGCGCCGCTATGGCTGTTAGCTTGCGTGAGCATCCTAGCTTGCCACTAACACCGCCAGCTAAGCAGACTCAGGGCACCGCGGGCGTTGGTCAGACCGGACAGGGGCGTCAGATGGTACTTGGCCCGGGGGCCCTCACTGCGGCGCCGGTGACCGTGTCTCCAGGGGGGGCGGTCCGGGGTTTTGAAACCAGTAAACGTAGCGCAGGCGGCGCCAGCGTGCGGGCTGCCAGCATTGCGGGGCCAATGCCATCCGTGGTGCCCCCTCCGCGTGACGCTGGTCACCCTAAACAGCAAGCGGACCGCCCGTCAGCGCCGATTGACGCTAGCTTTGAGGTTGACCGCCTGGACATGCTGTCGCAGACTGTGGAGATTTCGATGGAAGGAGCCCTATCTACCACTGACTCTGCTGTTTTCGCTGCTTTGGCATCAGCGCAAGCGGCAGTTGCGCAGCAGCACTCCCAGCCTGTGCTCTACAGCCTTGCGCCCAAGCCGACCTTGCCTGTCGACAAGGGTAGCCGGCGCAACACCTCGGATGGCGAGAGCAGACGCGTCACTATAGATGCCGGCAGCAGATGCACACTTGGCGGCGGTGGCGGTAGCAGACGTAACACTGCTGACGGCGGTGCACTGATATTTGAGTTTTCGGACGCAGGGCAAATGAATGGTAAGGAGCATCCGCACTCACGGGTCCATTCTGCAGCGCCTACTGCCGACCCAACAGTAACCGCGGGAGTTAGCAACGCTGGGCGGCCCGATATGCGGCCAGTCGGCGCGTCACCCAGTGTTGGTGGCACAGTGTCAGGCCATGGTGGAGCAGGCAACAGTTCAGGACGTGCCCCTGACGGAGTTGCTGCAGCCGCATCGCCTGTCAGGGGCTTCCGGGGCGGCGCTAACGTGGTGTCTCCCTCAGCGGCATCATCAATTATGCGGCAGGGCGGCGACGGGGACATGGTGCTGTTCGGTAGTCCCAGCCAAAAGGGAGATGCAGGGGCGTCACCCAGCCCCTCCACTAGTCCGTATGTGCCCCCCAGCCCACCGCCGGGTGCTGACCCGTCTCCATACATATCCTCGCCGACCGTGACTCACATGGGCAGTCGCCTGCAGCGCAACAGCCGCAAAATGGATGAAGAGGCAGTTACCGGGGTGCGGCATGATGCTGAAGCGGAGCATGGTCAGCTAGGCGTGGATGGTGGCGTTGGAGTAAGTGGGACCGGCCATTCGTTACGGCTGTTGCCCGCTCGCGGGGCTGTGCAAAGTACAAGCAGGCGCCAGCTCACGCAGACGGGAGTTTCAGGGACGTCTAGTGGACCAAATAGCGTCCACTTGGACCTTTCCCTGACCCAAGCAGCTGCGGTGGTAGCAATAGCCAGTGCCAGACCTGCGGCAACGGCCGTTCAGCAGCCCACAGCGGTGGCGACATTGTCTCCTGTCGTCTCGCAGCGGCAGCTTCGCATGCAGGGCTTGCAGCACCACGTTTCACTGCACAAGCAGTATTCGGATCAACAGGTTGTGCCTGCGCCAGCCGAGGTAACCCCGCCATCCACTTCTTCCTTGCCGACTGAGGTCTCGCCACCCTCGCGTCACGCAACCGGAGTGGTGTCCCCCGGCACAGTTGTAGAGGGCATGGGCTGTCCCGCGATGACGTTCCCTGCGACAAGAGGATCTACGGCTGCTAAGTCAGGACTGGCAGAACCCTCGGGCCATAGCAGTGATAGCAATCAAACCAGTAGGCCGCAGCTGCAGTCCCTGGGTCTACAGCTAGCAGCCTTCTCCCGTGCAGCAGCACTCGCCGCGGCAGTGGACGTGGGCATTGCCCCGCCTCCTCCTGCTGTTGAACGCCGCCCTGCACCGCCCACTGTGCTATCGGTAAACACGCGATCGGCATCCGTGGAGCCAGTTGCCTCGGTAACTCCAGATGCAAGTGCAACTTCTCGGGAATCGGACACTGGAAAGCTCAATGTGGCGGGGCTCAATGTGACTGGTGATGCGAGCACGGCGGCAGGGTTGCAGTCACGTGGCTTGGGCAAGCCAGCGAGGAATACTTATGGTCAGGGGGATATCGCTGCTGACGGAAGGCACCTTTACCTGGGCCATCCAGAGCTTGTGCAGGGACAGGTATGCAACGGACGATAAAAGTCAGGGAGGCATGTTTTGTGGGTGCCGGGGTCACGGTGATCTGTGTAGCAAGAGGTGTTCCACATGGCTCTTGTATCAAAATGCTTGTCACCAGTCAGCAACTTTTGTGGCATTGCTGGCTGCTGATACCATGGTGATGGTGATACCCCCATGGCATTGT